GTTGATTTTTCAACAAAATGCCCATCATATCCCATTCATCCTCATAAACTGGTTGGGAGTTCTGAAGCGAACTGGATATAGATACACAAAGTCAATATAGATCTGAACTAAAAAATGGACAGTTAACAGTACAAATGTAGGTATGAAATGAGATATTGAATTGATACAGTTGATAGATATATAAAGAAATTGAACAAATCTGAATCATGTCGTTATTGTCTGACTATTCATTAAGTGCAAAGACTGCAGACTATCAGACTAAAGAGATAGATCACTTGTCTGTCAGGTTACTTGGGTTACTGACAGGGTCTAGAAAGCTATGTAAAGGAATTAGTTTTCCCATTTCATTTTTCAGTACAATTTGGTGAGGGTATTCTCTTGTCTTTTTGTCCTGGATACAATCTAGCAAGGGAAACTGTTTCTCTTTCTGTCCAGCCACCCACTGGCACCCCATGGATGGGCAATATTGCTCCTAACACTTAAACACTTATTACACCTCATATGTAGATTCAGTAATTTAAAGTGAATTCTCAAAGATATTGATTTATAATGGAAACAGTTGTTATTACTTAAATAGCTCAATACAATCAAATATTTTGTGACAAATAAGAATAGGTTTCTTCTTAGCTAAATAAATAATCAATGTTAACTTATTATTATAGCTTTACATATGTGGATGGTGTACTACTTGCTATGGTCTGTTGTCTCAAATACAGAGTTTTCAATTTAGGTGCAGATTTTTTTTTTTTTTTTTTTTTTTTAAAGGTATGCCAGTAATTGAGCATTTCACTTTGAATGTCTAGTTTGAGAAATAACTGTAACCCATTAAATTTTACATATAAATTTATTCCAACAAAAAGTCTGTTTAAATCCACCTATAATTATATCACAGGCACTTGAAAGGATTAAAATAAAACTTCTTACTACTGCTTGACTTTACTGTAGTATATAGTCAAGTTTTATTTTAATTCTTTCAAGAGCCTGTGAATTATATTCACAAAATGGATGTATAGTATGAAAGAAAAAGATCTATTTCTAAACCTAAAGAAACATCCTGTATTGCTATTGGCTAAATGTTTATAGTATTTTAGACTATAGTAGCCTTAAGGAGTTATTACTACCTTGTATTGTAATCTGTAAGCCTCTATAAATGTTACACGTGTACAAATTGGTTAGATAATAATACATCTAGCCAAGATAATTTACAGCATTGAACTTAAACATTGAACTTTAGTAACTTATTATATTACACTGAATAATTAATAAGCTTGTGAAGAGAAGTAGTCACTACATCTACAGGTAGACAGGTAGGGTACGCTTACTCTTTCATGAACACTTGATACCATTTTTCACATCACTAACATACATGTATTTTTATTGTACTTTGGAATCTAAAATATCACATTATAATTTAAAGTATTTGATATAAACTTTGTAAAAGAACATATTATTGTCCCCCGCCTTTCGAAGAAAGCAGGGGACTATTAAAATGGGTTTGTACGTCTGCATGTTTGTCTGTCTGTCTCTCCGTCCAATTTTTTGGGACACAATAACTCTCCTAATTGAGCTAGAATGTTCAAACTTGGTGTAGTTGTTTATTGGGTCGATGCCTTGATGGAGTTCGAAGGTGAGCATTTTCTGCTTCGGTTAAGCAAAGATAAGCAATTTGATTGGTTGATGCTTTGGGACACGATAACTTGGTGTATAGTTTCATTACATCAATACCTGTTGGCTTGTTTAAAATGTAATTAGTATTATCAAGAATACTAATGGCCATGTAAGCAATTATTATTGTTTATTTTATTGTTTTAATGAGTGATATGTTTGATGACACCACCGTTTCACAGAACAAAGATTTATACAGGTATACAAAATTATCGCATCTAGCATTTACACATCACTTTTGAGATCAATTTAAAGCTGAATGCTCATCTTGGTTTCTGGTTTGTACAACAATTTATACCGGTAATTATCAAATATTCTGATTAGTGGTAGGTTTAGTATTATTGGGTGTTTCTACTTTGCATATAAACCAAATTTGCCATACTCTCAAAGAAATAACTACCCGATAAATTCTGTTGTGGGAATGTATCTTTAATGTCAAACATGTGCAATGTTGATGTTATATGTGACAGGTTTTTATAAAGCCCAAGGCACATTGAAATCTGGTAGTATATTGCCGTTGACCCCCATTCTTCCATATGGCCGTACGGCCATCCGGCGTCCACAAGGCTAAAGTTAATATCCAATTGACTTTAAATTTATGCGCAGTGTTTAAGGTCATGAGACAAAGAAGCCTATTGATTTTCTATGATTTCCAATAATTACCGCCAGAGTTATGGCCCTTGATCACTTTGAAAAATCTTGTGGAGAGAGAAAGAAATAGGGTTTAACATCCACTTAACACAAACTAGGTCATTTCGAGACGAACATATGGTTCAGTTTTATTTCAATAATTTGCTTACACCACGTAGAGGTCTTTAGCAGTTCGTTCAAACCGGAGAACCTGGAGAAAACCCATGAGGTTGGACAGACGACCCTACTCCTTGTCACGTACAACCGGGGAATCGAAACCAAGCCAGTTGACTCTCGTGGAAGCTCTAGAGGCTAAAGTTAATATCTGATTGATGGGTTGTTACTCAGGCTAATCAGATACTGTGTTGTAAATGTTTTCAGTACTGGCAAAAGAAAAAAATATGCGACAAACCTTGTTGACTGCCCGGATGACTGTCACTTAGCTGCTGTAGGCGTTTTTTCCGATGCTTGGCACCCTATCTTTTAGACACAGGGTCACAAATTGAATTTTGTAGACTAAGATTAATGAATAGTTATATAGACTTTTTACTTTTTAATAAATGATATCCTGGTACTGAAACTATTTAACCTTAAATATAAAGTTATAGAAAGTATGTCATTATATCCCCAAATAGGATGTGATTAAGCACATAACTTGTCATGTGACAGATCAAAGAGGAGATTGATAGATGCACAGATTCATAATACAAAAAGAAAAATTGTCGAAAAAAGTCAGCAAAAAATTCATAACCATACTTTTATAAAGAATGTCAGAATTTGGGGTCAAATTTTCATTTCATGAATAAAACTGAAATTCCTCAGGTGTCTAATTCAATCTGATTAAAATACAGATCTATATTTTGTTTCTATTTTTTTTTTTTATACTTCCGATGGAATAAAGATCTGACCGGTTACATAATCAACTGTCTAGACCAGCACTTTTCTTATAAAAACTTCCAACATTTATAACTTGGCTCAGAATTATGTAATTTGACTGAAGTGTCAATATATTCCTTTTTCATTATCTATTTTTAAACTATAATATTTAAACTGTGAGCTCTTTATCTAAATCTTACATAATGCATTTCTAATTCGATAGCAGACATAGTAATTTTATTTTTGTTGAAGGTTTCATTAGGAATTGCACTACATCAAAAATTAGTTGATCACCATGCCGGTCTTAGCTTAAGTTTTAAAATTTCAAGTAGTTCTCCTCAAGGCAAATTTTAAGGCACGGAATAACTATGCAAACCTCCATAACCATTGGATATTTTGAACCGAGTTATTATTGAGTATGTCCTGCAGCCTTCTTCCAAAATTCCATCACGTGTCAGCACAATAGCCTGTTAAAATTTGTATGCAGCTTATATCGATATTACAAAGTTACAATCCTCTGATGGAGGGCAATTAAATATTCAAGTCAGTTAGACAAACAGCTGGGATCCAGAGTTGTATTCTACACATCCAAGTAGGGTAAAACGACTTAAAGTCAACCCAGCACCCCTTGTCCTCTTAGGCTCTTCCAGATAACTAAGCCAAACATGGCTGTTTTCAGTACCAAGATGTCAACAAACCACGATTTTTCAATAGAGAAAAACTATATAGCTTGATCTGAACAATGGGATAACCGTTCTAGGTATTTCACAAAGTATTAACCATTTTAAATAAAAATCGAAGAAATGGCAAGCATTTTTTGAGTCATATTATCACCTGGAACAGAAAGTAGGTAACTTAATAAGGAACAGTATCCAAGAAATAAGTTATCAGATGGATTATCTCACTACTACTAGTACTATTGTCTATAATCTCTGTCATCATAGATGATCATTGTTAACTTACTTTAGATTATCCATAAACTATAACACATACTTATGGAAGAACAATTACTGATTTATAAGTATGTGTTATAGTTTATTGCTCTATCCAGTTACTAAAAATGCCTCTAAAAGATCATTAGATTATCCATCTTGGGTGCCCAGTTATGGTGTAAGTCTAGCCCTTAATAGTGGGTGAATGGCTGTGTTAAATACTACCTGGTCATAATTTCATGATCTTCTGTTTATGTGTTGTCATTTATTTAAAAGCATTTGAAGGGTTTGTCTTGATGCCCAAGTTTTCAAAAATGGGTAATATTAGGGTATGTTGATTGCAGGGTTAAATTCCAGACATATTTTCATTAAATGTCAAGGACTGGTTAGCATGTGTTAAGTGTGATCCCTATTGATTTCAAGTGTCTTCAGAAAAGTATCAGTACTTATATATAGTTATAACATCCATGTTGTACTCACTCCTAGGCTAGATTTGAGATCTTAACCAATTATTACTGCGACGATTCCTTATCTGAAAACCTTGCATACATATATTATCAAAAAACTGATCATTTACTGATGAAAAAATCAAAAGATAGGATACCGAAGCTGCTACTGGGCGAATACTACCTTGCTAGCAAACTGTGTTTGAGTAAAGTAACAATACATGGCATTAATTGACAACCTAGGGCTACATGTTATGTGAATGATTTTGCTACAACTCTCAAATAATAGTCAATAAATGAATTATGATACTATTGTTCAAGTTAATCAATTTCAAATACCCTGTCCAATGTTAACACAAAAGAGAAATCGCTGGCATTGTAAGATAGATCCACGTGGCTTATGCTACGTTTTGCCCTCAAATTAACCACATCTGTTTCATAAGTTTGATTTCGAATAATAAAGATTTGCTATATGTAGTGTTGTTCATAACAGCTGCTCATTATTACAAGAAGATTGGAGAGAATTTACTTCTTCTCACTATTGTATAAAATTAAAGGTAATTTTTTTAAAAGTTCTTTATATTGGATGCTTTATTTGATTATGATATAATTTTAATAGATTATGAATTAAAATTGATAAATATATTAACTTGTACATTGTCTCTGAAATCAAGAAATTAATAAGAAAATATTAAACCACATGGTTTTAATCATAGGTAGAAATAGTTCATTGATTAAAGAGATCTTATAAATAGTCTAAAGCAGTGGTTCTCAGAGATCCAGGTCACATTCTTGCTCTTGCAATCTCAGGCTTCTTCAACTTCTCTCCCATTTTGAATTGTTATCTAGTATAATTTTCACCATGATCTGTTAATATAGTTGTAATTATTGAAACAATGCATCATGACACTACATTACTGTATTGATTGCAAAAAAAAATGAGAAGAAAAAGTGATTACTATCGCATTCATAGGCACAGTTATCAAATTCCCTACAAGCTTCATATTAACATGACCAATCTTTTCAGACCTCAATAATTGAGTAATCTGAAACAGGATTATTTCTGATTTAGTACCCTTACTATTGTGTATATTGGTATTTCATTTGATACACAATTCTTTCCCAGTTTAAAGTTCCTCCCCAATTTCTCCTATGGCTAAAAATTCCTTCCTTTAGGTTTGAAATTCATCCCCTTTTGGCTTGGGATAAAGTACCTCCCGTTTGAGAATCACTGGTCTAAAATGATTACCTAAATTTTTCTTCCATGTTTTCTTTGATTATTTTTAACATAATCTGAAACAGGATTATTTCTGATTTAGTACCCTTACTATTGTGTATATTGGTATTTCATTTGATACACAATTCTTTCCCAGTTTAAAGTTCCTCCCCAATTTCTCCTATGGCTAAAAATTCCTTCCTTTAGGTTTGAAATTCATCCCTCCCGTTTGAGAATCACTGGTCTAAAATGATTACCTAAATTTTTCTTCCATGTTTTCTTTGATTATTTTTAACATAAAAGCTATGAAAAGTATATCATATCTGCATGTAATGCCAAATTTCATTAAAATTAAATGTCAAAAATATTAATTTTAGCTTAATTGCATGTAGAAAAACTTCCAAGTGTGAGTTGTTCGCTTCGTAGAGTTTCCAATGTTCTTAACACTTTTCTACAAGATGGCCAGATGTCACGGTAGGCAAATGTACTACATGGTTTTACACGGGATGAGACATTTATGTTATGTGTAGGATTTATTAGTTATACGTTTAGGGCCTTTTATAAATCCTTATCAGAGGAGTGTGTGGGGGGTGGGGGGTGCCGAATGGTTAACGCGTGCACGTTGGATCATAAGGTCCGTCATTGAGTCAAGTGGTTTCGATTCCCCGCTTGTAGTTGTACGCAACAAAGTGTAGGTTGCCTGTCCAACACTGGGTTTTTATCTGGGTCCTTCGGTGTTCTCCCACTGTTAAAAGATCCCTACGCACCAATTATTGAAATAAATTGAACCATATGTTAGTCCCAAAATAACCTAGTTTGTCTCGAGTGGACCTTAAACCACATTTCTATCTCCCTCTTATATATTCGTACTTCATGTGGGTGGTATATTGTCGTTATTGTGTTATATGACCTTCCCTTCTGAAATTATGACCCCTTTTTCCAAAAACCTTTTGAATGCCATAAGAGTTTGACCCCACTTTCTGTAAACCTTGAACTGCTTTGGTGTGAATCATTAGGACTTTGAGTGGGTGAACCCTGTTGACTATCAATTTGGTGGGAGGTACCGGTACTATGATCAAAGAAGATGAACAGCTTTTCTAAGACATTCTTTTCCTGAGATATGTGTCCAGAAAAGCTTGTGAAGATGAAAGAGATTAGGTTTCTTAAAGGCATTATAAAATTTGGTCAACATCAAACTTTTCATTTTGGATAAGCTGCTGTCTATGGCTATATATTTTTTGAGACATAGCTGCTGTATGGGTGTATTTTCCTTTGCCTGTATCATGCAAATTTAGACCAAAACACCTTCCTAGCTACACATCTGTCTGTGACTAATTGTGTTAGTGTCACAGAATACTGTATATGTTCTGGTCTTGCTGACTATTTTTCATTGCTCTCCTACAAGGACATCTAGTCATTAAAAGTCAACAGGGATCTTAAAACAAAGCATGTTTATTTTTCTTGGTAAAGGGGCTTATCTTTTGTGTTGAAGCTGAATATTTATAATGTTTTGAATCATTAGTTTTATGCATATTGATTGATATTGAGAAGTTTGTCATTTTCTACACATTCTTATTAAACTACAATATGAATTCTTACTTTATTGTTATTGATTTATTCCTGAAAATGTTTTAATTTAAAATTTGTATGTATATTATATTTTTCTTTTTAATAAAAACAGAGTTTTGTTAAATTTCTCATTTCAGACAAGATGAAGTATTTATTAGTGTTAACGTTGATATCTATAGTAACAGGAGCAGCCTTAGGAACAAAAGAACATGTTCCTCCAGTAAAGAAACCACATGAAGAAGCAGGAGAACACAATCCTCATTTTGATCATGAAGCAGTAATTGGTATGTTGATAGACTGTAGTGTAATTCCTTATTTAATTCAATTCAGAATGTGGTAGACTACTGATGTCAGTCATTTTTTATACGCCCACATGGAAATGTGGTCGTATATTTCCGCCCGCCCATCGTCCACAATTTCTTGTGAACACTCTACAGACTACATCTGATTGTTTTGAAATTGATATATGTTGTTTGCATTAGTGAGATGAAGAAGCCTATTTAATTTCAATAACTTCCGTTAATTTCTTCTGGAGTTATGGCCCTTGTTTCACTTTGTTGCACCTTCAACCGATCTGTATGAAATTTATAAGCATCATTTAAATTAGTAAAACAAAGAACCCTATTGAATTTCAGCAATTTCCTTTAATTACATCTAGAGTTATGGCCCTTGTTTCACTTTGTTGAATCTTGTGAACGCTCTAATGACAAAAAATATCAACCGATCTGTATGAAATTGATATGCATCATTTAAATTAGTGAAATGAAGAAGCCTATTGAATTTCAGCAATTTCCGTTAATTTCTTCTGGAGTTATGGCCCTTGTTTCACTTTGTTGCACCTTGTGAACGCTCTAACGACAAAAGTTATCAACTGATCTGTATGAAATTTATATGCATCATTTAAATTAGTAAAACAAAGAAGCCTATTGAATTTCAGCAATTTCCGTTAATTACATCTAGAGTTATGGCCCTTGTTTCACTTTGTTGAATCTTGTGAACGCTCTAATGAAAACTGTTATCATTCGATCTGTTTGAAATTGATATGCATCATTTAAATTAGTGAAACGAAGAAGCCTATTGAATTTCAGCAATTTCTGTTAATTACGCCGTGAGTTATGGCCCTTGTTTCACTTTGTTGTACCTTGTAAATGCTCTAACGACAAAAGTTATTATCCGATCTGTATGAAATTTATATGTATCATTTAAATTAGTAAAACGAACAAGCCTATTGAGTTTCAGCAAATTTCCGTTAATTACATCTAGAGATATGGCCCTTGTTTAACTTTGTTGAATCTTGTCAACGCTTGAACGACAAAAGTTATCACCTAATCTGTATGAAATTCATATGCATCATTTAATTTAGTGAAATGAAGAAGCCTATTGAATGTCAGCAATTTCTGTCAATTATGTCTAAAGTTATGGCCCTTGATTTACTTTGTTGAACTTTGTGAACGTTCGAACGACAAAAGTTATCGTCCAATCTGTATGAAATTTACATGCATTATTTGAATTAGTAAAACGAAAAAGCCTGTCGAATTTGAACAATTTCTGTAGATTACTTCCAGAGTTACAACACTTGTTTTAGTTTTTAGAACCTTGTGAACCCTCAAACGACGAAAATTATAATGTCATCTATATGAAATTCCCCTAATTACCTACAAAAGAATAAATATGTGACAACCCTTGCCGACTGCTCAAACGATTTAGCTGCTGTGGGCGTATGTTTTGTTGCCTAGCAACCTATCTTTAAATTACCGGTAACAGAATGTGGTAGATTACTGGTGTCAGAAGTGTTTGAGATGGTGAATGACATATTCCTAAATGATGTGGCATTTAACACACGACACAATTCTATAAATTATTGTGACTGTTTTCAATCATTTTCAATAATTACTGTGAATTGTTTTGTGATTTAGGTTATCATGTGATTAACTTGAAATTAATGTGTTGTTAATATTAGTGCTAGAAAATAGTCTAGTTTATCAAATTGTAACAATTTCGGATATTTACATCATGTGTTATCGCCCTGTATACTGTTTTTATACGCCCAGTATATTGTCATTGCCCCTGTCTGCTTTTCCACAATTTGCTTGTGGACACTCTACAGGTCACAATTTTTATCTGATTTTGACGAAATTTGAAATATAGGTTTATCTCCAAAAGATCTTGGTTCCTTTTGTTATTGTCATGTATCGGATCGTAACTTCATTGATTATGGCCATATTTGCATGTATTGGACCGTAAATTCATGGATTATGGCACCTGTTTGTACGATTTTAAAGAAATTTAAAAACAATGTTTATATCTATGTTTATAACCCAAAGATCTCTTTTCCTTTCAAAACTGGCGCATATCGGACTGTAACTTCCTGGATTAAAGCCCCTGATTGTATGAAAAATCGCATTTTTAGCTAGTGGACCCTCTGGAGATAACAATTTTTATCTGATTTAAAAAATTTTTTTTAAATATATCACAGTTACACAATAATGACAGTTGAGTTCGAATGTCTTGGAAATCGAACCGAAACTGACCGACAAAATGCGCACTCCACATCTACAAATATTGTAGAAGTATGTACTACCAAGGTTGTGGACCTTCTAGAGGTCACAATTTTCATCCGATTTTGATGATACTTAATATCCCAGAGATCTGGGTTCCTCTCAATACTTGCGCATATGGGACTCTAACTTCATGGATTATTGCCCCGGAATGTCTGAAAAATCACTTTTTTAATTTTAGCTTGTTCTTTGTCCATCTCTTGCAAAATGTGGGCATATCTTGCATGGCAACTGCTTGTATTGTGATGTAAATTCCTTAGTATGAGCAGTAATCATGAAATAATCATTCTGTAATGTACAAACTGCTCACTTGACTTAGCTGCATGTATTTTGTATCATTCAAAGTGTTACTTGATTAATGTTTATTAAGTATTGGGTTAGATTTCAAGGAATATTAACTGCAAACCGATCTCTTATTTTTGTGTGTAATACATGTAGGTTCAAGAAAAACTGAGCAGGAATTTGATGAAATGAGTCCAGAGGAAGCACAACAAAGACTAACATTATTAGTAGCTCAGCATGATGGAAATAATGATCAAATTATAACAAAAGAAGAGCTTGTGGAATGGTTAATGCAGTCATTCAAGTGAGTCACATTATTTATTCTATTTAATTAATCCCATTAATCACAGCAACTATCAGTTATTGAAATATCTGGTAATGTATTAATCTTCCCTTTAAAATTGGCTGCAAAACTTGAATCCTCAAATATTGATTAGCTATGTAAAAACTAAGGGATGCCATGCGTTCTAGAAAGAAAAGCTGTGTACTGTCTAATTGTACAAAGTTCATTTCACCAGAAGGGATTGCTTGAGTTTTATATAAAATATTAATGATGATGTCTATGTGCATTTTAGAAATTTAGATGAAGAAGATGCTACAGAAAAAATGGCAGAAGAAGATATTATAGATGTAGATCAAAAAGTATCTTGGGAAGAATATCTAAAATCACAATATAATTATGAACCTAGTGATATTGAAGATTTTAAAAAACTAAGAACGACAGACAAAGATAATGAACAAATGAAAGAAACATTTGAACTACTTGTGGTTAATATTTTTTTTATTTTACACCAAAATATAAATAATGTGTCAATCTCGTCTCCCAGAGATAAGTTTACCCTTCATTTGTCTCTGGGAAAACTCACCGGCCAGTAATCAGTCTTAAATCGGTTTCTAAGCTCATTGGCTCCTGTGTGGCAGAATTTGTTAGAATGAAATGCTGCCAAGTTCTCGACAATTAGGCATTGGTTCATTGCATAAATTACATATTATTGATCCTTAGAACATTTTCCACATCTTGACATCAAAAGTTCATTGGAAAATAGCCGATTTACCGGGAACTATTTTTAGCACACAATGTGAGTGATTCGACTAAAACTTATCTCTGTGAGCCGAGATTCATAATGTGTGAAACATTTGTGTGTGGATGTATAAGCAGGGGGGCAGCATTGGATGATGCACCGCTCCCTCCTTGTTATCAGACACACTCCCTAAACTACAAAACTTGATCCCCGCCCCCCAACACTCCACCAAAATTGCCTGCCATTATGGGGCACTGGATGACAACAAAATTTCTTTGTAATGTTTCTATAGATTGGGTGACTCTGAGGTGTAAAACATTCATCTGATATTGTAAGATCTGATGTTGATTGAAGTTTCGTGATTTTGATTGCCTTCTTCCATTATGTGCTACTTATATAAGTTTAATGGTTATATTTGTTGATTTTAGCTTGTACGAGCTGCGATGGCTCAGTGAGTTAGGCACTGGCTCGTTTACCTAATGCTCAATCTTGATGTTGCCAAGAAAGTTCTTTGGTATTATCCGACACGGTTTCTCCTTGTCAGTGGTGCAAGACGGAAACCATGGCAGGGACAGTGTGTAGTCATTTGGACGGAAAGTAAAATCGGGGTCCCTTGTGCACATTGGCATGCACATTAAAGAACCTTTGACAGTTTGACTCTGATATTACACTGCATGGTGTTTGCCCAGCCCAGATGGAGCACAAAAGTAGGAGGTTAAACCCAATTTCATTTCATTTTTTAGCTAGTGGAGGATGATGAAGCTAGGTTTATGACAGCTGATGCTAATCATGACGGTATGCTCAACAAAGATGAATATTTTGCTTTCCATGCTCCTCTTGAACACGTTCAGATGCATGAATTTGAGATTAAAAGAGTAATGAAACAGTTTGATAAAAATAATGATGGTTCAATCTCTAAAACAGAATTTATTGGAGGTAAGTATATATTATTAAGGGACATTGTCGAATTTAGTAGATTTGCATATTTTACTTATGATTTTAGTCTGCAGAACAGTTTCCTGATTGGTTGAGAGGAAATTCACCATGTATTCAAAATGTAACATTTCCCATAATTCATTGTGTGAATTGTATGTGCGAACAGCCAACCAGCCACAATATACACAATGGATGCTATATTGTCCAGCCAAACAATTTAGGCAGGAGTAACTGAGACTAAATCATTTATTGATGGAAGAATTAATAGGATTTGTGTCAATCATTCTATGTTGTTAAATAATAATAGAAAACTACAAAGATTGATAAACAATAGTAGTTGCCACAATCATTTTTAGTTCTAGCTCTCTTTTAGAAGTGTCAGTTAAAGGGGTCTTAAAAAACAGAGATTTTAAACATTCTTCTTTCTTGTATTTAAGATGTTACAGATAAAGAGCGAGTTATTGCTGAAGAAGAGCAATTCAAACTTTATGATACAGATAATAATGGAAAGTTAGATGAAGCAGAAACTCGAAAATGGGTTATTCAAGATAGCAGAGTAGCTGCTAACGAAGAGGCTGAACATCTTATGAACATGGCTGATGAAAATAAAAATCGCGAACTTTCTTTAGCAGAAATTGTAGATCATTATGAGGAATTTGTTGGTAGCCAAGCAACAGATTATGGCAGACATTTAGAAGATGAATTGTAATAAATGTTATCTTTATTTTTCATTAAATTTTAAAAATGTTAGCTAGTTTTGCTATTGACTATATGTTTTTAGTTTACCTTTCATCTAATCATATTGGGGGTTCATCAAAAAAACAACTTTGTGCTTGAACAAATATTCTAAAGACTTTTAGTCAGCTTTTAATTTTTCAAATATAATGTTTATATATGTTTTTGCGAAGTTTTGCTGACTCATCAACCTTATGGTGTAGAATATTGTATTATTGAATTTTTTTTCTTAAAGGATGAGTTTTCCTGTATAAGTTGTATCCATTGTATCTGGGAAATAAGGAATTTATAGAGTGCTTCAACTCTGTCATCATTGTTTATGTATCTTCAAATTTCTTATTTATATTAACACTCTAGCTTATTGAGATAAAAAACATATTAGTATATATTTAAAAAAATTTCTTATAGATATCAAGAGTGTACTCTACATATATTAAAGAACAAGATTCATTATGTTATTTCTATTTGATTATTTTTGTCTTTTTAAATTAAGACTTATTTATTATTTCAAACATTTGCTGAATGTGGAAAACCTGCCGTCCACACTAAATTCTCTCACCTCATATTGCACACGTATTCATAGAAATATAAAGAGCCCTGGACACGTCAAAATTGAAGAGTAGGCAGAAATGCTGCTGTTTGTGCAAAATTCTCTGATTAAATATTAGTAAGTGCAGGGGGACTGCACCACACATAATTTACACATAAACAAATACACGGACAAGACATATTACACAGAAATCACAAACAAACGCACAATTCAAATAAAGTGAATGGATCCGGGGGCCATCCGTAAGCGTCCACTGCGCTGTACAGTCCCGGGCCTGTAGTGACACCGACTTCACTCAAATTTGAAAACAATCAGGAATAAAACCCAGAGAAACCATTGTGTAAATGCCAGCATGAGTCATGATCTGCTATATGTTACAAGAAATATGAATGTAAGCATATTGTAGTAAAATTTAACTATACAAGTAATCACATAGGTGAAATGTAAAAAAAAACAAGTAGTCTAAAACTAAATGCTCTAAGTCAATTAAGAAACGTTTCAGTATTCAATATGTAACAATAGAAATAAAAATTACATATATTTATCGCAAAATGAATAAAGTACTGTGTAGAAAAGACATTAAATTCCATTTTATTCATATATATGTAACAAAGATTAACAATGTTTATTTATGTCCACAGCCATACTAAACATTTATTCTATTATAAATTTAATGCAGTATTATAGCTTTAGAACAAATTCATCAATTATTATATGCCTTATGTATATGTATAAAATATAGTTTTTGAGATGCCAATTGAACATTATCTTTTGATTTTATTACTACTGGTGTAAGAGTTGATGTGATGACTGTCTATGGGTTCTTTAAAAATCTATTATAAATCATGATGTATTTTAAATAAATTTAATTATTTTGTGATTTGTTTTTAAAAATATATACGAAGATAGCTATGTCATTCTTTGAAAGGAGACAGGTATGATATAATGTCTTCCAATCTCCAACTTCAAGTAATTTCAATCATTCCTGTTATATGTATGAATGTATTATAACCATATCAACAACTAAATCATGTGAATACTTATTTAATGTTATAAATGTTTAAATGTTCAGTCAATAAATAATTTATTTAATATTCAATATTGATATGTCTGTGCCATTTTTTTTTCCTTACATTATCATAGCATTGTTGGGACTGTGTCTTTTGCACAGTGGTGGGTTTTACCATCCAGATCTCGTCAAAAGTATTTCTGGATTATTTTTGTCATGCTCTATTTTTCTTATTAATGACTCGCAATAGCAATAGTCTCTTTTCATTTGCTTGCATTAGTAGGTTACAGCAATAATAATTTCAATCATCGTGGAAAATTCTGCAGAAAATCTGATTTCTGCTCCTTTTTTCCAGTCTATGAAAAAAGTTAAAAAAACTGTCTAATTACATGTATTCTATGCCTGTATCAGAAAACGAGAGCTAGAGAAATGGATTTTAATGTCCACTCAACTTGAATTAGGTCATTTTGGGACAAACATATATATGTCCTTAGCAATGGAATGAAATGGTGTTTAATGAAGACACACATACACCATGTTCTATGATGGACATTTTGCCCTTATTTCAGTGTTTCCATCTACTCTTCATTTAATTTCAACTGTCAAGGGTTCCTTAATTTCCACACCAAGGAGTACACAGGTGGACCTTCCAATGACTATATACCTTTTCTTTGCCAGGCTCTCCATCCTGCACCTCTTACAAGTGGAATCCAAGCTGGGAAGTCCAAAGGAACTTTCTTGGTCAACACAGGATCTTCTGATTAGTAAGTGAGTGCCTACCGAGTCACCCTGGCTTCCTTAGCAGTGTGAAAAAAACCCACACAAGCTTAGACAGGCAACCACACTCCTCATCACATACAAGCAGGGATACAAACCACAAAAGCTGGTTTTAAAGTCTAACTTTTCTGCACCAAGACGGGCATATGCTTTGCAGTGTGCCATATGGAAAATTGTGCACTACTGCCTACAATAACACTGATTTCTAACAGTCGGGGGATCTTTATATCGAGCTGGTTTTTATTACATCTGAATGACTAGATGTGTTTTTTGACCCATTACATATTTAGTTATATTTTTATAGTTAATCTAATAATCATTGCTCTGAATATATTTCATTTTATTTACATGAAGATAATTCAACAATTTCATTTATATCAACAATATAATAATTCAAGTCTCTGTGCGTCAATTGCATTTTTAAGAAAAATATCAAATTTTCCATGACTGTATCTGTGTTAAAATGCAATTTAACATGTCATTAAGAAAACAAAATAAAAATATCATATGTAGATAATCTAGCAAATTAAATTCATTCAGATTGAACAGAGGCCCATCAAAAGATTTTAGCTAAGATTAAATTTTAAAGGTGGCACTGGCTTCTGACCATATCCTGTTTATATGCTCTGTGCAGAATTCAAGCCTTTTTGGACCAATATTCCTTTTTAGAGCTCCAACTTTCCCAATATTGTTCTCTGCAAGAGATTCTTCAACCCTTCAAATGATGCTCAGAGACTTTCCAATTAATAATACCTCTAACAAAATTACATTTAATCAATAACAAAACAATGCATAGAGTACACAAGCTGTGTATTTATGTAAAATTAGTTTCGGTAACTCCAGCTTAAACTGTCTTTGATTCAGTTACAATAAATATTATGGACAAAACAGCATCTGTGTTATGGTAACTGGCAGCCTGGTTGTAACCTTATACAGTTCACGTAATGTCTCTGAACATTTAGAGATTGTTTAAGTTGAGTCTGTAAAAGTAAAGGGAATATCAGTCCAAAAATGGCCTAATATTCTGTTCAGTATTTATAAAGATATGAATTCAAAATTTGTAAACAATCAGCATCCATTGCAGACAACACAATCCAACTCTGAATCCTTTGATGGGCCTGAGCGAGATTGTCTACCACTAATGTTTTTATATATCTGAGTACATTTTAGATTGAATTATGTCATGGAAAATTTGATACAAATGACACACTGAAATTTTTACCAGGGAGAGGGTTATTTTTAGTTGCAACTAAATTGTAAGACCTATTGATTCTATTTTGTCCATCATTGACAGATATTTGTTGCTGTTGAAGCAGGCAAACCATTTAGGCTAGAGTGATCAAGCCTATCCTAATACAAAAGAGCTCAGATTAATCTCTCTCATCTCAACTAACAACAATATTTGAGTGTATTTATTATTCTTAAACATTTATCTAGACCGGATGATCCAGAATGAAAATCTGACTCGCTTTGTGTTATGATCAAAATTTGAATCTGGATTCCTTTATTTAATTTCAATAAGTTATGCTTTTAAAGTTTTTGAATATATCATCTTGAATTTCCCATTTGACCAGAAATAAAACAAGTTGATTGAATTAAAGAGGAATCTAGAGACTCAGCTTTAGGAACAATCAATCTACACAATTATAAATGTTGTTAGATTACTCTTGTGTCATCATTGTTTTCTTCTATTACTTCTGTTTTTAACATTAGCTGATTGGTAATAATGAACACCTATTTTAGATGATCGAGATATTTTTTCTCTACGCCTCCTCTGAAATATACAATGCAATGAGAGTTACAGTATAGTATCTGAGAAATGTGGAAGTTTGTAATGGCTATAACAATACAGGTCCCACCAAACATTTTGAATTTAATGTCATGACTATCAGAACAAACTACAATAATATATGAAATAATGAATGAACGAACCTGTTTACTATTTAATTTAGGAGTACTATCTTCATCTTCTTCTTCATCATCATCATGTTTTCTCTTTCTAGGTGAAGTTTTATTTGACTTGGGTGTCTCTTGTTTCTTACTACCTTTTTTATCTACTTCGTATAAATTATCAGCATCTAGAAAATAAAGATCATAATCAGTTATTTACCTGCTTATAGCAAAAGTTACCTATTTCTGAACATAGATGAAGAGTGACGAGAGAGTTGGATTTAATGATCTTCTGTCTGAGACTTGCATGGTATATGTGACCAGCTCCCACGAAACCAGGTGCTTTTCGCACAACTTCATTTTGTACTACGGGCACAAAAGCATAAACTGTATGCCTTCTTATTGCTGTAAATGAGGCGAGAATTGCATTTTTGGAAAACTTAGGTTGTGGACTATTCAAAGACTCTTTATTAATGGGAGGAAGCTGGAGAAAGCCACAAGTTAGGCAAACTAGTCTTTTCGTCATGTACGATTATGGGATGGAACAAGGTTTTTATTTCAAAATTTTACCAGGCGGTCAAATTTTAGCATGTTTTATTCATCTGTCATTGGAAGGGCATCATTTTTTATCAGAGAATATAACAATTTTCATCATCATCTTGGTTGAACAATTTGTAATGATTTATGTAACTCGCTTAAGTAAATGAGGCAATAATTTCTGAAACATCTCAATATTTTGATCTGACATTTTCCAACATGGTACATTAGTTATTCTATAAACATTTGGAGGGTTGGTTCTTGGTTGACCTAATGGTGAACACATGTGCGTTGGATCATAAGGTCTGTCATTGAGTCATGTGGCGTAGTTTCAATTCCCCTCTTGTAATTCTATACTTAATGAAATAAAATTGAACCATGTTAGCACCTAAATGACCTACATTGTAGTTTGTGTCGAGTGGACGTTAAACACCAGTTCGCTCTCTCTCCATAAACATTTTGGAGTTTGATTTACCTACTAACCAACCTTCATTTACAGTGATTTGTGAAATCTGGGAATTTCCTTTGAAATTAAAGATGGGTTCCCGCGTACAAACTGGATGATTTAATGGTATATACGGACTAAAAACATATTCAAACTAATTAATTTGTCATAATTTTGCTTCAAATCCTTCTCAAACATTGTAATTGCGAAGGAATGTCCTGCTATAAAAAATCGATCAAACCAGGTCATGTCTACGTCACGTGACTTACCTCTCTTGGAAGTCAGAGGAGAATTCATTGCATACATAAGACAATGTTGTCTTTAATCGCTTACTATTTATTACAAATATCGAATCCTAATTAAATTCTCGGATTATCTACTACCTGCGTCTTTTTCCGTCATTTTTATCTCAGAAAGTGTTGTACGTCTGACTCTTCATAAATTTTATCAAATTGTACATCAAGCTCTCAATGTTCGCATGTGACCTTTGACATCACGCGTGCAGAAATTCCTAATCGTCGGGCTGTTGATTAGGGGAACCCTTACATTTTTGTCCTGTATACGCTCCATGAGTGTTTTTCGGGGAATCCAGTATTTTTCTAGTAAGATTGTATATCTCTACTTTCCATATATGCCAAAATTACCATACTTTTATTGGAAATAACCACCCGATAAATACTTTTCTGGGAACCCATCTTTAAATAACATTTACATAATAAACAAATAATAAATATGGTACTTACCAGTATTATTAGCACTAGATTCATCAACTGTTATCACCATTTTACCACTAGCTGTAGTCCTTGTTTCTACTCTGGCTGATCTTCTACTACTGCTCTTACTATTTTCAATGTCCTTAGCACTAATGCTTCCAATTTCTTTGCCCTTTGACCTTTCTTCATTTACATTGTCCATAGAAATATTAGAAAATACATCTGATTTCTTTTTGCTGTTTGTTTTTAAAGGTTTATTTTTATTCAAGGCTATGAAGTCACTAGATTCTGGTTGCTCACTGGTAGGAACAATGGCTGGATGTTTATTCTTTCGTGATCGAGATCGCGACTTGGACGCTGACGACGTAACAATACCTTTGTTGAGCTGCATTTGATGTAATTTCTTTTTTAATGTATCTAGAACAGGTTTCTTGTAAATGGTTTTTACAATTTCTTTAACTTCTTCATTATCATCCTCATCATTTTCATCAATTGATTTGTCTTTATCATCATCATTATCATCTTCTTCTTCAACATTATCATCATCATCATCACCATCATTACATTCAACTGGTTTGATATCTTCATCAAGAAATTCTGCCTCTACATGAATCTTACTAAAGTTCTGTTTAATACCAGGAATAGATAATTGGGGTTTTGACAGTGTGTCTGATATATCTGTTTCATTAGATTCATTATTTTCTTTTGTGTCCTTCACACCTTCTTGCTCCACACCTGTGTCATTATCTGATGATGTTTTTTTATCATTATCTTTACTAACTTTCGTTGATGTTTTAACATCTTGACTTGTATTTTCAGCTATTTTATTCTCCTTTTGAAAATCCTGAAACGAAGCAAACGAAATATGATTCATTACAATATAGAAAAAGACAAAGGACTTTTAATAAAGTATAAAGTCTCTTTCACACAATACACTGGTCATTTTGAGACTAACAAAATTATTGTGCCGCAAGCTAAACTGAAATTCTATGGGGATAAAGCCTTCAGTATCTGTGGACCGCATTTGTGGAATAACTTACCATTGGAGAAACACATGTTCTAAAACATTAGCTGTGTTCAAATCAAAACTCAAAACTCATTTGTTTGTTACATATTACCAGGATTAGCTACTATCTTCCATGCGCTTAGAGCAGTGATTTTCAACCAGTGTGCCGCGAGATCTTCCCAAGTGTGCCGCGAAATTTTGAACGGCACACTAATAAGAAAATGTGAAAAACCATGTGATCCCAATTGCGTATTTACTGGTGTGCATAGCTGTGTTTTTCTTATTTAGTTTTGAGTCTTTCTATGTGTCTATGACTTGTCTGTGTCTACAGTTGTATGTCATCTGACTTATGTTTTTATTTTGCAAAATTCAAATATTTTTTATATATATAAAGCCATGTGTGCTGCTATTTTTTCATGTGTTTAAAGGTGTGCCGTTGGCAAAAAAAGGTTGAGAACCACTGGCTTAGAGCATGTAATATGGATGGAGTGAGCACAATTACAAATGTACATTATTATTATTATTATTTATCTGCAGTCCTGTATGTAATGCTAGGAGAGCGAGAGAGCAATGGGGTTTAATGCCCACTTGTCACAAACTATGTCATTTTGGGACTAACATATGGTTCAATTTTATTTCAATAATTCGCTAGAGCATAGGGGTCTTTAGCAGCAGGAGGAAACCAGAGGACCCGGAGAAAACCCATGAGATTGGACAGGTGACCCTACTCCTTGTCACGTACAACCGGGGAATTGAAACAATGCCGACTCAATGACATATCTTATGATACAACACACACATGCTAACAATTTGGCCATCCAACCCCACATGTAATGCTGGGGAAGTTAGTTAGAGGGAAATGGGTTTGAAAAAGTCCTTCTTGGCCCAGGATGAGAATCAAAGCCTGGATGTTCTAGTTCGGTGAACTAACCCAAATGAAAATAGAATAACTAGTTACCTCTGACCCTGGTGGTCTAACAAAATAAGGTATTTTGCCTCTCTGCCAGTCATTAAGAATCATTTTTGCTACAGTTGGCAAATCTGGATCCCCTTTCTGTAAAAAAAGATATTGAAAAACTGTTAGCACACCAATTTAACATATTTAATAGTATTGATATAAAACAGAAATTTTAATATAAGACAGCTTTTTCTAATAATCTGTAGTAATGGCTATTACACGATTTGTACAATAATAAAGTGTTTCTTATATACCTTTAATAATTTTCCTGATCTTTTAGCAATCTGTTCAAGGAGATCCTCTGAATCTGTCCAACTTTCTACTTTATAAGTTTTACAGACATATTCTTTTTTTACTCGTGCTAATAAAGCTGGTATATAATCTTCTGGTGATTTCACATATTCAATACGAACCTTTACAAATAGAAATACAAAACATTGTGTTATATTTCACATATTCAACACAAAACATTGTGTTATATTTCACATATTCAATATGAATTTTAACAGTTAGAAATACAAAGCGCAATCACTGGAATCATCTATTGATAATCTATGTTCAACAATCAACATTTGTTGCATGTATTTTTATTGAAAATTCCCTAATGTCAGACCAGATGCAAAACCTATTTCATATAGATCATCAATATTGGGTTGATATGCTTAATTTGTTATCTTAAAATGCTATATTAAAAGGTCTGGTTGTATTCATAAGGGCACTAACCCATTCTTTCATTAGGGGGTTAACAGATGGCACCTAGAATATTTCTAAAACTAGATCCTGGTGGCTGTCTTTAAGATGAACATACAATCAGATGGACCATCTCTTTTAATGAGAGTTTAATTTTCATATATTAATTAAATATTCTAAATAACCATGTTATACTTACAACTCCTTTTAGTACACAATCTGTTGGTGTTGAACCAGTTGGATAAACCACACCAGGACAATCAACTAAATATATTCTTCTCATTAAAGTAATATACTGCCATACTTTAGTCTCTCCAGCTATAGGAGCTACTTTACACACTTTTTTAGCTCTTAAGGTATTTATTATAGAACTCTTTCCTACATTAGGATAACCAATAAAACCTACACTTATCTGTTTACGATCATTATGAAGCTAGAAAAACAAAATAGAAATAAACATATCAATAAGGATAAACCTAAGCTGTATTCAAAGGGGTCACTTTTAATCCACACTATGTATGGCATAAACGTTTTTCTTATTTTAGGTTGATAGTACAATCTAATTTGATATTAATAATAGTTGGTGGAGGATACATGTATCTGTTTACATTAAAAAGAACTGTTAGAAACTCTGACTTCAGCATTAAGATTATCGGTATCTTATAAGCAAATCCGTCAACATTAAACCAAAATTCAATGACAAAACAAAGCATATGACAATCAACCATCATGCATAATTCAGACATTAAACTACTCATGTGACCCTCGATACACCCCAATCAAATACCCAGAAATCTGACCTATGTTTGCATCTATTCTGTCAAGAGACAATTTTGTTTGTGGGGAAAAAAGAGTTAATTCACCCTCTCAATTCCCATTAAGAAATTTTATACACTACCTTGGCAAACTGTCTGAGTAGATTAATAAGAGCTCCTTTACCAAATGGATTAGTTATACTAGCATGGAAAGCCATAGTTGGATGTTCAGCTGACAAAATAGCCACCCATTTTTGCTGTAAATAATATTTACAAATCATTAAAATAAAATAATGATCTTACTCAAATATTCATTCAAATTATTAGATTGTAGAAATCTTTCAACTAAGATCTATTCTTGAAGTATTTATGCTTTAGTTATAACAATGAAATGACTACGGAATATCTATTTCTTGCATTTTAATGACATAAAACTAAATTTTTTGATAAATGAAATTGTTAATTATGTTTTAGTAAAGTAAATTGTGTAAATTTTTAGTTTACAAATTGAATGACGGTTACTTTTTTTCTCAGCTGGATATTTTACAAGTATTTTTTAATAACATGACAATGTTATACAGATACTGATTTGCCAAATGTGACCCAAAAGATTCACATCAAACCTATAAAACTTGTTATACCAGTGGTTGCCAGGCAAGATACACCCACATTTTGCAAGAGATGGACAGAGATCAAGCTAAAAAGAAATGTGATTTTTTGTACAACCAGGGACCATAATCCAGGAAGTTATGCGTGATTATCGAAAGGAACCAAGATTTTTGTTATATAAACATAAATTTAAAGTTTTATCAAAATGGATTCAAAATTATGACCTCTAGAGGGTCCACAAACTTGATATGCCATACTTTTACACTATTTGCGTTCGAGGAGCGGCCATTTTGTCTGGCAGTTTTGGGTCGATTTTCAAGAAATTCGAACTCAACCATCATTATGATGTAACGGTGACATATTTTTTAAATTGGATAAAAATTGTGACCTCTTAGAGTATCCACAAGTCAAAAACATGATTTTTCGTACAATCAGGGGCCATAATCCATAAAGTTACGGTACGATGCATGACAAGATACACCTATATTTCAAGTTTTGTTAAAATCGGATTAAAATTGTGACCTGTAGAGTGTCCACAAACAAAATGTGAACGGATACATGGAAGGCCAGGTAGGCGTATAATAATACTCACCGTAACCCAGACTGGAACTAAATCTACTTTATTTAAAACAAAAATAATATGTTTGTGTTGTTTTTCTTTCCTGATGTAATTTTCTACGTGATAACAGCGGGTGCCTTGTGGGTCACGAGCATCCAGTACTTGAACAACTACATCTGATGAATCTATTACCTATGGAGGCAAGACATTAAATATTATAATTTGTAACATGGACGGGAAATCTTCCTTTGTTCTTTTCATTGAATAAGCAGATTGTTTTCCCTCTAGTAGATTGAGTGGAGCTTAACCGTGCAATAACTAGACATGTTCAATGTTATTGCACTCTTTTGCTGGTTTATACTAATTTTAGCAGAAATCATATAGAGAAGTGGGGTGGGTTTTCTGTGCAATAATAACAAGCATGTTGAGCAGGTGTCAATATTACAAGTCATTTATAGCACGCTTCATTCGTTAACAGGTTTAACATCTCCACCTGCGGTCTCGCAGTTTAAACCGGTTAACTCATGAAAGCCGTGCTATAAATATAACTTATACAACTAATAAAAAAAATCAAATAATAAAAGAAAATTCTGATATGCTTCCTTCATATAATAATTTGATTATTCTAAAAAATATTTGACAAAATGGGAATGTAGTGACAATATTTTTTGTCAATTATCTGATTTGAAAAAAATACAGGTATCCACAACAACTAAGTTGCTCGAGCAGCCCATACGGTTTTGCCCCATTGTTATTCTTCTATATGTAACAGGAGAATTTGCTAGACAAGCTATTCTAATTTGAGATGATTTCACATCTTAAATAATTATAGATGTATCAAATCTATACAAGGAGGCAAGTTTTTTGTTGCTTTTCATTCTAATATAATACCTTATAAAGTTCACTCCATACTCTTTTGGATCTGCCTGCTTTGAAGATCATTTCTAAAGCTTCTTTTCTCATTCCATCATCCTCTACCATCAAATCTTTGTCTTTAGTTACATCATACTTCTCTCCTAATTCTTCTGCTTTATTTAACATAGCCTGAAATATGCATATAAAATTTGTTTTAAAATTTAAAACTTGACTGTTGAAAGTACACAGATGAATCAAATCAAATTCAATTAAATGCATTACATGAGAACCAATTTCTACCCCACAAAATTCAAAACTCCTTCCTCTGAACCTTATTTAGTTTCAAAACATGAAATATTGCTGGCTTGCTGGTTTTTGGGGTTTTTTTTAAACAATATTTTTATTCAGGTTGACTGAAAGGGATTGGGGAACAGGCTTAGCCTATGTAAAACCCCTCTCCCTAAATAATATACATGTATAGAGATAATATTAATGCAAAGGGGTGTATATACATATTTAAAATGGCAAACACATACATATTACATAAATATAATACACATTAAGCTACTAACTACATTAGAGAACAAGCCAAAGTTATACATAAAAATGAAAATAAAATACTATTTGATTGAGATTAAAATCTGTTTAATTATTTAATTATTCATGTGCTAAGATCATACAGTAAGAGGTCATTGATATTTTTTATGTCCATCAAACAATAGATAGTGAATTATAGATAATGAAAGAAAAGATAGAAATTGATAGTCTTAACGGATGATGGACAGTGGTGATGACAATATATAAAAATATTTAAATGATGGAATATAAAAACTTACTTCTAAATCACCAGTTTTCATACTTGGTCTTTTTCTGTGGGAGTGTTTACCAAATGTATTTTCAAATGTTTCTGTGTCCAATAAGTGAACTCTTTTATACTGTAATAGATTAATACATATTGTCTTAATTTTCATAACAAATGCCCCAGCTGAATATTAATCTGTTTGTATGTTCGCCAATCAAATTAACCAGCATGACCCTGTGAATGTTTTAGGCCATGATTTATGAAGGTCAAGATCATTTATTAGTTTAACACAGCCAAAATCTATGGTGAAATCTACCTGCAGCCAAACTGTTTTACTGCAATTAACGGTTAACAGGAGGTAACAGATGATATAAGCTAGCGGGAAAGCATGCAAGAAAAGAAGATGGCAAGTAAGCAAATCATGAGCCCCGGCCGGCAAAGCCGGTTGTCGAGCTAGTCTTTAAAATATCGTACTTTCATAAATTATTAATGTATATGTAAATTGATTCTTTTCATGAAATTATTCTCATATAGAAAAGATAGTTTCTTGGATTTCTAAAAATCGTCAATTCAAAAACATACTTTAGCTACTTCATTTAGCAATGTAACCGGTAATGTTGAGGGTTTCATTACAACTTTATATGGATCTTTCTTCACTTTGGCCATTTCTTCTTGAAAGTCTTGAAGAGCATTCTGTGTTACAACTTTTGTATTGCCTTTAAAAACAAAATTTAAACATTTTAGAATCTGCATCAGACATTCTAATTTCATAAATTTCTATAGAAATTTTAACGATTATATGCCACATTTATTCTACTGAAACCTGCTCTCTTCAAAACCTGATTGGTAAATATTGATTGTGATGGCTTTGGCTGAACTCAAAAATAATGCAATAAGACATTGGGTTGCATAACACAACCCTAGATATTTACCAAACCATCTTCTATCTGGCTCAACTCTGGCAACTGTTCCTGATGCTAACACTGACTGAAAGGGAGCTGAACGTACTATTTTTCCTTTACGATCTCTGAAACATAAAGGGGAAACTATGTCTGTAATTATAGCATCATACAAATATTGTTGGATCAGAGACTATCACAAAATTAAAAATACATACTGCTGGTTTGATTATATGAGTAATTAGCTGTTATCCTCAAGACAATTGTAAAGACAATTGCATGTTATCTAGTTACTGAAATAAGCAGAAATTTCTCTTTCCTTCTCATCAAACGATCAAAAGTTTAAATGTCCAAAAATAAGAATTTTTATTGTGTTATGTGCTTAAATTTTGCCTGCTTTTTTCAAAATTCCTGTCACTATAATTGATTCTACTAGTGTTAAATTACACATTACACCTTTAAATACTCTGATTTGTACTTTGAAGTTCAATAAATTTGTCACTACATACAGTATAAGTAATCCTGTAAGTTATTACTTACCGTTTTGGTTTGAAATATTTGTACATACGAAGACGTTTGATTGTTGATCTTGTTCGAAGATTACCACCACCTTGTCCTTTTGGCCTTGCAGCTCGATCTATTAGAAAAAAAATCACAATCAAAAACAATATTATGTTTCATTGTCCAACATCCTTTTCTTGTGTACTGCATGTGTATCTTTGTTATTAGTTTGTTGAAATTTATTTGTTCGATTGAATTTCTACCTTTTAGCTACATGTACAGTACATGTATGTGCCTGACAATGTCTAAATTTATGCTTGACAATGTCAGTGAAAGTCTGACAGATGCCTTAATATTCAATTATTATATCAGTTTTTTTAATCATAATCTGGTAGTACCACACTTGCGATCTGGATTTTTGTCAGAAATTTCTAAAAAGTTTTGAATAAACCAGTTTCACAAATCAAGCACTTTTGCGGAGATGGCAGAGGACTTGGGAATCAAAATTTTCATAAGAGGAAATTATTACTAATGACACACTAAAAACAAACCGATCAAAATTTCTAGATGCTGTTTCCAAATGTTTATCAAACACAGCATGGTCATAAATTTATTTATGAGAACATAAATGAGATTTGTTTTGTAGAATAGGAGTGTATCAAGATTTTGAGAGTTTATTCTATTATGGTACATGGACCAACCTGCATGTATACATGTAATTTGCTGTCATAAAACTGCAGTAACTTTTCTGCAAAAAAGGGCCTTGCACTACGGTCCATAGATGTATATGCCAGACATGTACTACATGCATTTGCGAAAGCCTGACGAATTAAAACATAAAAACATCCCAAAATATTACTTTATGAAGACAGGCATACAACATGCACCACATAATGCAGTATGCCTGGACAGCAACAGTTCAGCTTAATCTTCGTCAAACTGTCATCACCAATGTGTACCTGGGATCTTGGTTTTCTTGCCATCAGAAGACACTGTTCCTTGCCAGGCCCCCTGTCCTGCACCAGGATGAAAAATCCTGAGGTAGCCTTTAGTGAGCCAGTACGTTAATCAGTGGTTTCATCACCCTCTCAATTAATTCGTCTAAAGACGGAAAGGGTAATAATACCATAGATCGTATTATATAGAGTGAAGCTCTAAAGCATTATGCTCTACTCCGACAATGTCTGTTACGCGTACATATTAACTTTTAGTCCATGCTAATACCGGTACATATTTTATAAGGAGAAGGACGTATTAGGATACATAAAAAAAAACCCAATGCAAAGCGGATTCATTTGACACCTGTTTGGAGCATTGAGTCATTTGCATTGGTGCGATTGCATATCTTGGGTCATAATCATTATTATTATTGGGAGAGGTAGCCAGGGATAAGGCTTACATGTATGTATGTACCACTCTTATTATAATGATTATCGGACTACCCAAATATTACCTGGGTTCATGCTGTGATTTGCTGTATTGATACGATCCACAATTTTCCCAGTGGCGGGCTTGGGTATTTTAGTCTTTTTCTTTGCCATTTTTGTAACTTTAGTTTCTTTCGATTACCGAAAAAAACGTTCCAGGTTTAGAATATCAACAACAACACGTGCTCACAGGAAGTTATTCCAACAACTAGTATCAGCCGCGAACAGAATATAAAAGCGCTAGCGATTGGATAAAAATTAGTAAACTGTTTCATTCGGAACTCCTCAGTGAATTACGTACAGAAGAGGACTAACACATGGTTCAATTTTATTTCAATAATTCGCTAGCGCGTAGGGGTTTTTAGCAGTGGGAGGACCCGAAGAAAACCCACGAGGTTGGAAAGACAATTACCCTACTCCTTGTCACGTACAACTGGGAAATCGAAACCATGCCAGTTGACTCAATGACACGCCTTATTATGATACAGGCGCGCACTTAAACCATTTATCATGATTTATTTGTTCCTTATATATTTTGATGAATGTAGTGGAAAAATATGCTCTACGCAGACGACCTGGCAAGGAACAGTGTCTAGTCGCACGGATGGGATGAAAAACCGATGGCTTGCGTACACACTTGCGTGCGTACGTAAAAGAACCCATGCCAGTTGGAATTCATCTGATATCAACAGCTAGTTAGAATTCAATTGCTGTTGGGGCAAATTTCGCTCATGACACGCTGTAGGCCTATCATAGGCTATGCTATTCATTTGTCCGGCTGGTACAAAAAAGTGGAATATTAAACCCCATTTCATTTATTCATGACATCTGACATAGAGCGAGAGACACAGATTGGCTGGACGTAATTCTCACTAACAACGGTTGGCGTGCACGTTTAAATAAAACACCTTGACAGTTCGAATTAAAATTTGATGATGAGTATGTAAAAGAACCCTTGACAGTTGGAATTCGAGGGAATAAGAGTATAGATAGTGCGGCTGTTTACCACCCCACCCCACCCCACCCCTACTAGTATAGATTGCATGGCAAATGCCGCACTGATCAGCACTGAATATTCGCTAGGTCGCTACATCTAGAACATTTTTTTAAGCATTAGAAAATAAATAAAGGTGTTTGAAGCATATATGTAGGTAAAATATATTTTTCTATTTAGTGTAAATAATAGGTATGTAAAATGATAAAAAGCACCATACAACCACCGATAAAATCGTTAAAAATACGAGTATAAATATGCACTCACAAAGTAAGAAAAAAACACTCGTAAATTTATTTGATTGCACAGTCATATATTCAACTTATAACTGATTTGGACTGAATTTTCACTTTTTAGATATTTTATACTGGCACGTACTATTTTTTATTATTAACAATAACTACGATATGTGTTTGCTTCAAATCAACTTTAATATGCTTTACTTATTTTTTAATATATTGACGCCACATCTTAGCCATATTACATTTTTATCAGTGATATCAACGACCGAGGGCAAATTTCCTGCAGATCAGTTTGCTAATTTATTTCAATCTTGCTTAGTATCCTTTTTATACCCCCACATTTCCATGTGGACGTATATTGTCGTCGCCCTGTCCGCCCCTCAACAATTTGTTTGTGGACACTCTACAGCTCACAATTCTTATCCGATTTTGACGAAACTTGAAATATAGGTTTATCCCCAAACGATCTCGGTTCCTTTCGATATGGCATGTATGGCCCCTGATTGTACAAAAAATAACGTTTTCGGTTTGTGGACACTCTGGAGGTCACAATTTTTATCTTATTGTGATGAAACTTGAGATGCATTTTTATAACCCAAAGATATTGGTTCCTTTCGATATTTGCGCATATCGGACAGTAACTTCCTGAATTATGGCCCCTGGTCGTACGAAAATTCGCGTTTTTAGCTTGTGGTCCCTCCAGAGATAACGATTATTATCCGATTTAAAAAAAACCGGTGGAATATATATATTACCATTACACCGTAATGACGCGTGAGTTTGAAATTTGTGAAAATCGGACCAAAACTGCCGGTCAAAATGGCCGCCCCTCGTACGCAAATAGTGTAAAAATATGTTGTATCAAGATTGTGGACCCTCTAAACGTCATAATTTTGGTCCAATTTTGATGAAACTTGAAATACATGTTTATAACCCAACGATCTTGGTCACAACTTTATCTGATTTAAAAAAACGCGTGAATATGTCACCGTTACACCCTATAATGATGGCTGAGTTCGAATTTTGTGAAAATCGGACCTAAACTGCCGGACAAAATGACCACCCGCCGTACACATATAGTGTAAATATATGGTATCAAGGTTTTTGACCCTCTGGAGGTAACAATTTTGATCCGATTTGATGCATTGATTAACCTTGAAATACATGTTTATAACCCACAAATCTTGGTTCCTTTTCAATATTCACGTATATGGGATCGTAGCTTCCTTAATTTTTCCTATGATTGTACGTAAAATCGCGTTTTTAGCTTGTGGTCCCTCTGGAGGTAACATTCGATTGAAAACATTGTTTGAATATATCACCGTTACACCATAATGATGGCTGAGTTCGAATTTCGTGAAAATCGGACCTAAACTGCCGGACAAAATGGCCGCTCCTCTTACGCAAATAGTGTAAAAATATGGTATATCAAGGTTGTGGACCCTCCAGAAGTCACAATTTAAATTTGGTCCTATTTTAGTGAAACTTGAAATATATCTTTATAACCCAAAAAACTTGGTTCCTTTTGATATGCGCGCATATAAGATCGTAACTTCCTGAATTATGGCCCTTGATTGTACGAAAAATTACTTTTTTTTTAGGTTGTTCTCTATCCATCTCCTGCAAAATGTGTGCGTATTTTGCCTGACAACCGCTGATTGTCAAGTTTGGGAGATGCTAATTGGAGCCGGTTGGTGAGTTTCGGGAATTTCCGGAGTCCACAATGACCGCTTTATATAAATGAGTAATTTGAAGAATACTAACCCCTTAAAAAGGGCTAGGGTTAGTATACTCATTTAGATAAAGCGGCCATTTTGGACTCTGGAAATTCCCGAACCTCCCCAACTGGCCTACAATTAGCACCTCCCTTCGTATTTATTTTAGCATAAAAAGCGACCTTAGCTTTCATGTTTCCTAGCAAAATGTATAGGCATATTGTATACAAATAATGGTATTAATACACCCAAGTAGACCTATTAATCAGTACTAAAATCTATATAAATAAATGAGATATACAACAACAAATCAGAGATTTATACTAATAATAGGAGTGTTGGATGGCAGAATCATAAAGACAATGATAAATCAGTTCTCGGCTGTTATAAAATGTGTTCTATAAAACGGGCACCCAAATAACACATGCACAAGGAACCGAGCCAAACCGGGTACCGAGTCTATAACTGTCCCCCTTTAAAAAAAATCCCTTGAAACGCCCATTGTTTTCGTTACTTCACCAAGAACTAACAATGTAGAAATGTCTCCTCTCTGATATCTGCCGCCTTGCTCCAGCCAAAGTAGTGGGTCGTTCTAAGGGGGAGAGAGAGAAAGAGAGGGAAAGAGAGAGAGAGAGAAATGGGGTTTAATGTCAACTCGACACAAACTAGATCATTTCGGGGCTAACACATGGTTCAATTTTATTTCAGTAATTCGCTATAAGTGCGTAGGGGTCTTTAGCAGTGGGAGGAAACCGGAGGACTCGGAGAAAACCCACGAGGTTGGACAGGCGACCCTACTCCTTGTCACGTACAACCAGTAAATCGAAACCACGCCAGTTGCCTTAATGACAGACCTTATGATACAGCGCGCACGTGCTAACCATTTGGCCATCACCCCCTGGTTCTAAGGACTTCCTTTGAGCAGGTTTTGACATGATTTGATGACAAAAAGGTTATTGGATATAACTCCCTCAATTTTCAATTAAACCGACCACAAACTGTACTTCACATAGCTTAGCATAAACCCAACTGCGCTACGCGAAATATCTTTTCATTTTGAAATGGCCGTCGAACCAGAATTAGAACACGCACGTGATTTCACGTCATCTCGAAAATACAGAAAAAAAATGTTCAGTAAGATAAGATTAAGATTCCAGTGTTCCACTCTTCACTATTTTTAACATAATTACTTATTTCCATACTAACTGTGGTGATATATACTATTCAAAAAAAGTATTTGATTTTTAAGTGTTATTAAAGTCACCTAATGAAACTGACGAAGAAACAAATGACAAAATGAAATGAAGTTCACATTCATCGATTTATTCCAAATGATCGTTAGACTAAGTAAGGCACAGACTGACCATTATAAGGGTAAAATGATACCCGGGGTCAAACAGCAAAGTTACCACAGCATCACAACCAAGTCAGTAACGGGTAAATCCTCCTCTGTTTGCCAAACAAGCATTGATCCGACGTGGCATACTCCTAATGAGACGTCTAAGGTCATTTTGGTCCAGATTGTCCCATTCCTGTTGCAACGCAGCAGCAAGTTCTTGGACATTGGCAGGACGTTGTTGACGTTGACGTAACCTCTGTCCAAGCATGTCCCAGACATGCTCGATGGGGGAGAGGTCGGGACTCAGTGCTGGCCAAGGTAATGTGGTGATGTTCTGTTGTTGGAGGTAACCTGTAACGATCCTGGCCCTGTGACATCTTGCGTTGTCATCCTGGAAGATGAAACGGCGGCCATGACGTCGTGCGAACGGCACAACATGGACTGCCAAGATGTTGTCCCGGTAGTACTGGCCTGTAACACGCCCTGCAACAACATGTAAAGCCGTTCTTCCAGCAACAGTGATGCCTCCCCACACCATAACAGAACCACCCCCAAATCGATCATGTCTGATGACGTTAACGTCTTGGAAGCGCTCGTTTCGACGACGCCACACCCTCCTACGTCTGTCCAAAAAATCAACAGTGAACCTTGACTCATCTGAAAACATCACATTGCTCCAGCGTCGATTATCCCAGTGTTGACGATCCCTACACCAACGACGTCTTGCCTGAATGTGATGATCTCTCAAACAAGGGATCACGTGAGGACGTCGGGCGCGAAGGTGACCCCTATGCAGTCGATTCCGAATCGTCTGGCCACTCACTCTCACACCAGTGTCTGTTTGAAGACGAGCGCTGATCTGATTTGCTGTGATGACACGATTTCTCAAGGCCAAGGTACGGATAAATCGATCCTGGGCTTGAGTTGTCGCCCTTGGTCGACCTGAGCGTGGTCTGTCCAGTACAGATTGTGTATCACGGTATCTGGACCATAGCCTGCTTATGACAGACTGAGAAACATTCATCGTCCGCGCCACAACCGCCTGTGTTGTGCCGATCTGTAGCATGCCAAGGGCACGTAACCTTTCATTTTGGGTAAGCCGACGCATATCAAAATTTGTTTTCTGGTCACTAAAACAATTAAACTGATGTTTCCACCCTGGAATTCAATGCCACAATGACTGTAACATTCAAAGTCAGAGTCGTGCAAATCTTGGGTTGGACCCCCATGATGATCCCAAGCATCACCTGCATTCCATGCGGTAGCTATTGGTGCGTTTGGGCGTCACATGTAACTGGAAATGTTTCTTCTGTTAGGTTCTATAGTGACTTTTTTCGTAGTCATTTGCATATTTTAATATTATGCCCCCAAAATCAAATATCCCCTACTTTTTTTGAATAGTATATGTTGAAAATTATGCAATTGAACCTGATTTTACTTGCGTAAAGCCTCGAATAATGTATCAGTTGTAGCTGCGGACACGACAAGACGCGGTTATATATAATATTGCAACTATACCAATAATGGTGCCAGGGGTATTCAATGAACAATTCGCTGGCTCATTAACCAGGTGGTCCCAGGATCGATTTTCTAACCCAGCTTCCCCTTGTCGGTGGTGCAGGGCCTCAAAAGAAAACAAAGCGTCTAGTCGTTCGTAAAGTACGAAAAACAGTGAAACAAAGGCCACCAAGAGTACTTCGTTGGCGTGCATTATAAGAATCATTGATAGAATTCAAAGAAGAGAGAGGGTTACCTACTGTCTGCATTGTTAACAAAAATCCCTTTAAACGTCCTTTTGGTTGCGTTACACAAGGAAGCTATGATGACACTGTGGACTCAAGGATAAAAACGAAAAATTCTGGTCCACGTGTGTATTCATTGGCTTGCATGTAAAAGAACACCTGACAGCTGGAATTCGATGAACGGAAAAGCTGTTACCTATGCAGGCGCGGATCTTATCAACGCTGCCGATAAAATTAAAAAGCAAACACAACAATATTCAACGTTAATAAAACTCTTTAAATTTCAATAAACTTATATTTTCATACAGTACGGTATTAAATTGCCGTCGTCAATAGGCGATTTGCCGTGGGGTCAATTGGTCCCGACGGCAATTTATGCCGTCGACGTTTTTGGCTAATTGCCAGAGCTGTATGTGACTATTTGTTTTTGCCCACAATGGAATGAAAGTCATGACTCAACTCAATGTATACAAACTCGCAATTTTTGGGTCAGATTCAGGCTTTTAGATTTAAGTTTCTCGGATCCTGCCCCCCACCCCCGTCTAGATCCGCGCCTGCTATGCAAAATTTCCCGTCATAGCACACCGCATCGCGTCTGCCCGTCTTTATTATCCCAGTTGGGAAAGAAACGTTGGACGTTAAACCCAGTGCCGGATTTACCTATCGGTTTGACAGGCTGAAGCCTACAGGGCCTCAAGATCTAGTGGACCTCCGCCGAAGGGGTATAACATTTTTAAAATGGGCTCGTCCGTCTGTCCGCCCGTCTGTCCGTCACACTTTTTGGGACACAATAACTCTCTTTCTAATTGAGCTAGAATGTTCAAACTTAGGCCAATGCCTTGATGGAGTTCAAAGATGAGCATTTTCTGCTTAGGGTAAGTAGAGATAAGCAATATGATTGGTTGATGCTTTGGGGCACGATAACTTTAGTTCTAATTAAGTGAGAGTGATGACACTTGGTGTATGGTTTTATCACATCAATACCTTGACTAAGTTCCATAATAGGCATTTTCTGCTTAGGGTAAGCAGAGCGATAAGCAATTTTATTGATCGAGACTTTGAAACACAATAACTTTCCCTCTAGTTGAGGTAGAATATTCAAACTTGGTGGGGGGGGGGGGGGGCGAATGGTTAGCATGCGCGCGCTGTATCATACGTTCTGTCATTGAGTCAACTGGCGGGATTTCGATTTCCCGGTTGTACGTGACAAGACGTATGGTCACCTGTCCAACCTCGTGGGTTTTTCTCCGGGTCCTCCGGTTTCCTCCCACTGCTAAAGACCCCTACGCGCAAGCGAATTATTGAAATAAAATTGAACCATGTGTTAGTCCCGAAATGACCTAGTTTGTGTCGAGTGTACGTTAAACCCCATCTCTCTCTCTCTCTCTCTCTCTCCCTCTCTCTCTCTCTATCTCTCTCTCAAACTTGTTGTAGGTGTTCATTAGGTGAATGAATGCCATGATGTAGTTCGATGATAAACATTGTCTGCAGAGATAAGTAATCTGACTGGTTGATGCTTTGGGGCCAATGCTTTGGGACCAATGACAGCTCATCTAAATCTGGCACAGTCTCTACAATAGGGTTTTATAAGGACAACATGGATACTGTTCACTAGGACAAGAAGTTCTTTCGACAAAAGCTTTATACGATAAGAGCTAATGGAGTTGGATCATACCTTAATATAGAAATGCACGGGTCAGTATTCACATTGTTGACGAGTTCATTAACTGGGATACATCTTAAATAACATTCACTATAAAACGTACATAGCTGAGTTGGTAATTTAGGAACGACGAGAGAAACAACGCTAGTATAGGCAATATATGTATTGTGGGTAAGTGTTATTCTTTGTCAGTATAAATGAAATGTGGTTTAACGTCCTATTTTTCTGCTCCAACTGTGCTAACGAAGACGACTTTAGCAGTATAAGTTTCGTTTCATGCATTGATTTGTACAAGTGACCAAATAATCACGTTAGATTGACGTCCTCTTTCTGATCTGACATATGGAGTTAAAGTATTAACCTTTTGTTGGAGGAGCATGCCCCTATCCCTCTGGCAAACTATCATCTTCAGTGCTAGATTCATATCCATCGATCATTCAAACCTGAATACACCAGAAATCCACCAAACAATATATTAATTAGTATCATCGACAATATCTATCGATACAGAAGTATCCTTAGTTTCAAGTTTGTTGTATAGCCGTTACTAAAATAGTAAAAAAAACGTTTTGATCATTTCAGCGATCGGACGTACAACTAAACATCATGAGTTGGGTCTTAATAGTAACAGTTTTCGTTATACTGGTGTATATTTTTACAACATGGCGACGTAACAAAAATAAAACACCTCTACCACCAGGACCCTCCATCTTCCAATCTTTGCAGATTGTGTGGGGAATGATTCGAAGAAACGACATACACCAAGTGGGAGAGAGACTTTCCAAGCGTTATGGTGATATATTTGTCATTAGAGTATTTGGCTCGCATTTAGTGTATGTAAATAGTTTTCGCATTCTGCGTAAAATGTTTACATCCACAGATTATCGCGATGTAACAAACGACAGACCGCCATCTTTTCTTAGAGAATACGTTTTGCCAACAAAACAGGAAATGGCATTTAGTAATTATTCTGAAAATCAGGTGAAGTTAAGAAAGATTTTTCACAACGTAGTAAAATTATATGGCGACGGCATTCATGCATTTGAGCATCTGGTGACATCCGAGATACAAAATCTGGAAGAAAGATTAGCAAGTGTCAAAACGGGCCAATCTGTTGATTTTGATATGGAATTAACACATTCTATAATAAGAATTCTCTACATTTTCGTAAGTAATTTTTCAATAAAACTTATTTCTATTTAGATGGATATGAACAATTGGGTTCGAGAGGATTCAAAATTTTAAACTACAGTATAAAATAAAATAGAAAAGAAAATTATCCAGTTCTATTCTATAATGTACATTGCTGTCCCGCGTGTCCCCATTAGTCTGTATTTATTTGTATGACTTAATTGTAATGAAAGTAACGATACAACATTGGCATTTGTCGCTAAAATATCAAATTTCTCACGGCTAATCCACGCTTGAACAAAATTGAAACATTAGAATCTATTTGCAAGACTATTAAAACACATCATGAATAGTGCCTGTCTAATGGAGGAACCCTGATTTACACCTCTAAATAAAAATGAATATAATATTTTCTTCTGTGGTTGTAAATACTGTTTGATTTATCATTCCAGTTGACAGACGAACGTCCTAAGGATGAAGCAATGGTCTGTTCTACCATTGAAAATTATGACAGACTTCTTAATATTATATTTCGATTCGACATCCATACCTCGCTGACCCTGTTTCCATGGCTTCGTCATTTACCAACATTCATTGGAAAGGCGTTTTTAGAGGTCATGGAAGAACAAGAACGTGTGTTAGATCTTTTCCTTCATCCAGTAAAGAACGAGGTTTGTAATATATTATATATTAGGGTACAGGGGTATTTTAACAAGGAGATCTCTACTGACTAGTATTCCCATTTTACTATAATAGTTGTTCATTTGACAAGTGACAAGTTAATTGAAATGAACGCCCTGCTTGTCTGCTATAACAACCGGACAAATGACATGTTAATTGAAATGCGCGCCCTGCTTTTCTGCTATAACAACCGGGCCGGCGAATTAACGATTTCTTCTATGGTTTATACGCCATCATCATGGATACCTTATTATTTTCAGGGTAAGAAACTCAGTGGTGGCCTCCTGGGTGCTATGTTTTCTGAACAAGAACATGATTCCACTTTGAGTGAAGAATCTGTTAAGGGAGTAATAATCAATACTGTAGTAGGAGGATTTGTAACTACCAAAGGTTTTCTTAGTGGATTCTTCTTATTGATGCTTCATTATCCAGATATACAAAGTCGTATACAGAATGAAATAGATAAAGAGATTGGTGATAAACAACCAATTTTGAATGATCGACAAGAACTACATTATACCAATGCAGCCATTTTAGAATGCTTTAGATACATACGACATACGACAATAGGTCTTCCACATATGAACAACGCAGAATTTGAAATTGAAGGATATAGAATTCCTGCAAATTCCACCGTGAGGACCAAACATTTTATATTTTTGTTACTAAGAAAGACAAAATTTATATCGCTATGTCCACTGTAAGGACAACGTATTTTATTTATTTTTGCTAAGAAAACGCCAAATTTATATCGCAATATTCGATGTTTGGTATTTTATCTCACAACAATCGTCCCCGAACAAAGACATGGCAGTCTTCTGAAAGAAAAATGTCACCTTTAATGTTTACTATAAATTATTTACTAATGATGTATTGGTATTACTTAGATTACGGCTGTTGCGTCCACTTAGGAAGTTGGAAATTTATCCTTATAGGCCTACAATTATATTAATTCGTGTCAGGTTGCTGTGATAGCCAAAGCAAAAGTCGTAGCGGTTAATGATGAAGCAAGTGACACTTTTCATTTATACATTTTCCTAATATTTTAAAGATCATAACAAACTACTGGTATATGGCTAGAGATGGAAAGATCTGGAAACATCCAGACATGTTTAAGCCAGAAAGATTCTTGGACGATGATGGTAAACTTGTATCTAGTGATCATCCTCTAAGACAAGTGTAAGTAACATCTAATTTATTTGTGTTCAAATTGCTAACAAGTTATACTGTATTGTTATTTTGAACCAACTTGATCGTAGTTCATTTATCGATAATTTATTGCCCATGAACGATGTGCAGACAGGAGGTATACAAGATATAAAAAACTAGCAGTGACTCTTAGATCATGCAATCATTAACTGTGGAGTAATGGACCTGACTTCGAGCGTAACATGACGGCGTGAACACCTAAACAGCTGGTGGGCATCAGGCAGGATAAGCTTACTCTTCCGGACACCTGTTACCACTGTTTGTCGTGTAATTTGTACACGAGGAGCAGTCCATTTGCTGATTACACTATATTTTTCTCGAATACACTATTTTGCCTATAACGTTTTTTAGGACTTCGAATTCTGTCTTATGGTTTGGATTGTTCGTACTTGGTTTTATTTTATTATGACATGTTAAATGGTCTATATTTTTGATATTTAATAGATTTAATCCTTTTGGAGTTGGAAGAAGAAATTGTGTTGGAGAATCATTCGCCAAGTCTCGTATATTCCTGTATGTGACGTCACTACTACAAAAATTCACGTTCTTACCAGATGGTGGTGCACTTCCTTCAGAAGATTCCTCAACATGGAAACCGTATGCAGCTTTACACCCGGATTCATTGAGCTGTTTAATTAAAATACGAAAAAATTATGAACATTAGGCCTGTTCTACCATTTCAATTTCGGATTAATAATGTTACATTTGATTAAATTTGAAGAAGGAATGCATCTGTACATTTACGAACCAAAATTAAAACATATATCGCAGGAAATCATATTGGAAGTGTTACTGAAGCGAACATTTCAGTTGGAGTGATCCTGGTAGTGGTAGTCTCATATAAAATGTTCACCTTCTTTGCGTAAGGGTAAACCTACACGGATATGAAAAATAAAACATTCGAAGGAGCTTTAATTTAGGTAAAAATACTTATGCAGATCTGATTTGCTATTTCTATTAGTAATCAGACAGGCTTTAAACTATTGAATTTTCGCAAGTCTTATATTTATCTGTTAAAGTTGTACCTAAATCCCAAAACCGCAAATCCAGTCCATCAAGAAAGTGAATGGCTAATTTCAATATCACAATTCCCGTTCAGATGAATACGTGAATGAAGAATGATACATGTAGCAAGTTATCATATTTTAAATTTTTTGTAGTCGAAATACAATCTACTCGTATTATTACATATTTGAGAGAGCAATAGAATGGTGTTGAGCATTCCATGTTGGTATATTTTAAAGACCACATGTGTACGTTGATGAATAATATATTTAATTACAATTACTAATATCTACGAGCGTTTTGGGGAACATCCAAGTTTAGTGGATTGTATGCTTTATCTGAATTATAATAAATACACGTATTAACATTGTGCAAATTATTAGTAGTCATACATTTTACGCAAATTACTACGACCTAAGGTAATATACGTACATAAACATGCTCGTTTGTCTGCGATATCACTCTCGCACATGTGCTCCTTATGGTTGTCTATACTTTACGGCTTTACATAAAATAAGTTAGCTTAATAACATAAAGCTTACGGTTGCGTGGTGGGGGGTCGCAGCAAAGATTTTGTAACGGCATCCCGCTGCCACAGGAAGTGCCAAACCGAACGACCGTATGGTCGGAAGATCGCGAATAAACCGCTAGGGGTCTGGTGAACGTTGTAAGCACCCTAGCGGGTCCAAGTGGCTTTTGAGATTTTGAACCCACTTTACTGTTAAAATTATTTACATTTTGTCCCTAGCTCTCAGTAGAAGCATCCTTTCCGTGTTAAGACCACGAGAACAGTTTTGAGCGCATTTTACCCTCAAAAATACTTAAATGTATAACATCTCTTATCTATACCTTGGGGACCCCTAGCAAAACTTTCTAAGGATCTGAATATTGCTCATTACGTCAATAAGCCACCGAGAATTTTGTGCGGTTGTGAACCTGTTTTTAACTGTTAAAATTGTTTGCAATTCTATGTCACATGTATCAGTAGAAGCATACTTTCTGGGCTACAGGAGTGAAGACTACGAATTACAATAGCCTTCTGCTTTCGTAATGGACAAACAACAAAAAATCATCAAATGATTTTTTAATTAGTGATTTTAATGTGAAAATAATGGAACATCCAGACATGTCTAAACCAGTGACGATGGTGATAAACTTTTATCTGCTATCATCTTCTCGAAAAAGTGAAAGTAACATATCGACTATTTTCATATTACAGTAGCAATGATAACACACGTTATCACCCTATGAACCATTACCAGATTTTAATAGATATAGGTGGAAAATTATAGACACCGGGGGCAATTAACAGCAGCGTGCCATTTATATTTGACCATAATCTATTCATTGCCTTTCAAATAATTTGATCCCTTAAAAATTAATTAATTTTCGAGATATGCGATCGTGTTAATATGAAGGTTAAAAACAAACGATTAGAGCACACCACATTACTAGAATTATGACGTACAATATAATTTGTTCCCAAAACTATTGATAACAAACAAGCAATCGCCAAGGATCTAATTCTAAAACATTTGAGAGGGTATCGGTCATTAATTTATAGAAAGAAATCGGGTGTTAGGCTGTAACAAAATTGATGAATATAGCTATATCTGAATACGTATTCTATGGTAAGTTGCATTAAATTTGTATATCATCTTTTTTATTTTAATTCAAAATTCCGTATAGGTATTAGCTTTACATTCATAGCTGTCTTGAAAATTTGTTTTATTTAGAACGTGAAAATGATATGTATATAGGGTTATACTGTTAAATTAGATTAACTTGGAAAGAATTGGAACTTGCCATTCAGTTTCAGGCGGTGGGGTTGGAGATACTGGAGGTACAAAGTTGTTGCCAGGTTTTGCACCCCGAACCCCGTGCCAGCACCACCACCAGTTCAGTTTAAAAACACATCAATTGAAAATTTAATTTCTAGTTTTACAAGATAATTATTTGCATTATACATGTAACAACATATCAGGGTAGCGCCCATGGCGATAAATATCATATTGACAAGTAATCAATCTTATCATGTACAGTTGCGGACCTGTATACACCCGTCAACCACTCAGAGCTGCAATGCAGTTATGTAGAGCAAAAAACGCAGTAGAAATCCTGATTTGACAGTAGATTTCTAAAAGCGCGTAAATTAGCACGACCAAGGGTAATTAACTTAGAAATGATACATTTAACTATAAGTGTCAAGTAGGTCCAACAACACAAAAATTGTATTCAATTTTTAATGGATAATAAATAATATAGATATGAAAAAAACACAAGCAATGGTAACCATATAAAACCGTAATTAATCAAGACTATAATTTTAAAATTGAACATTTAGCCTACAGAAAGATATAATGTCAAATATAAATATAATCAGATCTACCAAATATTTTTTAAAAATTTCCTTGCATTCCTCACTCTAGATTTTTTTTTGTCAATATTACTTTATATACGATAGTAATTTTACATTAGTAAGACAACCAGAAGAAACCGTAAAAATTGATTTATGTAATGTACTATTATAGTAGTTATAGCAGAATATCAGTCTCGTAAATATAAAATTCATTTACATCATAACAAGAATATAAAACAAGAACATAAATTAAACAGGAACTAAACTACACGAGGAGACAATAACATTAACACGGTACATTAATAGACAACCATTCCGCGCCTCTTCCACGGCAGCGGCTGAATTCGGGACGCCGGTCTCTGCTCCTCTCTTTCTCCTGTCTCTCTTCGTCTATCCTTTCGTCCATATGTCGTATATACTTTCGTATATTAAAAATATTGCCACTACATCTGAAAATTACCAAGTCCGTAATTGAATACGTGTATATGTGGTGGACGTGTGGTGATTCAATGCATTTAAATAAATACTTTACATGCATACAATATATAAAATCTTAATATAATACAAGTTATGGAGCACTTTGTCACAAGTACAGTAACAAATCGAAGCCAAATCACGCTTCCTCGCCGCGCGCCACCCCCACATAATGTGGTATCATATTAACCAGCATGACCCCGTGAATGTATTAGCCCGTCGAATTTGGGCTAGGGCGAATTGGGGCCCAGGCGAATTTTGACCGCGGGTGAATTTTGGCCCCTGGCGAATTTGGACCCCGGGTGAATTTGAATACTGGGAGAAGCCGGGTATCCTGCAAGTATTCATTAACTAAGTGTCCTGCCCAGACCTCGCATTAAGGGAACTAATTCTCTAACTCATTATTTTCCATAATATTCGAAATTAAAAACACAAATTAGAATTCAATATTGGTCCATTTCAATCCATATTGATGTTGTTATGTTGCCGTGAAAATGTGGGATCCTAATATCCAATATTTAAGACACAATGAACGTTGTTTTAAAATATGGTACACAAGTCGTGTACCATATCGTTTCGGACGCAAAATCAATGAACAAAGGTAAACATATCGTAAATTACAATGCGACAGTAAATAGTACTGGCTGATAAAAAAACCAAAAAAACAAAAAACAAAAAAAACAAAAAAAAACGGACGAAACAGACATAAACGACTGCCGTTCAGTTTGGACTGTTCACGTATTTCGCCGAACATAATTGATTCGAGATTACACTTTAAAAATAATGAATATAAATCACTTTATATACACTCATATTACATTAATATGTGCTTTTAGATCCATTTATGGTTTAAGAAAATAGTCATACGCCCTTTAATCAATCCGTGCATGTGTGTACATGTGAAAACAAATATAATGAAAAGTTATTTTCCAAGTTCTCATTATGTCACGTGATCAAGCTTTCGTTTTTACCACCAACCTCCATAAATCAGTTGGTGTAAAATCGTCGCCTGAAACCACATCATATGCGTCATGATGTCCCCGCCTATTTGATAGTCCATCCGTCAATCGGGCTGACGTCTGGGATCGAGTATTAACCTAGAACGCCATGGGAGTATAATACAGGAAAACAGTGTGGATGTCAAACATCGGAAACATTTAATCTTTTATGTTAAAAATATTTAATTTCTCTATTGTTATATATTATTTTGGAGTAACTGGGCTCCATTACGTGTCATCTCCATCTATTTGCAGGTAAGTGTATTGTTGTTCTTATTTAAAGTTATAACAAAATTAAAATACAGTCGTTGCTAAATAATAACGATTAATGAAAACATATTTTAATTGATATAGATGCCATTTTTTTTTGTTTATAAATTTACTTCATGAATCGTTTTCATAAATGCAGACAGTTTGTACCAATTCAAAAGAAGGTTTTACCAACTTTAGAAAATGACAAAACTATTTTCAAGTTGATATTTTGATGAATTTCAATCGCACTATAAATAAACAGAAACAAACAGAAATAGCGCAAATGTTAGTGAGGTTAAAAGGCTGTCATCTTATTCATTATTTTCATTTCCGTATGGGGGAATGTTACAAGGTAAATTTAGGGAAATGAAATTGTTTATTTTACTACATATACCCTAGTCAACTTCTGTTAAATTTGAAAAATGTTATGGCAGCTCATACTTAACATTTATATACAGACATGCCAAAACAGTTAATAACAATTTCCTCATTCCCGTGCTATATCAATTAACAGCACTTTGTTAAATTGTTATTTTACCGCCAACTAAGAGAACAGAAATGAAATGGATTTAACGTCCCACATTTCTGCACCGACTGGGCTATAAAGGTGCAACACTCAGTTACTTACTTCGGCAAGTATAAAGTTATCCAGACATTTTATAGCGCGGAGTTCATTTACTAATGGCCAATCCCATTTAAACCGAAAATTCATTTTTCGAAAAAGTCTCACAAAGCCACATAATAACTGCACAGACTGGTGTAAAAACGTCTTTCACTCCAAGAATTAACCAGTTTCAGCGACTATAATTAATCTACCACTTACCTCCCCCCCCCCCCCCCCCCAGAAAAAAACCAAAAAACAAACCCCAAACTATTTTTAGTTTTTATTACACCAAAACATATTTACCACTTTAATTTCCCCCCCCCCCCCAAAAAAAAAAAAAAAAATTGTTGCGACTATTTATTACACCAAAATTTCATGAAAGTACCTACTAAAAAGTTAGACTGTAACATTATTTTTGTTTCACTTGGATGTATTAATTTGGTAATTGGCTATCTATTGTCCATTGTTATGTGATTGGTGTTTAATTGTCTTCAGCCATTAAGATGTGATGGTGATAATAGAATCTTCATCTAGGGGTAATATAGCGATAAAAGTCTTTACGTAATATACCTGATAATCTATCTTTACACCAAGATTAAAACAATAAATTATATAATAAATAAAGATAACCGGAATATCTATACGCAGGTCTACATCTGTTGTCATTGTGTGCAATGAACATTTTCCTGACTGTTAATTTGTAAAGGGTGTGCCATGGATGAGAGCAAATGAAATGTTGTTATAACACACCCTCTTTCCTCTCGGTCCATATAATAGTGCCCTCTTATTCCCCGGTGTTAAATATAAAACTATTTTAAGCAAAGACATCGCAATGCCAAATTGTTTCGTCAAACTTTGCTCGGCTTCAAGCATATGCCCAATATGAAAATCACGCTCTTGGTATATATATATATATATATATATATATAAGTAAGGCGAAACAATGTTTAAACATTAAAATTTGCATATTTTTTGCATTAATTAGACTTATTTCTAACACGAAGGGATAAAAGGGCACTATATTATGTGTGTAGAGATAAATCAAAAGCACAATAAAACCCACACAGTTTAGGCGAGTATGAAACAACACGATACTCCGTCACAGCAAACGGTCTCTAAAAAGTCGTTCCATTTTTTATTTTAGCACTTTCACCACGAAAAAGAATTTAATTACGGCGATGAATAGACCGATTTGTCTTATATTTTTAACTCACCCGATATATATAAGTGCTTAGTCTTATCACAGTAAAAGAACATCATTTGTTACTAATAGATAAAGACAAGCCCCCCCCCCCCGCGCCCCATACCTTCCCCAAGCGCTATTGCCTCCTGAAATCCGCTAATAAGATAAGATAAGATACGATTTTTGTATCATTGCATCCACCAAGGACAGCATACACAGTTTAAACAATAGTTGATCATACGATTATAACATCTGCGGTGATCCTTTATGGATGTACAATGTGATATAAATAATAAGTCTATAAGCATCAAAAGATAGTCGGTATATAATGAAAATCAGTATTGAGCTAAAACGAAAATTATCTAAACTAGTCTGAAAAATAAACAAACTATTTCTACCGTAAGTATTAGTATAATAAACATTATTATATTGAACAGGGGTGTTGGTTAACAGGTAACTCTAATGCTCTTTCTTGGAGACACTTATATATATATATATATATATATGTAAATATGTATAAATATGTATAAATATACTATACTGTCCATGTTTATACAATGACATTATTTATGAATAGTCCCAAGACGGACGAAAAGTACTTTAAAATGTCAAAATGTTATTAACCAGTGCTGAAATCAGTTTGTGTCGGCATACCTTCATCATTTACCGTGAAACAATTTAAAGTAGTGCAGCTTTGCGGTTGTGCTAATAATTTTGGATATATATATATATATATATATATATGAAGCAACCGGACTAGCAATTTCGTTTGGGGGATTTAAATGTTACCGATTAGATCTTGGTTATAAATACACATGTGCTTGATATGTGTCGGTATGACCTCAGGGCATAACCATGGTATAACTTTTATTAGGGTTAAATCTAAACTGTTAAGTCTTCGAAGTACTAAGTACTTATTAATGACACCATCTCGACCTTATTGTAGCAATATCACCTAAATTATTTAATTAAAAAATCTTCTAGAAAGATTTACGGAAAATTAACAGTTAATAAACATCCACTCAACTCAAAATATGTAATTTCGGGACTAACACGTACAATTGTTTTCAATAATTCGTAGGGGTCTTTAGCAGTGGAGTGTGTGTTATGTGTGTGTGTGTGTGTGGGGGGGGGGGGGGTACAGACCTCATACATAAAGCACGCGTATTAGACCATATACGGCCACAGCTCACCCCCCCCCCCCCTTCATTCCTCCATAGCCACTTCTCGTTTTGGAAGTTACGCTAACAGACCATTGTTGGGCTTTTGATATTTAGACCAATGTGATGGTGACTCTGTTATAGTGCCACTTCTAGTCTGCGAAGTTTGCATGCTGCTAACTAAAGGCATGCGTAGTTGTTGTGTGGAATTTTAGAACTGAGCCAATACATACGAAAGAAATTGCCTACTACTAGACAAATGAATAAGAATGGATTATTTTTTAATTTTTTTTTTTAATTAATTTTAACACTGCAGGTATGAAGATACGGTTTTTCACTTGTGTCCTTTGTATCACAACTTGGTTTCCATATATTCTGGCCTTTAGTAGTGGAGCTCCGAAGTATGTATGTAAGTTCATGCAACCTGGGCATGGCGACCGATCTTTGGATCCTTCTCCATTTAAAGTCAACGTATATGCCGATTCTATCTCTCCGGGTAACCAAGTGGAGGGTAAGTTATACACCAACATTTTTTTTATTAATTGTCAAAATAACCAAATGTTTTACGGGGAATTTAATGGTCTATTTTGTATTTGGTATAGTATTTAATGATAAATTTGACAATAAATTTTAACAAATAAGTCAGCTATTACACAACACGGTTGTCAGGGTGGCCAAGGGTCAAATTTGTAATTGGTACAGTATTTAATGGTAAAATTGACAATTAATTTTGATAAATTTGTCCGCAATCACACACCACGGTTCCCAGGGTGTCCAAGGGAGAAAACTCGGTTTTGAGACCTTTGATGGAGTTCGTTTATTTATAGCAATTCTGTTTTTCTCCGCTTTCCCCATTTTTGCATGCCACTTTTGTTGGCTTTTTGGTCTAGAATTGAAGAAGAGGGGTGTTTGAATTTACATTTCCTGCCAGGTTTTAGTGAATAGTCATGATTTTGAGGCGGGGGAATCGGGAAGTAAATAGACATCAATCAGGGAAATCACGTACAAAATGATTTCATAGCCCTTTGATTCCTTTGAGCTTGCGTAGCAAAAAATAAAGTTGGGCAGGACCCCTCGATATTTTTATCAGATGATTGTGACATGTGATTATAAAAATTAAGATCACCGAAGTTGATAGATTTGATACTAATAAATATCTAATAAATTTCTACAATGGTAACGTTTTCAATGTTGACATGTTACTTTAAAACAGGGATGAATTGAACGAACACGCCATTTTGTCGCGTGTTAAGTTATTTCGGTTATGTGTGCAAAACAGCAAGTTTGGAGAATTTTGCGCTAACAACAGGGTTGTCACCAAATTATTTTGGAATTGAAACAGCTTTGGTATGTTTACGTGCACCGCAAGGTGTACACAATTGGAGTTTGGTTTTTGAATTTAAATTGATCCGAGGCATCAAATAAACATTGCTTGTGATCCCAACATGTGTTATCCTTGATACGTGGGAACCGAACTGGGAAATTCTCGAAGGTTCTTCTGGGTTGACAAGGAATCTTCTCGTGAGATATTGTAAACTTTGATTGATAAACATTGTCATTATTAATTATTTTTTTTGATTTCGCATCTTTTATGTTGTCATTGTTAAATTTTTTTTCGATTTCGCATCTTTTATGTTATATTTTAGTATTTTTATCCGTATCTTTTTCTTAAAAAATATTTTTTCTTTGAAAACTGAAATTAATGAACCGTTTTTTTTTTCTTTTCAAGTAAATATATCGTCTACAGACACTAATGTATTAATAATGGGAGTACTGGTCCAAGCTATGAGTATTCAACAAAATAAATATGTAGGCTCATTTGTAGCAATGCCAAAAACTAAAATAAATTGTGATGTAAGTATATGCATAAATTTGAGAGAGAGAGAAAGAGAGTGAGAGAGAGAGTTTAATTAACGACCACGCAAACACAAACTATGTTATTTAAGATAGTACAATTTTATTTCAATAGCTCACTGGCACTTTAGGGGCCTTTTGCAATGGAATGAAACCAACGACGTTGGACAGGCGACCACACTCCAATCAAGCTTGGGATCGAAACGACGCCATTTTACTCCATTCGTTAGACCACTCCACCACCCACTCCACCACCCGAATATTCTCCTACCATGGTATCGTTCATCATGGACCTTTTAATAGATTATAATAGGAGTCCAAGTCAGCATTTTCCTACGCCATGATTTCAGTTTTAGTTATAAAAGAAATGTGTTTGTTCTGATTTTCAGGAAAATACAGGAATCACCCATCGACAGAGATTACTGGTTCCTAATTTAAACCTAGTTTGGAATGCACCACAGAATTTAAGTCAAGGTGATTCCATCATATTTAAGTAAGTATGTTTAGCATTTTAATTTTTTATTTTCTTGGCTCTAAAACAATGCATGGTATAGTTGCTCAGATAATCACTTCCAAACAAACAAGTAACCAGAAACGGGAACATGCGGTTTGACTAGGTATACGTTTTTTGGGGGTACACGGTTTAACTGGGTAAACGGTACTGGGTAAATGGTTTGACCCGGTATACTGTTTGACTGGGTATACACATTGACACTATTATTTCGTTTCAAAATAAAGGTGAACATTGATAGTCAATTACAAAGAGGGTATTATTGTTTGAATATGTGTCTGATTTGGCTCGATTCCTTACGCAGGAGACTCGAGTGAGGCGTGTCCTTTAAATATCTTTTTTGGTTCCCTGTTTTCGTAATCGAGAATTGATTAATGCAATTGATTCATTATTTTGCCTATATTTAACTCTCGGCTAGAATGCTTTTTAAAACCATAGAGTGTTTATCCTTAGAATAAAACCTTTGACTTAGTGTTATATTTATTATTCCTTTATACCTTTTTACCTCGTGGTTGGTCTTATTGCATCTCGAGGTTTTTTTTCTTCTTATTTTTCTTGAAGACAGTTTGTTTGTAAATGGACCAGTCCTTCATGACTGAAACTTGACAAATAGCTCATTATAAAATTTGGGGTTGTTCTCGACGGGGTTGAACTTGTTTTTCTTTAATTATGTATTATGGTTCTACTGGATACTGTATTATATATTACGCATGACACGCGGGGGGGGGGGGGGGAGGGCACAACTAACCCCTAGTTTAGGGGCCCTTCATGGGATCTTGCGTAGGGGCATTTGATCCTCAGTCCGGCCTTCTTATGTACATGTATTTTAATCACTTTTACTCTTTTATTTCAGTGTAACCATAGTTCAAAATATAGAAATATACTGGCAAGGTGTTGAATCTACACCTGTATTAGTTGACCTTTCAGCCCCTGCAGTAACTATTCCAGACAGTAATACACAGGCAGCATCTGCATGGCAACCGGTACATCGTTGGAATCCCACAAATTGGTGGCAGTTTTTTACGGGGCGTTCTTTTGGTGGTTAATGGAACATTTATATAAAACATACTAAAAACTATTTGGCCTATTTATCTTTATCTGGTTTTTTTTATTATTTCATTTAATACATTATTTTTAAGAGGCTAAATAAATATTTATATGTTATGTTCAACCAATTGTTTTCATAAAATTAACCCATAGAAAGGTTTTTAACCCTTTGCCGTTGTGAATAAAAATATATATTTTTTTTCATTTTGGTAGGTTTTTTTTTTTCGGGGTTGAGGAATTTTGTCTTTACTAACACATAACCAAAAACATTTATCTATTAGATTTACAAATTTAACAGAATCCAGATAAGCAAGTTATGTTTTAGAAGACATCTGCACAGGGGAAAATGGGGTTTAACGTCCACTTAACACTAATCGACCCATCCCACCCCTTTTCCCTAGTTCTTGCAAGAAAATGTATCATTTGTATTTGGTTCGTCTGAAATGTTGTGTACGCTAGATTTTTATACGCCCACATTTTCATGTGGACGTATATTGTCGCCGCCCCTGTCCGCCCGTCCGTCCACAATTTGTTTGTGTACACTCTATAGGTCACATTTTCTATTTGATTTTGACGAAACTTAAAATATAGGTCTATCTTCCAAATATCTCGGTTCCTTTCGATATTGGCATAAATCGGACCATAACTTCATGCATTATGGCCCCTGATTGTACGAAAAATCAAGTTTTTAGCTTGTGGACACTCTACGGGTCACAATTTTCATCTGATTTTGATGAAACTTGAAATGCATGTTTATAACCAGATCTTGGTTCCTTTCGATTTTCGCATATATCGGATCGTAACTTGCTGAATTATGGCCCTTGATTGTACGAAAAATCATATTTTTAGTTTGTGGTCCCTCTAGAGGTAACAATTTTTATCCGATTTAAAAAAAAAAACGTTTGAATATATCACCGTTACACCCTAATGATGACTGAGTTCGAATTTCGTGAAAATCGGATCAAATCTGCCTGAAAAAAAGGCCGCCTCTCGTACGCAAATAGTGTAAATATGTGGTATATCAAGGCTGTGGACCCTCTAGAAGTCACAATTTTAATCCGATTTTGATGAAACTTGAAATATATCTTTATAACCCAGGGATCTTGGTTCCTGAATTATGACCCTTGATTCTACGAAAAAGTTTGTTCTCTATCCATCCCTTGCAAAATGTGGGCGTATCCGCCTGCCAGCCGTTGGTTTTATTGGCTAATGGATTCAAAAGTCGGGGGAGCCGCGGTGGCTCAGTGAGTAAGAGGCTGGCTAACTAAACAGGAGGTCTTGGGTTGTCACCCAATGTTGGCCGAGAAAGTTTCCTTTTGTCAGTGGTACAGGACGGAGGACCTGGCAATAACAGTGTCTAGTCATTCGGATGGGACGAAAACCCGAGGTAGTGTGTACAGATTGACGTGCACGAAAATAACCCTTGGTAGTTGGAATTCGAAATAAGAGTATGCCGTAGCACCACTGACCGGATATAATTTCCCTGATATAGAACTCCAAGTTAAGCCAAGACCAGCAATATATTATTGAATTTAGATATAAACCGAAATCTCGTCGTTCAACCATAGAATTTGTACACTCACTGTCTTTGTACATCTATGAAATAAATATCCAACCGTTTCAATACCCGATCGTTGGTTCGAGTAAGTACGAAAAATATCCCTTGATCCCCAGAAATGATATATATTAATTCTAAAGGTTACCTTTCGTTTATGTTGTGCTGAGTACTATAGTATCTACATGTAATACGTCAGAATTTAAACGATGTCCTATTTCTGTTCCATTTAGATTATAGGAAAGAGTTTTAGTCAAAATCCTAATTGTGGAAGTACTACTGCATGTTTTCATGATTGTAATAATGGACAGTGTACGTTTTCTGTTGAATGGAAGCATAATGGGGACAAAATTGAATTTGAGATGATGGCAATAACAAATGGTGGGCGACAAAGGTGGATCTCTGTTGGCTTCTCGAAAGACACAAAGATGGTAAGTTTGTGGAAACCCCCAACATGAATTAGAATTACAAACCGCATTAATTAGAATCTCAAACCACATTTGAAATCAGTGTATGAAATCAATAAGTTGGAGAATGCATGCGAACTTATGGTATTATCATTATGGTTATGACGGAAACTTTTGAGTAGTACATGTTTAATGTTCATCAGAAAAAAGGGATATACTTACATTGTCTAGCTCACACGATTCCATTTTACGTATTACCAATAACTAGTAGTACGTATTTAGGCTATTAATATGACGGAGTATGGACTTACATATTTGAGTTTTTACCGATGAACAAGGAAACATGCCCCCAATGGACATACGGTAGTATTTGCACAGATTTAGGATGGACAGTAACGCACCCAGGAGGTGTTAAAATCCCCCACCCCCACCCCCACCCCCACCCCGCCCCCAGCCAAAAAAAACAAAGTATACATATTCCAGGTATTATTCTGGTGAGGTTTTTGTTAGTGAGGTTGATGGCCGATTGAAATTGGATATTATATTCTGGTCCGGACATGCTTCACAAATAACCATTTGCACTCTTTTTTTCAAAATTTTCTCGGAGGAGGACAATCAACCAATCCCCATCCCTAACCCTCCCAAACCTAATATTGTGTATGTTCGAACTGGTCGTGAGAAATCCTTTGATATTGGCTCTTTTGATAAAATTATTTGTAAATGCAAACACAGAATTTGTTAGCTCTGTGAACTGACTGGTACCGGGTTTCTTGACAATTAACTTTTCAAAAATCTTAACAACAGTTAGTCTTAAGTCCCGACTTAAAAAAATCTTATACATCTGACAGACTTCCATAAATAATTGATGTATAGATTGTTATATTTTATGTAAAGATGTTTGTATACGACTTGTTTTTTTGTGTAGGGAGATGATGTTGTTTTTGAATGTGTGACAGAGGGTGACAAGGTTCAAGTACATACGTCATATAATGAAGGAAAAGCCAATGAAAGACAAAATGACGCAAGTTACTAAATCATTTTTATTATATTAGAACAATGCTTTTTAATTGGCCAGAAGGCGTTTAATGGTTAACATATGATTTTACTTAGACGCAATGAGATAATTGATTTCACTTGAAATGCTTGCAGGCAAATGTGGTTTTGACATGATTGTCGGCTGGAAAATCAACAACCCACGGAGGTCATGGCAACTTTACTTTACAGTGAAACGTAGGCACAAGCGATATAATAAAGAAACAAAAAACAACAAAAAATCAGTAACGTCACCTTATGGTATCCTTCTCCGCCCTCTCTACAATGCTGCATGCTTCCAGTAGCTCTGATACCCACATCCTCTTGAATTGTTCAGGTGTCAATATTGGCATATCATCTTCTATAGAACTGTGTGATCGTAACTTTTTACTGATCGTAGCTTTTTAAAAGCTACATTTCATACGCCATGGAATCATGATATTCAACGTATCCATTCTGTCGAATTTAGTTTTTGTGTTTGAGAGAATTTATCTGTGGTGCGGTTATTGTCGTGATTTGATGTTGTTAATTCATTATTCTTAGGTTCAAGTGTATATCTCAAATCATCTATTTCTTGCGTCTCAATAATTCTATCTGGTGCTGTTTGCTTGGTACACAACGGAAAACACAAACGTATGAAAGTAATATTAATATACACGTACTTTCTTTTACGATTCGTATTACCCACAGGTGCCTATTCGTAAACATTTAAATTTCTAACTCAAAATAATTTCATTTTCCCATCGATAACAGGGCTGTTTGTTGTGAAAAGGCCACGACACCCTGCTAACAATGTAACTTACATAATATTGGTATGGAACATTTCCTTGATTCCATTGTAAAACTCTGATATATATATACATGTATCCTACGTAACACATTAAAGAGCCCATGACTTGTTGACATGTTGTTTATGTATATTTCAATCTCTGAATTTCCATGGGTTTATTTCTAGGCATCTTCTGGGATATCAAGCATATCTGGGTCATATGCGAATGGTCTTATAAAATGTTCTTTTATAAAAGATGAAACTGTACAACCAGAAAAAGGGTTTACTTTAAGTGAGGAATATCATTTAATGTTTGCAGAAGGAGAAGCAATAGACGGTTGGTATTAAATGCTTTTCTCGATAAAATAGTAGGTCGCCTGGGGTTTAACTGTATGTCATAGAAATTACTGAACAATATTCTAAATCATCTAGAAGCACATCTCAATGGTTTATAATCTGGTTTAGCTGCGATCTGAACGGGTTAAATAATCGGAAATGTCAGAAATGAAATGAAATGAAATGGGGTTTAACGTTCCACTCCTAAACTGGGCTAATGAAGATGGGCATACGCCATACAGTGTGCTATAATGGGAAATTTCGCCCGGACAGCGGCACTACGGCCTACTCTTATCTTATATCGAAATCCAACTGCCAAGGGATCTTTTACGTGCACACCAATGTCCCACCCGTCCTGCATCACTGCCAAGGGGAAAATCTGAATGAGCTTTCTCGGCCAATGCAGGGATCGAACACCCGACCTCCAAGCTAGCGAGCCAGCGTCTTACCCACTTAGCCACGTGATCCCCAATCGGAAATGTCGAGTCGAGAGATAAAGTATTTGATCTACAGAGTTGTGGATCTTCTGATTTCTATTTTTGTAAAAAAAATCATGCACCGACTGCTCCAGTATGGGTGATTCTCTTGATTTTTTCAGGTTCCTTGCTACCCCATAGCTTCGATGTATTACCACTAGTAACAAACAACAAAGTTAATCTTCGTTTAATTGGTAATGTAGGCGGAGATAAACCAACATTTCCTTTGGTCAAAACACATGGTAAGACTATCTCTTAATATGATCAATATGCAGTTTCAGTCACTTAAAATACCATCACCAGTGTTGTGGCACCAGTCACGGTGGATGTGCTCAAATTTCTGTCAACTGAATATAATACTGTCATGACCATTCACCATAGCTGAAACACTTTATTGCGTCAAGATTCTGTTCACACCATATCAATTTCTGCCACTCAATTACAGTTCCGTCAATTCGTAACGTTCCGATACACCAGACTCTGGTTTTCTTTTATAGATACATTGAATATAGAAATATTTGAAAATCGGGTTTCCAAAATGCAATGTATCCACAGTTGCGGATGAAAGAGTTCTGAAAGTCTGAATGAGGGACACAAAACATTTTATTAGGAGGTAAATACCGCAAAACAGAATTATTTTGACTGATTATATCAGAAATATTAAAATTTTAAAACAATATTTAATTTGTGTTTTTACAATACTGTTTTATTTACGTGCAAGGAATAAAAAACAATTTTGAATAATGGAAGGTCTTTATAGCGCGAAATGCGTTTAGTAAAAGAGTCCCTCATTTGCAATCGAACGTTTAACATTTATTGAAATAAAAAGAAAACATGACAAACGACGGGTACACTGGTAGGTCCTTTATATAGTTTATATTTTGGCGTATTTTAACGGAAGGGAAATGTAGGAAAAGCATCAAAAAATGTATATGTATACTATGATTTAATAGCCAAGATACGAGGGCTGGCTGAAAAGTTCTAAGTCTGAAAAGGATAGATCAACTGGGTTGAAACAAACTTTTGCCGCCACAATCATTGAATGAATCATGGATATAAGAACTGCAACTGCAGTGCTATTATTGTCTTCGTACGAGACCATCTTATGAACATACCCATTGAAATTACCAGAAATGGACAGAACTTGCTATAGGGCAGTCATCAAGCACGTGTAACTGAAAGTACTAACCCCATCACAGATACATGCCGAAATGGTCTTAACTTTAAGGGATGATGCCCCTTCCTTTTCCACTCGAATTTAGGCGTGGCAGAGACGGCCTTAACGGCCATCAACAGCAACCATTCAAGAGAACGTTCCTCGGGTGCACGACATGGGGATGGCTAATCGACGATTGACCACTCCACTTTATATTATTGCCAGTATTGTGGGTATCTCTCATATCGCCAATGAAAAACGTTTCTGCAAGATGGGTGCCAAGACTCTTGATTGCGGATCAGAAACGTGTCAGGTAACAATCTACGCCGTTTTGAAGCAGATCCTGATAATTTTTTGGTCAGATTTGGCTCCGCCAGACTTCCACATGTTTCCAAAAATGAAAAGGGGACTAAACGGTCATCATTTATTTTAGGGTGACTAAAGAAAATGTCTCCTTGACCGGCACCCAGGCCTAGCTATATAGTTGGCAAATTGTGTACACCTCGAAGGGGACTATGTAGAAAAATAGATGGAAACCATCGACTTTGTACATGTTCTTCACAGATAGGCTTATAGACCGGGAGCCCAGGGGGTTAACCTAGCTGAAAAGTGTACCAATTTTCTCCTATATGGTATTAATGTATGTATATCTGGTATCATCAGAATGTAAGTCTGCCGGGTTTCTGGTGGTGGGTGCGGTATTCCACGCCCAAAATGCTATGCCCCCGAACTGGTCTAGATTACCTCAAAGTGTACCACATGAAAATCGCACAGCAATGTACCGTACATCTTCAGGTATTACAAAAACACTCTGACAGACATTTCTAGTGGTGGGGTACCCCTGACAGAGCTATGTAATTGCCAGACATTTGTAGTGATGGAGTATCCCTGATAAGGGTTATCTAATTTCCAGACCAAAGCTAGGCTAGATTAGCTCAAATTTGTACCACCTAAAATAGCTTTGGGGTTGTTTAGTACCACCACAGGAATCATGAATGACCACTGCCAGACAGTTTGTGCGGTGGGTTGCCCCTAACAGACACGCCCAAAATAACACGACCCCCAACTAGGATAGATTAGTCGGCACTGTTCCTGCTCTATTAGAACGTTTCAGCCAACCCTCGCGTATAACACGTAGATGATTTAAGGGAAGGATTATTTTTCTAGGTGTACTGATGACATTAAGCTGGCTGGCTCTCAGTAGTATCGGCATGATCATGTCTAGATATGGTAAACCTCTTTGGCCGAACACAAGCCCGTTTGGAATAAAAATATGGTTTCATGTAAGTCATTATCTTTCATACTCCCCAATTTCAATCAAGTTTGGTTAAGTTGTTTTTATGGATACGTGTACTGAATATTAATTTGAAAATTCTGACTCAATACGGGCAATTAAGTTTTCAGACGAAGCCACTATTGTGGGGACAGCATCAAAATTAACCAACCTTTCCGAAGTAACGGACCTTTAAAACTTTTTCATTGAATTATATGATTGTAAAGCTTGAGTACATCAACCGTAAATCGGTATTCAATCACATTCGATTCGCGGAATATTTTTGGACAATGTCCAATTTCTAATTGTTATCATGCTTAAACATACATTATGCAAGAGCTAAATCTGTCCATTGCAGGTCTTTCTTTAGGCCTGAAATATTATCTAAATTATTAATTAGACATTAATTAACTTATCCAGACTATAATCAACTCTAGATGGCATCGCTAGCCTGCGATCTTAAGTAATTGTGAGCCGATTTACTGCATAACTTTCCTTCTCGATTAAACGATTAAATGGATAATCGAGACTATGCTGTTTATCGTACTGACTTTAGTAATGATGACCGAGGCTAGGCAGAAATGTCATTCGCTTATAGTTCTCGGTTCAAAGTGGATCAATTTGAATGAAATTTTCAGCAAATTGCCTTTACGTTATCTAGTTTTTAACTTTCCTTCTCGATTAAACGATTAAATGGATAATCGACACTATGCTGTTTATCGTACTGACTTTAGTAATGATGACCGAGGTTAGGCAGAAATGTCATTCGCTTATAGTTCTCGGTTCATAGTGGATCAATTTGAATAAAATTTTCAGCAAATTGCCTTTACGTTATCTAGTTTTTAACTATTATAGTGAGAACTGCCAACTCATTATCGAATCTCCCATAATGTATCTTTAATCAAAATTAATAGTACACCAGATCGCCAAAAATTTCACGAACAATTTACATTTTGAGCTTATTTTCTTCAAAAACCTTCTGATTACATGGCTCTTGTTTCAGATTCACAGAACCAGTATGGTATTAACTGTGGGATTAACTATTCTAGCTTTACTGTTTATATTAATAGAAGCTCAAGGTTTTAGTCAGGTAGTAGAAACTCTTCTTTATTTTGTCGTTAATTCTCGACTCCTCCTTATGTTTGAACTTTGGCTTATCGATTTTAAGAAAACATTATGCCATTGCTTTATGAAATGAGATCAAATGAAATGGGGTTTAGCGTCCTACTGTTCTGCTCCTATACTGGGCGAATGAAAACGGGCTATGAGGGAAATGTTGCCCGGGCAGCGGCACTATGGCCTACTCTTATATTGAATTTCAACCGCAAAGGGATCTTTTGCGTGTACGCCAATGTATAAACGGGATGTTCCTTGGCCCAATAACAAAACAAATAGACGCAACTCAATAATTACATTCGTCCTTTTTTATAAAGCATCAAGCAATCAAATTGCTTATCATTCTGCTTAACCTGAGTTAGAGTGACAAAATGCTCATTAGCCAAGTTATGCTGTGATGAAACTATTCACGAAGTTGTATCACTCTCACTCAATTAGAATCAAAGTTAACGTATCCAAGAGCATTGATAAATCAGTTGCTTATCTCTCTTAGCCCAAGCAGAAATTGCCCATCATCAAACACACTTAAGACATTCACCTTATGAACAAAAATTGATCGTTTATACAAATGCCTGAAATATGCATTACTATCGTCAACAAAACAATAACGTCTTTAGTGTTCGTATTCTTGGAAAATTCGTTAATTTTAGTAATATTTCAATTTTTAGCGAGAAAAGGTATACACACTTCCGAAGACTGCTATACCTGCCTTATCATGGAAAATCGTTAAATTTAGTGGGAAAAAGTAATATTTCAATTTGAACGAGAAAAGGTATACACACTTCCTTAGACTGCTATAATATCCGACACCTTTACCTGCCTAATCTGTAATCGTGTTCTACTGGTCGTCAATAATCATCCTACAATAAAAGGTCATTACTGTTTCAGATACCAGAACAACCAGGTAAAATGTATAGACAGATACATCCAGTGATTGGTTTTATGATAGTTATATTAACACTAGCCAATGTAAGTCTTCATCTTACAGTGTATTGAACTTGATTTTTGTTAATTTAATTTATGTCAGTAGTTTACACAATCTGAATAAAATTCGATCAATAATTTTCAATAATTCGCTTGCGCGTAGGGGTCTTTAGCAATGGGAGGAAACCGTAGGACCCGGAGAAAACCCACCAGGTTGGACAGGCGACCCTACTCCTTGTCACGTACAACCGGGGAATCGAAACCACGCCAGTTAACTCAATGACAGGCCTTATGATACAGCGCGCACATGCTACCCATTCGGCCAACCAACCCCCCTAGCTTGTGTTCAAATTGGTCTGTTACCATCAATTGCAAGAAGGGAACTTTTCTATATATATTAGTGCTCCACTAAAGAATACAGTCTGTTCAAACAATAGAGGTTAATTTCAGTGAAGGTTGATTTCAGCCCCCAACGCCACCCCTGCACTGCTGAAGGCATCTGCGCGCATCCATTTATTGAAATAATGCTCTCTCTCTCTCTCTCTCTCTCTCTTTCTCTCTCTCTCTCTCTCTCTTAAACACAAGTATCTACCTTCTAACTGTAAATATTTAATTTCAGCCTATTATGGCATTATTCAGACCTACCGGCGAATCTTCCAGTAGATATATATTTAATTGGTGTCACCGAGGAGTTGGTGTCACTGCTTTTATAATGGCAGGTAAATTTGAGATGATCTTCGGCTTTCTTAACCCTTGGAACCGAAACTCCTATGACGCCTTTCTTGTACCATATTCGCCAGGTTCTTTTATCCACTTAAAGATGTTTTTATTCGCTCACATATCACGTATGCTTTACCGGTCAGAGTATTTTTAAAATTTGCTTGGATAGTTCGGCTAGTCCAGAGGAGAAACTTTATTCAAGTCTGAGTCGGGAAAGCTTATGCAGGTCAGATTGGTTTTATTTTTTCGAAAATGTATCGAACAATGTATCAAGCATCACTTTTATACGCAGTTATTGTTCCTGACCCAAAATACAGGCGGCGGTTTTGCGAGCATATCTAGAGAATCTGCCCTTGTTGATGTTGTGTATCAGTTAATGAAAACAGACCACCTCGGTAATTTTGGACCCGTGTATTTCTTATTATAACACAGAGGCATTCGTTCGGGGTTAGTCATGGGCAGATTGTAGTTTTGCTTTATTAGTTGAAATTCCGAATCGGCTCCTTGGGTAAATTTTAGAAAGTTCAAAATATACAGCTGCTTGGTGTGTTTTACGTGTGATAATCTGAGGTTACATAATATCCATTCTACCTACTACATTAGCTTCCACTTGTTTATAGAATATAATACAATCTGCTTTCAAAAACTTACAATATGTTTTAATTTAATTTATTCCTGTTTTTCAGTGGTGGCCGTCTTTATAGGTTTTGATTTAGGAAAGAGCGGAGCACCCGCTTCAGTTTTTCCAATTTTGATTATTTATATTATCTACCATATAATATTCATAGTTGTCATGGAGCTTTTACCCTTTATAATCAAGAAAAGACAAGGTAACTTTGAAATGAAATCCATTTTTTTTTATTTCCGGACGACAAAAAGGGCACAGCACTTGGCGAAACATCTATTACTTCAGTTGCCATAGCATTCATCACCTATAGTGCCAGAAAGCCATTACTTAGATCATCGTGTTTCCAGATGTAACACGAGTCGACGTTAAGTCAGCACGGAAGAAAAAAAAACGACGATCGTCGACTTTTTCGCCGTACTGGCTGTAACGAAACTGGTTACAATGCATTTTTGAAAATGACAGATTTAAGTCACTTTATTTCGTTGATTCGATGGTATCAAGAATATGAGTATCATGTGCTATTAATGGTGGTAGCCAACTTCATATATTCTAACAATAGATAGATACCAAATACAGCTTCTAGAATCGACTTTTAAAAGCTTTCTAGACAACTCGGTTAAAACGACACCAGCTACTGTCTCAACCATCTTCATAATCGAAGAAATCCGTTTAAAATTTACGATGGTTCAGACAGTAAATTAAAGATTGTGTTCGTAACCTAACTAGCGGAACAGGTGCTAGATATTGACAACTTGAAAGGGTGGAAACACAAATAACAGATAATTTCGACACCCATAATCAACAAATTTGCCCGATTTACTAAAACAAACCATCGCCATTTTTAAGCTAAAGTTGGTGCGACTATCATCATTATCTATTAATTTAGAATATAATACACATTTTATAATAGTGACAGTAATATTGTAATGATGATTTTTATTTGAAATTGCCCTTCAGGTCAAAAACAAGAATACAATATGAATGATTTGAACTTAACCGGATCTAATGGAAGTGCTAAGTCTTTAGAAAACGAGAAAAAGGAGAAATTGAACGTGAGTAATTTTGTGTTTTGTCTTGACACTTGTATAATAATACCTCCTTTACTTAGAATAAATAGCCTTTAAAACAGAAATGTCTTTTAATATTTACATTGTACGGAAGCGTATAGTACGGAAGGGTAAAGGGGTCATGCAAAATTTTGTAGAAGACCTCGAGATCCTGTAGGCCCGTGATACTTTCTCGAGATCCCAATTTAATCTTTTCGAGATCCCCTAAGTTAATATTCTCGGGATCTTGACATCCTGTGTAAATTTTCCCGAGATCTTGAGTATTTTTATACTCTTGACTTTCAGCGCCCGCACCGTTCTGGAGTTACCCCCCCACCCCCACCCCCAAACACACCTTTTTTCCGAAAACCCTGTTAACGCAATAGCGGCTACAGTTTATTTTTAACTGGGGTCTTTCGATTTTCAGTACTCCGCAAACTTCTGTTCCAGAGTTACCCTCTTTGTCCGTATTTTTTTTCAAATATGGGACGATGAGAAGACGGACCCTATGGATATTCAGCATTCTGTGACCTTCTGTTCCTTAATATAACCCACTCCTCTCCCAGAAAGCCTTGTTGACGTCATAGACGCTTCACTTTTAAAATTTTGTGTGAAGCATTGGGGTCATGAAGTCAATTGATATTCAGCGCTTAGCGATCTTCCGTCCCGGAGTTACACCCCATTCTTTTAAAACCTTGTTAACGCGGTAGAGAATTGCGATTTTAACGGATTTTCGATATTCAGTCTTCCGCGACAAGGATTACCCCTGTTGAATTTTAAAAATATATGGTTTGCTGCCACAGATGTATTAAAAACGTGAACAGATAAAGATTAGATTTCTTGAAGAATGCTAGATCCTTATTCAATTTATTCAACATCCAAGTTTTCCTTTCCGATAATGTGCTGTTGAAACATAGATGCTGCGTGAGCGTCTTTCCACACATTGCGTGGCTATCTTTCCAATTTCTTTTGAAGCATTCAAAATTTTGCATGACCCCTATACGCTCCCGCATTAAGACGTTAAACTCAATCATTGAATGTACGAAACTCCTTTTTTTGTACATATGTATTTAGAATAATATTCTACTATATCGAAATATTATTTCATTATATCACAAGATTCTTTTCATTATTTCGAAAAAATTTTCATTATTTCGGAATTTTTTTCATTATTTTCCATTTCATTTTAAAATTTCCTTGGCAAACGATCATTTACATTACAATACTGCACAGTAATTCAAATTAATTGTGTATACATTTTATTGAATCAACGCTTCCGTATCTGTCCACCCATGACAAAGATATTTATTGTTTTTTTTTCTTTTATTATAGGAGGAATATAAATACCGAATGATGTTGTTAATAGTTCATTTTATTGTCGTTACTTTATTATCTCTAATACTGATTATACTGTTGTTAGTTGGGTGAAATGTTATTGAATTGTAACAAATGCATACCTGGAAGAAATTTTATTAAATGTTACAACGACAGCTGAGTGTAACTCCCTTACATCATATTGTAAACAAACCCACGGCTGGTTAGAACTGTAATAAATTATTAATAAATATGTATATATTTGGCGGAACTTAAATTTGGATTAAGTAAATAACTAAGTCGCCCCGTAGTCCATCAAGGTTGTCACCATTCTGATACTTTTTATAAGTAACTAGAACATTACAAGATGCAAACAAGCAGCCAAGGGCAAACACCAAATAAGTAATTCCACCTAAATAGTCCTCACCTAAACCCTTTAAGTAGATCAGATGATAACCCTTGAGTCTTAGGGACCAAAGTAGGTTTACTCTTGAGAACAAACGAGATATCTACAATATGGCATAAATGAACAAGGGCCATGATAAGCGGTCAACTCAATTAAACACAAACCATTTTGTGCCTGAAACCGATCAGAGTGTGTATAGTAGAATCTGCAACTCCCATATCACAAATACGCAAACGCTCTCTTCGAGCAAAATATGTTCTTTCGACCAGAGAAAGTTTGTATAAAATGTTGCCTTGGACAATAGAATGTCTACCAAAGGATGTCATTTTGAATTGCTCGCATTATCTTGCACCACAAAATGGGAATTTGAGTAACCCTGAGTAAAAGTGAAGCTGTTATAGAACTTCCTTCTGGGACGAAATATCCAACTATTTTATTTCCAGTTCTACGGTGGCTGATCTAGAAAAGAAATAAGTCGAGGGCTCGAGATAATTAAGTCGGGCGCTCGAGATAATTAAGCTGTATAATTGTAAGCATTATTTAATGATAAACTTGCAGAATAAAGATATTTTTTGTTCGTTTTTACAGCCCATCCAAAGCTGCATTAACGGAGCCGAAACCCCCCTCCCCCCCCCCCCCCCCCACACACACACTGCATCCCCATATCCCCGAGGCAATGGCTCGATTAGCTATAATCAAACGAAACACTGTGAGGAGTATGCTCCATCCCATGCTGAACGCCACAACTAAATATTTCCCATTGTATCTACCCCCTTCCAAGTTAAAGAGGGAGTAATCTTTGATGTGGGAGATGTGGTCGCCCTCGTCTTCGAAAATTTACACCCTGTTGATCCAATAAGTCCTAAATCAGCCACTAAAACTAATGAAAAGTGATCTGGAAGACTGAGTCATTGTGTAGTACTACTGTTTTTTTTTCTTGAACTTCACTTTTCTTTCCGTGATCAAAACTACAGACTACAGTTCAGGTTCTTTCTAAGTTTTATTCTTCTAACAATCTGAGGCAATTGGTAATCACAACTCTCCCCCGTTCTCAAGAAGCTTGTTATAGCTGTTATGATGGTCTGTGTGAGTTCTGCCGAATTCTATGTTGTTGATGTTTATTACAGATTTAACGTCCAATACATTGAGTATGATATTATGGACAGGTTGATTTAATTAAAGGGTTGAAAATTGGTAAAACACAAAATAAAAAAACTCCTTGTATATCAAAAAGTCCAGCTAACCATTCTAGCTATAATAGCTCAAAAATAGATAATACAAAATGAAAATATTGAAAATTTCATTCAAATTACTCAATTCTGAGAAAAGTTATCACTGTTTGTAATTTTGACAAGATGTGTGCCTTGTGGTAAGCAGGGCACTGGTATATTCGAGACTTAGCCTCGCTTTCCCGTTTTTAAATTAAATTTTTAAATTGCGAACCATTCTAATCTAGTTAAAATCACGAGTATCCGATAGCATCTAGGGTTGATTATGATCTTGTTTTGTTTATAACTGCCTAATTAACATATTTAGCTCTTACATAACGCATGTTTAAAGCATGAGATCCAGCTGACTGATATTTGGCGTCATCAGAGCGGATAGAAAAAAAAACCCGTGGGGAAAAAGAACCCGCCTGCTTTATGTGGAAAAGCAAAGTTCTCGTAGTAAATAGCACATAGCTGGACCCGTAAAATGTAAAGCTGTTCACAACAGCAGCGTTTACAATTTATAGTTTGCAGTCCATTAGGGTTTTTCTTGCATGTGACTCATCCCAGATAAAATTTACCTGAAAAGAAAAAGAAAACAGAACAAAACATTAAATTTTAAAACACAAATTAAATTATATTGATTGAATTCTACCCCCGCTCTGTCTTTTATAGGTAACCACCCCTCAATCTGTTTCACAGAGTATTAGAAAGTCTTCTAATATCTCTGTAAAAGATGACTGCCTTCAACACATGACGTCATATCACGCGGCGTCAATCATTGGCTCAATGGTGCATGCATTGTTTACATAAGACGTTACTGATTCGAGCAGAATGGCGCCTTTTACTCATTTTAATACCAACTTACACTAAAATAGGAAATAATTTTTACCTACTAATACTTAAAACTTCTTTATTTATTTTTCTAATAAACAAAAAAAAAAAAAAAAATTGTGGCTCATTAAGTCGCATCGATGTCATCCTTATCAGTGATTGTCGCGGCCTAGCGAATATTCAGTGCTGTTCAGTGTGACCACCCCTAACTGATTTACGTGATAAACTGATAACAGCTAAATTCCAAATATGGAATGGACATGCACCATACCCTGGATATCGACAGGGATTGTTACCTAATCTGGTCAACAAAGATAATATACGTTTTATAACAAAGACAAATTTAAATGACCAACATGTTCATTAATCTATAGCTCAGTTAACGTATCAAAACAACCAGCGTGACTTGCTACAATATCTTGATTGTTATCAATTTTACAATCAATAATTGGTTAAAGATCACAATATGGTTTTTGTTACCGCCATCATAATGTTATATTTGATAAGCCCACAACAGCAGGATTTAAGAAGTAAAACATACAATCTTTTAGTGGACAATATTCAGTTAGTTTTAAAGTTCGTTGTCTGAACCTGGTCTAATTTATGAACTTTGAAATTAAATGCACTTAGGATTAGAATAAGATTATTTATTTATTTTTCATTTATTTTTTCTTTTTCTTTTTGGGGTGGTGGGGTGGGGGTGGGGGTTGTAATAATATTTGTACCCATCCACGGTCATAATCTTGATTATACAAAAGTAAAAGCCAGGCAATGATTAAAGATGCATTATGTAAGATTTAGATAACGGTAAGTGCAAAGAACCACAGTACACGCAAAACAAAACGGATAAGACAAACGTGTGGACAAGACAAACTATACAGACATTGCAAGAAATACACAACAAATATTAATTCAAGTGAATGGATCCGTGGGCCAGCCGTAAGCGTCCGCTGCTGGCCGTTTTTGCTGGACTAGTTCAACAATATATAATGAGAAATGAATATTGATAATGTCATTCAAATTACTTTATTCTAGGCGAAGTTATGACCATTTGAATATGTAGTGTAGATCGTTTATTATCGTAGTAACGATATTTCACAACCGAGACTAAGTCACGATTGTCCATTTTATCACTAAAATTTTAAATCCATTTAAATCTCGACAATTCCATGTTTAAGAGAGTTGATTGCTTGTTGTGTTAATAAATGTCTAAATAATAATTTATGTAACATTTGAAGCCAAAAGAAAAACTTTCAATAGGAAGATTTGGCTCTTTAATATCTTTAATCATCTTTGAACCTGTGATAAGTAATTAAACGTAGACTATTAGTGGACTTTAATCAGACGCAAATTTTATTACGCAAAACTTACATTGTAATCACCGATAGATTTCATAACCCTAATAATTATCAACACGAAGGTGGAAGAAGTTCCCCAACATCCACCACCACAGACACAAATATTGATGACAAGCAATGAGTCTGCTAGTAATAACGTCAGTTATTCTGCTGGTGTTTTACGTGATAATGACATGGCTCCGGAACGGGAAAAAGGAACCTCTTCCGCCAGGCCCATCTATTCTAGGATCGTTTAAGTTTGTTTGGAGAATGGCAACGAAGAATGATGTTCATTTAAACGCGGAAATTCTGAGTAAAAAATACGGAGATATTTTTTGTATAAGAATTTTCACAAGAAGATTTGTCTTTCTCAACAGTGCGCACTTGATTCGAAAAGTTTTGTCGTCTGTGAAATACCGCGACGTTACGAACGACCGACCACTGACGTTTTTCACAAAACATATATATGGCGGTCGAGACATTATACTTAGAGATTTCGACGAGGGCCTTGTAAAATTGCGGCAGATAGTTCATAGATCTATCAAGTTGTATGGAGAAGGTATCATAGTGTTTGAAGATATGATTAATACTGAAATAAGGAATCTTAAGCACGAATTGTGTAATTCTACCGGAGAGGAGTCATTTGATTTGGATAGTGCCATAACATTTTCTCTAGCAAAAGTGCTTTACACATTTGTAAGTAACATTTTGTTTATAGGCCCTTGTACATGCTTTGTGGGCGCATTGTCCTTATGTCATCATCGTGTACCCCTTTGTTTACTTATTCAATCAAAATTAATTTAATTTGATTTAATTGTCGTTTTTGAAGATTTTGTGTGTTTGTGATATCTTTATCAAAATCCGATTGTTCCTAAATTTATATACACACACCCATACACAGAACGTTTACAAGGTTTCAACAATAACTTTGTAGTAAAATAATGCGCGAGTATGAATTTCGACTAGGCCCAGTTTCAGAAACACTGACCTGCTTATGACGAGTCATTTCATCCCAGCAAGGTAAAACAAAATGTTTCTATACCCTTGACCTATAGAGTGTTTATTACTACAATCATGGACAGAAGGGGTGGTCGACGCGTGTTCAGGGGTAGCGATATGCTTTTACATAAAATGCAGAATGATGATGATGACGATGATGTTATGTCAAATTTCAAACATTCCTGATTTTTGATGTTTACAAATGTGGCTGTATTTATGTTTTTAATGTTTCTGCATTGTTGATACTTGTATGTTTTCTACATTTGAGAATTCTGCAGAGCAACTATTTAATTTCATAATGTATTAGTATATTTATTTATGAATAGGTGGGATATGTAACATATCCATCCAAATTTCGGCTATATTTCAGCTAACGAACGAACCAGCAACTGATACAAAAGATGTCTGTGATACAATTAAAACATATGATAAATTGATTAATGCATTGTTCAGTTTCGGAAATAACATGATTTTCACATTCTTTCCTTGGCTTCGTTTCTTACCAGGACCAATATCAGAAATATGGAAAAAAACTAAGCATTCTCAAGAGAGGCTATATAATTTATTCTTGAATTCCAGTATAAAAAAGGTACGGCCTTCTTTTTCTATGTCTTTTATTTTACCAGACACGCCGAATAACCACCGACAGCTTCCACAAGTAACTCAGTTAGTTTTACTGAGTAGCATTTAGTAATAAACAAGTTGTCACACGATCGAAGCTGTAACCGAGATATGTCTGACCATGCTGATTAGTCAAAGGCACAGAAATTCCTCCGCCAAAAACAATAATTAGTGACTTAATCAGAAGAGCTAAGTGACTCATTTCCAGTACATGTGTATTTCCACCTTTACCCGTATATTGATTAAACAGCTCTAAAGATAATTATTCTACATATTTTAGAGGATGAAATATCATGGCAAAGGTTTACTTGGAATTATTTTAAGTGAGGCAGAAGTCGATGATCAGATTGATGAAGGATGTATTAAAGGTGTCCTTAGTAACATTATAACAGCTGGGTTTCTTTCTACCAAAGGGGCACTGACAGGTTTCTTTCTACTTATGCTTTACTATCCAGAGATTCAGCACTGTATTCAAAAGGAAATAGACGACAATATTGGCAAGGACAGAAAACCTAGTCTAGACGATCGAGCAGTAATGCACTACACAAACGCTACTATTTTAGAATGTCTGAGATTCATTGGTCATGTTCCATTTGGCGTACCTCATTTGGCAAGGGAAGATTTGGAAGTAGACGGTATGAGGATTCCAGCAAATACTATGGTAGGATTTGGGCACTAGTATTGTATAAATACATTATATACCAGAATAAATGTTAAATATAGTGTTTAAAATCATACAAAATTTAAAGAAATGCTATAGCCCAGTGATACAGAGATTCTTTAATGTAAGCATCCCGACTTTAAAAAATTAAAAATTTCTGTTATTAGCTTATAACCAACCTATGGGTGATGAATCGTTCTGAGAAAGTATGGGATAAGCCTGGCGAATTCTTGCCTGAAAGGTTTTTAGACAACGAGGAAAAGTTACTCCCCAAGGAACACCCCTTAAGGTCACAGTAAGTTTTCTAGACTTTTGGATTGCAGTTGACAAAATATTTAAAGTGGATGACGGTCCGTGTCCCGGGATCGAAGCCGAGCGTGGGCTCAGAAATTATCAGCTGTAACACCAACGTGTTGCCAAATCTTTTGGTTATGAATAAAACCCAAGGTACACCGACCCACACATCAACGTCTATGTAAAAGAACCCTTGGTAGACGGAGCTATGTGTTGACGAGAACTTAAATCGCTATGTCCCTGTTTATAACTGTTTTTAACCGCTCAAATATTTCACTTTGATCGTTGGTTTGGGTAATACATTGTTACAAAAATGACAATGCCATACCTATTATTAAAAATCTAAGTATATCTTAATACTAGCAATGGTAGAGATAATTGTTTCAACTTCACGATTGTTTTTATTATAAAATTGTTTATTCCAGATTTATACCGTTTGGATCCGGAAGAAGATCCTGCATTGGAGAATCGTTTGCAAAGTCTCGCATGTTCCTATATGTGACATCGTTATTACAGACATTTGTATTTTCACCCGGTAAAAATAAACTGGCTCCTCTAGATCCAGCAACATGGAAACTAAACGTTGCTATGCAGCCTGATTTTCTGAACTGTATTGTCCGTTTACGACAAAGTAGAAACATTTCGTGAAGTAAAGCTAGATTTCTGTTAAACTAAATTAAAATGCAAAATAAAAAAGAAATCAAAACTAATCGCAGCCACGAGACAAATTGTAAAATTTATTACCTGTTTGATAAAAAGAGTTGTGTTTCTTGAATAGCATGCTCAAACGGAACGAATTAAATCTTTGTGACAACTTAAACATGCATTATGCAAGAGCTAAATCTGCCTATTGCAGGTCTTTCTTTAGGCCTGAAATGTTTTCTAAAGTATTAATTAGACATTAATTAACTGATCCAGGCCTTAATCAACTCTCGATGGCATCAGATTTCTCCGATATTAAATAGATTAGAATGGTTCAGCGATACTTTGATTTAATCAAATATGGAGGACCGAGACTTAGCTTCGATCAACCAGTACGGTTGTTGAAATTATTGCATACGTCTGTCAAAACTTCAAAGGCTATTATCTTCGCTTGCAATGGAGTAATTTGAATGAAATTTTCAAATTATTCATTTTACATCATCTACTTTCGAACTATTATAGCAAGAATGGCTAGTTCTTTATCTAAATCTTACATAATGTATCTTTAAGTGACCGAAAGCAATTAGTACACGTGCAATGAAAAACAAAAACAAAAAATCTTCAATGAATTTAAAGCCAAATTAACTTAACTCCCCACTGAACTAAATGAAAGAGAGAGAGAGAATTGGGTTTAACGTCCACTCAGGTCATTTCGTGACTAACACATCTTTAAATTTTATTTCAATTGAACTAAATGAGCATGAACTGGACTGTTCAGCTGGTCTTTTCCCCAAAATTGAGATCCGCCCAGTCTGCAGCCTGCCACCACCCCCAAGACAAAATCAAACAAAAAACTTTACTCTCCTTTTGAGCCAAATAGTCCGAACAGACCATCACTGCCTTGCCTACATCCGCACATCTGTGTCTGCCATTTTGCATCCACCAATCCAACTGCGGAAAAACAATCTAAGGGGGGGGGGGGGGCAATTAAGACATGTGCAATGATAAAAACATCTTCCAAGAATGCCAAATTTATTTAATCCCCACTGAACTAGAGCTAAATGCAACTGAACTGGACTGATAATCGTCACTGGCCTACACACGGATTTCGGAAGCTTAAGGTGTTGGCTTGTTCAGCTTTCGTTCGAAGTTGAGTAAAATAGAAAGTTTAGAAGCTTGACATGTAACACGGCGGAACGACGGACATGATTTATCTAAGTCACCAGACCATCCCATATTAGTACATCGAAAATTTCGAAATAATTTTGAACCCATTCAGTTTCCTATAAAGGTTTTTTCCAACTTTAGGAAAACGAAAATTTAGAAGAGCTTGGTCTGTAGCATGACGGGCCGACGGGCATGAATCATCTAATCCACCATCCAATCATGTTGTTGTGTCGAAAATTTCAAAATGCGTTTGACCCCATTCAGTTTCCCATAAAGGTCTGTTCCAAGTTTAATAAAACAGAAAATTTAGAAGTATGACAGACCGACGGACATGTTTCATTTATTCCACTCCCCATCACGTCGTGTTGGTATGTAGAAAATTTTGAAATAATTTTGACCCCATTCAAATTCCCATTACGGTTTATGTTCCAAGATTTGTAAAATGGAAAATTTAGAAGTTAGATCTGTAAAATGACGATGGAACAACGGGCACGATTCATCTCAGCCACCAACCATCACATCATGCTGGTATGTCGAAAATTTCGAAATAATTTTGCCCCATTCAAATTCTCATACAGGTTTATGTTCCAAGTTCCAAGTTTAGTAAAATAGAATGAATCATCTAATCCACCATCATCACATCATGTTGGTATGTCAAATTTCGAAATTAAATCGACTCCATTCAATTTTTCATAAAGGTTAATGTTCCATGATTAGCAAATAGGAAAATTTAAAAGTTTAACCTGTAGCATGATGGACTGGCGACGGCATGAATCATCTAATCCACCATCATCACATGTTGGTATGTCAAATTTCGAAATTATTTTGGCACCCTTTTAAATTTCCTTAAAGGGTAATGTTCCAAGATTAGGAAATTTGAAAATTTAAAAATTTAACTTGTAGCATGACACATTGACATGCATGATGTATAGGCGTATAAAACAACCTAAATAATGTTTAATATGGGCGTGCTGAAAAAATAATCCAAGCGGGAGAGAGCAGTTAGTACATGTGCAATGATAAAAATATCTTCCAAAAATGCTAAATTAACTCAATCCCCACTGAACAAGAACTAAATGCAACTGAACTGGGCTGTTCATCTGATATTCCCCGAATTTGAGAGCCGCCGACCAGGCTGCAGCCCTCCACTGCCCTCACGACTAAATCAAACAGAAACACTGTACTCTCCTGTGCAATGAAAAACAAAAACAAAATAATCTTCAATGAATTTAAAGCCAAATTAACTTAATTCCCTACTGAACTAAATGGAACTGAACTGTACTGTTCAGCTGGGCTTTTCCCCAGAATTGAGAGCCGCCCACTCTGCAGCCTGCCACCGCCCGCAAGAAAATAAATCAGAAAAACCAAATCAGATCACCATATTGCCTTGTCTGCATCCTCTTCCATCTGTGTCCACCATTCTGCCTCAACCATTCTGCATATAATATAAATAACCAATGAACAGTAGACATCTACAGACAACTTCAATAGAAAAATACTATTTTGGCAATAACAAGACTATAAAAATGAATTGGTGACCGTTGGCAATATACAGAGATATAACAATAGTTAAATCCAATTTGCAAAAGAACCCTATCAATATTTGAATCAAAATGTTACAGTAAAGAAACAGTGCTAACAGGTCTTGGACACACATTTACATAGAGAAGCGATTTGATAGACTTTTAGTAAGGATATCGGTTGAAACTACATAATCAAACAACCGCAAATGTTATGTTCTAGAGCAATGAAGCAGACTGCTTAAATATTATCGCCTAATGTGTGGGTCTTCTTCTGTTCTGTATCATAAGCCCATAGCCTAACAAGGATTGCCAACTACCAGTCATCAGAGATCACTGGGTGGCCAACCACAGGTCATCAAAGATAACTGGCCTCGCCGAGGATCAATGAATGAGGTGTGCACACACGTTGGTAATGCTGAGAGAATGCTCTTCGAAACGTCGCCCAAATAAATAAGTAGCTGTTTTTCCATAAGTATGTGTTTTTATGTATTGTTAATCTAAGAGGATTGTGGCTGATTTACATCTATGAGATATACTAGAGACTTTTGTCCTACTTCTATTGGGTTTTCTGGTGTGCTGTTTCCACCTTGCTTATTTCGCACAAAAATGCTTATTGGATCACTTGGAGTGACTTAAAGATTAAAACTATTTGAAAAGTCGGCACATGTCAGAACCATGTGAACTCTCCGAAATAAGTAATTTGGTGTAAAAGATTAGGTCTTATTTAAATTTGAACAAATGTATCGGGTAAAATGATTCAGAAATTTGTTTTTTGAGACTTTATAGCTCTGTTTGAGAGTAAAGCCTGGGAATGTACATACTCCTCGCAGTATTTCGTTTGATTATACCTAATCTCACTTAACACTGTTGTAAAGAAAGCAAATTTCTGTTCCAAATTATGAATGGTCAATAGTCCGATTAACCACCAATAGCTAACTGCGTAACAGTATCATAACGCGTTAAACAGAGCTCCAAATTGGACCAAATATGTTTACATAACGTTACGTCATGACTCACGATTTTATTATGCCTAATTAACCAGTGCAGCATAATATTGCAGAAAAACTAATTGCGTGACAAACGAGGCTATCAAAACAAATACAATGTGGACAATACTGTTTGGAGACGAACAATACTTTCACCGTTTTTAATACCGCAAATCATGACTGTCCAAGGTTTTAGGGAAAACCCCAGATTAAACGAAGGGTTGTCATGTTGCTGTACTTCGGATAGATTTGATTGAACGGGAAGAATAAACACACTCCATCAAAAGCGCAAGTATCAGAAGTCAATCCAGCAATGGCCAGAGAGGGATTTCTCGAGCCATTGCTTTAGGAATATGGGGAATGTGGCATTTTTAGAAAACGTTTTAGTTTTCATATTTTTTGCTTGAAACTTCGTAATAACATTATACATGTATGTACTGATCAGATTTCCAATACATATCAAACACAAATTTACTTAAATTATCCTCCGTCCTAGATTTAGCTTTTAGCGTATAAACTGGGTAATAATTATCCGACTGACCCAGAGTTAACGGTATTCTAAGAAAACGTGCATTTTTTTTTTTTACCTTTTCGGAACACTTTTGGGAGTTAAAATTAAGCTGCCCTATGAAATTAAGGCTGAAACATGACTATTTTCGAAGGCATATTTAAGTCATATATAAGAGCAAACATTTTTTGACGTTTCCGCGAACTTTCAAGTTTTTGTGCCCATAAAAGAATAAATGATTGTACAATTTTCATAAAAATTTGCACCATTCTGTGAATGTTCCTTAGATGTAACTAATTGGTCACCGAAAATGATGTCATTGTGGCAAAAATTATATTTTTGCGAACAAATACATCAAAAGATAGTTTCTAACTTGAGTCATTACCTAGAAATAAACATTTGTTCAAAAGTAACCTTTTACGTTGTTTTCCCCACAAAACATTTATTTATAGTTTATTAGACATTTTAACATTTGATACCTTATACAAACCGCCATTAAATCCAATCAATCCAATCAATCCAAAATTCCCAGTATTATCGGGGGTGAGGCGATTTTGAAAGACACTATATTTTTATTCTTTAGAACAAATATTTTTTCTAAAGATTGTTATTAGCTACCCTTTAATAATATGATTTACCAACTTCCTTTAACATAGTATGCAGATATACGACCATGTTGATATCATAAAATCATTTTTAACTTTGTCCTTTGCCGAAAAATAGACGAATTGTATGCAAATATACGATCAGGCAGATATCACAAAAAAATCTCCAACTCGATGCATTGCCGAGAGATGGCCGATTTATCATTAGCCTAGTCACTTTGTATGGTTTTCACACTTCAACATGTATTGATCAATGGCTATTTCGCGTCCATTTTTTTAACATTAGTACGGGAAGTGACGTCTGCTAAAGGTGGGCGCCGGTGAAATTAGTCTTCACAGTACTAGTTTTCGATTTGTTTCAGAGTTGTTTCTAAATGCAAAATAAATTTATGTAGGTTTACAATAGCACTATTTTTTGGGTTACCTATATTTTAATATTCCTCACTGTTCATTACATCATTGGTATTCATAGTATTGCATTGCTACCAAAATGTTTCTCACAGAACACTTATTTTCACCAGCAGATGGAGTGGTAACCTTTAGGATAAAGTGTGCATTTTTTTGTAAGATATCTTATAATATTTTGGATTTACAATAGTATACCGATATTCCTTTTAAAATAGATCTTTAGATTTAGGGACAACATATTTGTTTCTGATGTTCTTGTAGAAAAGAAGAAAAAACAAACGAATCTTTGGAAAATATAGTCCCTTGAATAATGAAATATTGTTATGTACAATTTCAAGATAAAAAATACGCAGTATGTCATGGAATGTATCAAGCAATTATATAGTTATTTGAGAAACATAATACAATGAATTATAAACGAATTAAAAGTTTTAAAAAAAGATTGCCAACGTTCTAAATATACACGTAAATTCTGTGTACGGGGCTCTACAAAACTGGATAGTAAATTATGGATGTTTAAAAACTGTTTACCAAAATTAGATAAATTTGACCTGACCAGTAAGCGACCATCCACAATCTACACGGTAATGGCTAGTATGTAATGTAAGAGCTACATTTGCCTATTGCATGTCTTTCTTTAGGCTCCAAATGTTATTTAAATTATTAATTAGACATTTATTCACATGACCAGTACATTATGAACTCTCTAGAACATGGGATGGTCGCGGTGTTTAATGGAGTGACACACGATCACTATTTAATAATTAAATTTAAAAATGGATAATCGAGACTTTGTTTATTATCGTACAAATGGTAGCAATGGAAATCGAGACAGCGGTTTTCTTATCAAAACTTCGAACATTTATACACTTGGCTCAGAATTATGTAATTTGACTGAAGTGTCAATATATATTGTGGACCGAGTTATTTTTGAGTATATCCTGCAGCCTCCATCCAAAATTCCACCACGTGTCAGCACAATAGCGTATTAAAATTTGCATGGCTTATATCGATATTGGAGTCGTGACCGACAACTTGTTAGCTTGGTTAGCAACCGTACCTTGTCAGATTCGTAGTAAAAGTGATTCATTCATGTAGTCACGTGATATCGTCAGCGAGCAATCACGTGACATTCACTACACTCCTCCCGATCCAAAAGACTTTGACGTCAACTTAAAGGAAATATGCCAGATACTGTTTAAAAACCAGATGAATAAACTAAAAATTAATAAATATGATTAAAATGGAAGGAATTCTATACATTTTAATGCCCCATACAATACCATTGAACAAAACATTTTGGTAACCGGCTAGCACGAGACATTTCGGGCGGAATCCCCCCTCCCGCCAGAAAAGAATCCACAGCGCCGGCGAGAAGATGTGTGAGACAATTGGCACAAATGATGGAATATCTACAGCTATTTACAGTTTCGCGGAGGTACAGAGAGCTACAAATATTTGTGTGAACCCTCGAACACCCGTAATTGTATCTGATACAGCTATTCTTCTTTTTATGGTTGTCAACCGACATTTCTGACTAAATAAAACTCGTTCACTACAGCTAGTCTTCACTATCCTAAAATAATCTCGGGTAAAATCTCCTGTCTCAGAAGCCATCTAAAAAGGAATAAAATAATGGTTAAAATATAATGAAGACTGAAACCATACCACCAACAATTATTTAGGAATAAAATCTGTGCAGTTTAAAAAAAAGTATGTATGTGCGTAGATTATAATAAAATATAATCATTATATTTTTTGTGGAGTCTTCAGCAATTACTGGAACAAATCCATCATCATCATCCTGGTCAACCAGCGACAGCGATATCACCTTTCTGATGCCAGCTGGTGTGGGAGACCTCGAACCAGCATCAGTATTGTCCTGGGACAGGTTGCTCAAAGCTCCGAATCCCATGCGAACGTGTTCAAACAAACCCTAGCGGGTTATGAATGCTGTCTTTTTCCTGGAGGATTCATCCAATTCAATCTGATAATATCCCTGAAGCGAATCAAGACAATCCTCAATGATGAGTAACGGAAAATTATCTTTTACTGTTCGCTTATTAAGAGCTCTGTAGTCAATACAGTAGCGGCAGCTCCCATATTTCTTCCTCACCAAAACTGGGGGCCTGCTCCAATCCGATTTTGATGGCACAATCACACCGGCTTTAAGCAATTTCTCTACCTCCTGAAAACCCAGGGGTGTTTGTCTCATTCTCGGTTTGATATCTATATGGTGCTGAACGGTTGAGAGACAATCAAGATCAAAATCAGCGGCAGCAAACACATCAGAATATTCGAACAGCAGGCGGGCTAAATCATTATGATAATTTCCAGGCAAGTGGACTACTGACCGTCTGTACCTTACAGACTTTACTAATATTTCCAGGTGAGTACTTTAGGGTAGCAGATATGACATCATTCCCTATAAGACACAGTACAATTGCGCAAGTTAACAACAGGAACGATTAATTTGGGCTGTGAACCAACAAAAATGTTAGCTATCACCAACGCCGGATTAACCATGGGGCACAGGCCCCAGCCCCCCCCCCCCCACAAAAATCTCAGTTGCGTCCAGCCCCCTCCTCTAGAAATGCCATCATTTCATAGCACTCGCATTGATTGGTCCACTGAAATAACGCCAGAATGCGCTAATTTTGTGGCAGAACTGTATTATTTTCTGGGGTAGGTACTTCTAAATGGCTCCACGCAAGTGCCTGAAATGCCAGGAAATCACGTTTCCGGCGGGGCTTCGCGACTTTGGCGCTCGCGGTTGCCGGCTTTGCCGGCCACAGCTCTGCGATCGGTGATCAGGGGCCCCCCACATGTTCCAGGCCCCAGGGCCCCCACCATGGTTAATCCGGCGTTGGCTATCACCCAAACAGTAATGGAGTCCCTTTAAATGATGTACGCGCGGGAAATTGGACCAACAAAAAGTTAGCTATTCCGTGACGTGCAGGTGGGTTATATATATATATATAGAGAGAGAGAGAGAGAGAGGGTGAGAGAATATTGATATGACTAAATCGCTGTAACTATCTTTCACAACAAGCAAACATAAATTAACTTCTATAGATTATCAAAACACCGGTGATCGAGTCAAGGTGAACAATCAATGAATCACAATGATGTGACTCACTTACGATCGCTATTATGACTCGTATTATCACACATTAGAGATATAATGTAATCGCACCAAATACTCACGATACAATATATCAAATTGACTTTTACCAACCCGTGATTCGGCTTACGCCAAGTGTAGTCGTGGCCGACAACTTGTTAGCTTGGTTAGCAACCGTACCTTGTGAGATTCGTAGTAAAAGTGATTCGTTCATGTAGTCACGTGATATCGTCAACGAGCAATCACGTGACATTCACTACACTATCAAAAAGTTACAATTCTCGAACGGAGGGCAATTAAATATTCAATCACCTGAACAGACAGTAGCCTAGAAGTGTGCGCAGCGACCCTATTCTAATCCGATTCCCCTTCAGTTTGAATCCGGGTGCTGGAATACGGGTGAGAGATTCCGCTTGGGCGATTGCGACCAAGGTCACTAAATATAGTAGTGATGAACATTAAACGAACTAAACTCATTTACGAGAAGACAACTCAGCTAAATAGCTTTGAATGACTGCAGGTAGTGTAGGCTAAATATCGATGACTATTGTTACCCGACAGGCATTACTAAGCATATAGGTCAGATTATATGGGTATATAAATGTACATAATATACATGTATATGGCCACTCCATATACTGGATTATTTTAAGGTAAATATGCTTATTTACATCAACGATAGGCCCTATGTAATACATGACTTCCTTATTTCGTGCTATATTATGCTAAGGGCAGGCGAGCGTATTGTTTCACCTAATCGCGCTGATTAGATTTCGCCAGCGATATTTTACAGCCGATCACGAACGGGCATACGTAGCGATCGTCTCGAGGGTGTATGCCATTCAGCGAGTAAATTACGTCGATCATGTGACCTGTTCTAAATCGTAAGATTAGTTTTGTAGCTTTCTATTTATATGCTAAAAATAAGACGCAGAATACATAGAAGGACTAGGAGGATAAATCAAAACCTATTCCACGCTTCGGCATGAGTGGAGGCGGACATTTCTATATATCTATGGTTTCAAATTTTGCATCACATCTAATAGACAGCTGTCCTTAACATGGGCGTCACAGATGGGGGGGGGGGGGCTGAATATACTTGGATTGCCCCCCCCCCAAAAAAAAAATACATAGTAGGCCCAAACTTCTATTTATTTACAACAATTATTAGGATTAGTTAAGATTCTATCTGTATAAAACCTGTACATATCCCAATACGGTTTACATTGCTAAAATAAAACACAGAGAGAATCATCCTGGAAACATGTGTGAAGTGAAAAGTAACTGTGTTCCATAAAATTGTGTCTAGTTAGCCTGTCAGTATTATTTTGTTAATTGTCCCCCGCCTTTCGAAGAAAGCAGGGGACTATTAAAATGGGTTCGTCCGTCTGTCTGTCCGTCTGTCTGTCCGTCACACTTTTTGGGACGCCGTCCGTCTGTCTGTCCGTCTGTCTGTCCGTCACACTTTTTGGGACACAATAACTCTCTTCCTAATTGAGCTAGAATGTTCAAACTTGGTGTATGTGTTTATTAGGTCAATGCCTTGATGGAGTTCGAAGATGAGCATTTTCCGCTTAGGGTAAGCAGAGATAAGCAATTTGATTGGTTGATACTTTGGGGCACGATAACTCTCTTCCTAATTGAGCTAGAATGTTCAAACTTGGTGTATGTGTTGATTAGGTCAATGCCTTGATGGAGTTCGAAGATGAGCATTTTCCGCTTAGGGTAAGCAGAGATAAGCAATTTGATTGGTTGATGCTTTGGGACACGATAACTTTAGTTCTAATTAAGTGAGATTGATGAAACTTGGTGTATAGTTTCATTACAGTAATACCTTGAATAAGTTTGATAATGAGCATTTTCTGCTCAGGGTAAGCAGAGCGATACGCAATTTGATTTTTATATGTGTCCTCTAATTATTTTCCTATTTCGGCGGGGGACATGAGCCTCACTGTTGGCTTGTTTTTTTCTGCCACTTATCAGAGTGAATCGCATGTAGGTACCAAAAAACATTATCGCCTAAACCAAATATTTATCACCCGCTCAGAAAGCAACGTAACCATAATGCTTTTGCATGCGGTGTCTTGGTAGAGAGCATGGCCACATGGTGTTTGTTTATATTTTTTAGGGGTTTTAAAAATGAGTTAGGGTTAGGGTTGCGGACCCCCCCTCCCCAATATATATTTCACGGCTACGCCTCTGGTCCTTAATGTCAGGCCATCCATCCTACATCACTGACTAATAAAAATGGTTTGCCCGACAATATACGCTAGGCGAATGAGTGGAGCTTGCCGTGCAGGGACCCCTCGCCCCAAGAACATTTGACGGCCGCAAAGGCGTTTTCCTGCTATTGCAACCCAAGGATACAGCAACTTCAAAGAGTTCTAGTATAGCCGGACTGACTCGAATTCCAATCAACCAATCAATCGTTCACAATCCACGGAGACGGGACCGTCAGGAGAAAATTTTGAAAATTTAGCTGCCGCAAACTCGTTTTCCTGCTGTTCAAGTCCGTAAATACAGCAACTTCAATGTGGTCCATTTAGTTTCACCGATGTGGTTACTTGTATGGTTAATTTTTACTTCAGGTTACTTGTATAGTTAATTTTTACTTCAATATCCTTACGTTCATATTTCTTGTAACATATAGCAGATCATGACTCATGCTGGCATTACACAATGGTTTCTTTGGATTATATTCCTGGGCCCTGTTTCTCGAAATCTTAACTAAAGATAAAATCCAAATTTTAGTAGATACTTCAATTTTGATTTACTAAGTACTAAAATCAATCTAATATTATTCAATCAAATTACTAAAATTTGGATTTTATCTTAGTTAAAATTTCGTGAAACAGGCCCCTGATTGTTTTCAAATTTGAGTGAAGTCTGTGTCACTACATACCCGGGACTGTACAGCGCAGTGGACGCTTGCGGCTTTCCCCCCAGATCCATTCACTTAATTTGAATTGTTCATTTCTTTGTGATTTCTGCGTATTGTGTCTTGTCCGTATATTTGTTGTTTTTTTTTGGTGTAAATTATGTGTGGTGCTACCGAAATCCCACTGTATGCCAACCTGAATTCCAATCATCCAATCGGGCTGTTGCAGCAGCATTCACAAATAATAATAGATGCCCGAAAAATGTCGCACAAAGTAGAGTGAATCCAGACAAAATGTTTTAATCAATAGTCAACTCAGTACAAATTCGTGGTATTCAACTAGATGAAATGATAATGTTTGTTTTCACTTTACCCGTCCTCCTCGAAACGTCAGATTGCCCCCCCCCCCCCGGTTCGTCTGGGGGTTATGTTTTTCAATTTGCGCTTAAAGGGTACACGATGATTAATTTTGAAACCAGTTTGGAAGAAAATGACTCACCTTGAAAATTGATAGATACATTTCTGGACTGCAGTTAACCCATCAGTGGTTTTCCCACCTACACCTATCTATTTGTTGTACCCTAACCCCGATAGTAACAGTATTATGTCAAGCATGCCAGTGCCTGTTTAATTTAACGCGTATTTTTCAGGAGAAATAATAAGGTAAATAAAATAGATTCATATTACTAACAACAATTTTTTGTATTCGAAACCATTATTATTTATTTGAAAAATGTATCTATTTTTATCGTTTCAGTGAACCGTGAGAATAAAACATGAATATACTACTAATATCATCTGTGGTTTTAGTGGTGACTTACCTCATCATAAAATGGTTTAAAGATCAACATAAAACACCTCTACCCCCAGGTCCAGGATTATTAGAATGTTTAAAAATTACCTGGAGAATGATGCGAAAAAATGATATTCATTTAATGAGTGCTGATCTATGCAGACGTTATGGAGAGATATTTAATATCAAGATCTTTTCGGAGAATATTGTGATGCTCAACAGCAGTCGGGTGATTCGTAAAGTTTTGCTGTCCAGTCAATATCGTGACTTAACAAACGATCGACCACCGACATTTGTTAAAAAACATTTAATCTATGATGGTCATGATATCGTGTTAAGAAATTTTGACTTATTTCATGTCAAATTAAGAAAAATTGTTCATAGATCTATGAAATTATATGGGGATGGTGTTCATGTATTCGAAGATATGGTGAAAAATGAAACAAAGAATCTACAAAATCATCTAGAGACTTCCAATAAAACTTGTATCGACTTAGACCGAGCTTTAACGGTTTCTTTGATAAGGGTATTGCATATACTTGTGAGTATAACTGAATTTTTAACCAATAATTACATCAACTTGTACTGAAATATACTTTATGGTATAAACTTCTATTTAATTAAACCTTCATGTTAACACCATGTACTTGACCCCATAGGCTTATTATTAGGAGGTTGGCGGGGTGGGGGTGGCGTTGGTGGTGGGGGCTGTAATCATATAGGCGTATGAGATCATATTGGCTTATATAATTAGGGGTGTGGTGTGGAAACCATAACGATATAGGCGTACTGCGAGACCACAGGCTTATTATTAGGGGCAAGGGTCTGTGATTATACCGTGTGGGATCATATAGACCCCATGATTAGGGGTGGAGGTGAGGTGGAGGGAGAGGCGTATCTACTGTAACTATAGAGGCGCCTGGGATCATTTAATATAGACTCATGATGGGGGGGGGTATATATATATATAGGCCTATGTGATAGTATAAGCCTATAGTGTAGTATTATAATGTAGTAGTAGCTGGTGGTTAAACAGTTGCTTCCACGCTTGTGGTATCGCAGACAAGGTTGTAGGCCTGGGCCCTGTTTCTCGAATTCTTAACTAAAGATAAAATCCAAATTTTAGTGGATACTTCAATTTTGATTTGCTAAGCACTAAAATCAACCTAATATTATCCAATTAAATTACTAAAATTTGGATTTTATCTTAGTTAAAATTTCGTAAAACGGGCCCAGTCTATAATTATACGGGCCTGAAAATTTATTTCTTATGTTTTTTTAATACCGATTACATGATTTAAAAATCGGTATTCTATTTCAAGTTAACCAATGAAGCACCTATTGATACTAAAGATGTTTGTGAAACTATTGAAGAATATGACCATTTCATCAATATAATTTTCAAGTCTTCGAACAACATGGTTCTCACAAAATGTCCATGGGTTCGTTTTGTACCTGGATCATTGCGTCAGATGTGGATAAATACAAAGAATGCACAGAATCGACTGAATGATTTATATTTAAACCCCACTATTATAGAGGTGAGTATTTTCGATATGCAGGGCTTATCGATATTCATCGTGCCACGACTTTTAGTCCCGGAGTTACCCCCCTTCGCCAAAACCTCGTGAACGCGATAGAGGCAACAGTTTATGGCATATTTCTTTTACAAATTTGTTGATGAGAGGACGACGAAGACTTAGGTTCTTTTTTCCGTAGACTTTGTGAACGCGATTAAGGCTACAGTTTTTAACGGAATATTTTAAAATTTGTTGTGGGGCATTGTGATGAACCCTGTGTAAATTCAACCTTCTTTGACTTTCTGTTTCATAGTTATCCTCTTTCTACAGATTTTTGTTCAAATTGAATGTTCCTTGACCTTCCGTACGAGAATTACGCCCACTTTTCTGTAAACGTTTTGAACGCGATAGAGTCTATAGTTTTTAGCAGATTTTTTGTCAAATTTTATGGAAGCATTGATATTCAGTGTTCCGCGAATTTTAGTTCTGGAGTTATTCCCCTTTTTCCAATTAACTTTGTGAATGCGATACAGGTTAAAGTTTTTAACGGAATTTTTAAAATTTTCGTGTGAAGCAATGCAGAGTACAGCCCTATCGATATTCAGCTTTCAAAGACTTTTCGTTTCGGAGTTATCTCCCCTTTGTCGAAGACCTTATGAGAGCGATATCGGTTATTATTTCCAACCGATTTATTTTTCAAATTTGGAGGGAAACGTCGAGGTCATGAGAAGATGAACATCATTGATATTCAGCTATCCGCAACTTTGCGTTCCGTATAGTTATGCTGAAACCTTGTTAACGCGTTTTGGGCTACGATTTTTAACAGATGTTTTCAATTTTTATGAGAATCATTGGGATAATGAGAGGTCGAACCCCATCGATATTCAACGTTCTGCGAGTTATTCCCCCTGTTCTTAAATTTCAAACTTTGAAATCAAATGGGGTTTAACGTCACACTGGTCTTCGTCGATTTCAAATTTGGTTTGAAGCATTGTTGTCATGAGATTGAGAGAATGAACCTTATCGATATTCAGCATTCTGTGCCCTTCCGTTCCGTAGTTACAAATATTGGACTATAAAGCAACCAGGTTTTAAAGTAGCTAAGTCTCTAACTCAATATCATCCAAGAAGATGGCGGACGAGTAGAGTGGAGTGAATGATCAGACAGATTTTAAGCTAATTTTAATGATATCCAGTGATTAAAATAGTATGTACTTTTGCAAATAATACAATTGTGATGTTAAAATTTACTACATTATAAAACTTTAACAAATAATCAATTTTATGACAAGTTATTTGAGGTTTTCTTTGTCTACTCGACGATTTCAACTTAGAAGTGCTCAGGTGAGCGAAGTTCGTTTTAGTTAGAGTCAACTAGAGGACAGTCAGACATTCAATAGAAAACCAATACAAGTAACTTAAAATGACGAACAAGAAAAACAACAAGCGAAGCAAACCTGATGATAGTACCAGTTCCGCAAGCATATCTGCTTTTCTTGACACATTGGTAAAAGACGATGAATCTCTTAAATCCTTAATTCGGGAAATTTACAAAAGAGAAGAAATTATGTGCCAACTGATAAAACCAGTGATATTTGAAAAAATGAATGATAAAATTGTGCAACTAGAAAACGATATCGAAGAATTACAACAATATTCCAGGAGAACCTGTCTTAAATTCAGTGGGATAAAAGAAACAAAAGATGAAGACACAGATAAATTAATCTTAGATCTTATCAATTCACAAATTTTACCAGAGAGTGAAGAAAGGTTAAATCTTCATCATATTGGACGCTCGCACAGGGTTGGCCGCAAAAATGTCGGATATGAAAGGGACATAATTGTGCGTTTTATTAGCTATAGGTACAGAGCTGTTGTGTTTAGAAATAAAAAACTTTTAAAGGATTATAACACTACTAATGAATCCAAAATTTATATCAACGAAGCCTTAACAAAGAGAAGATCCTACATATACAAACAAACACGAGGAGTTTTCAAAGCTGGCCTAGTAAAGAGTTGTTGGACGTATGATGGGAGAATATACGTCAGAAATCTAGATGACGACAGAACATATCTGATAAATAATGAAGACGATTTGAAAAATTTCACATCAGTACCAGCAACAACAAGACCTGTTCTTAGAACGCAACAAGGAGATACCAGGCGAAATATATTTGGAGACCTAGCATCTATAAACGAAGGACAGAAGACTACTAGACAACAATCCATAGTAAACTTTGGGGTTATGACGTCAACACCCAAAAACCCAACACCAACAATGTCACCAAATAAATCTAGCCAAGCTTCAAGATTCTAATTATATATAACAATGTATGTAAGTTTCTTTAAATTCATATTTAAGTATATAAACAATTTTATATTGAAACTTTAAGCGTATACAATATTTCTTAAAAATATGTGAAGTTATAAGTAGTTCATAGTTAAAGGGAACGTCCCAGATGATTATTTGGAAGATACAAATGTTTAATTTTTCTATGAAAATTACTTATAAACCCCTACTTTAGACCTGTACAACTATTACAGGCCATATTATTCATTACAGGCCGTATACAATATTTCTTAAAAATATGTGAAGTTATAAGTAGTTCATAGTTAAAGGGAACGTCCCAGATGATTTTTGGAAGATACAAATGTTTAATTTTTCTATGAAAATTAATTATAAACCCCTACTTTAGACCTGTACAACTATTACAGGCCATATTATTCATTTTTTAACCGTTTTAGAAAGTAAAAACAGTAAGATGAGTCTATATGTCTTTCATCTGTGAATATAATTTGAGGCTAATGAAACCCGACGAGCTTTCAATTTTTAACACATTAGCAAATAGTCGCGTTTGTTAAGATCCGGGAACTTTTAGTTTTAAAGACCTGAACTTTCTGGGAGTGTCACTTTAAGATTATAGAATACTTTAAATAATATGTTAGGATGAAACTGGTTGATAATAGTATTCTGTACACACAACATTGTATAATAGTAACTTATGTGAGACTTATATGCAATATTTCATAGTAATATGTTAAGTTGAAACTGGTTCATACTTAAATATTAGCACTCTGTACACATATCAGGTCAACATTTTCAAAATAAGGCCGAATGTTGTAACTTGGTCATATTTAAGTCTATACAATATTTCACAAAAAAATGTTAGATGGAAACTGGTTCATATTATGATATTAGTATTCTGTACACCTTACATAGTAATACTATGTTATATTGAAACTGGATCATACTGTACTCATACTTAGACAAAAATTATTCAAAAGACAAAATATTGATATAATATTCCATAGTAATAAGTTATGAAACTTGTCAGGATCTTTATACTAAGATAGTAGTGTAACTAGTGTTATGTAAAAAATACTAATACAATTTTGACCCATCAATGGCCACCGTTTCTATGAAACAGCATTCACTAATTCAATACAATTTTCCAAAAAAATATATTGTAGTGAAACTTTTCTCCTTTTTTAGGCAATAGTATTAGTCTATGATTTTATTGATACAATATCACAATAGGTAATAATAATATGCTATGTTGCAATTATTTAAATAATTATTAAATAATGGTATTCTATAAAGAGATTAAGACAGTACATGTATTATATAATAATGCCTATTATATTAATATTTTAAAACAGCAATTATAATGATATATTGTATTGCAATTTTGTTTAGATTAAGAAAAAAGAATTTACTACAATATACTCAATATTTCATAATAATCTATCATTTCACAAATTGCTCTTAGATCTTAGAAAATAGTATCTTATAAACAAATCAAGACAACATTGTATAATGATATATTATATTGAAACTTGTTTATCCTTAGATAATACATGTAGTATTCTGTAAACATGTCAAAACTGAATTTCATATAATATTTTATGCTTAAAACTTGTTAATACTTGGACAAAAGTATTCAATGCACACACTAAGACAACATTTTATAACTTGCTACTAAGACAGTAGTACTCTACTCACATATTTAGATTATATGCTGAAATTTGTTCATACTCAGAAAACAGTATTCTGTACAAAATTTTTAGAATTAAACCTAGAGTAGTACACATATTGACACAATAATTCAAATTATATCTTAAATTAAACTTGTTCATGCTCATAATGATATTTAGTGTAAAAGTTGTTTATACTTAGGTAGACAAAAGTACTCAAAACACATATGTTATTTGGAATCTTTTGGTTAGATTTTTATATTCTACAAATTTATTAAGACAGCATTTTATGATGAGGATACATATTATTATTTAAACTTGTTTGTACCTAAATTTAAAAAATGTTAATAACACAGACAATATTCCACAATAATATATTATGTTGGAACGTGCTTTAGTATTAAAAATATAGATGCATTTAAGACAAAAAGTATTCCATATACATAGTGATACAACAGAATAATATATTATGTTAAAACTTATTGAACAGCATTCTACAAACATATTGATATATTAAAGCGTGTCCATACTTAGATAAGAGAAACTTTTGGGTATATCAAGACATCTCATAATTATTATGTTAGACTATTTTACAAATTCATACTTCAAAACGTTTTGAACACTTGAACACACTCATTGATGCAATAGAAATAATACTTTAATAATATATATGTATGTTGAAAATAGCTCTTTTTAATAGTTCTTTATAATAAAATACTATGTTAAAACTTTATTTTAATACGGATTGATACAATATTTTGACACAATATAAGTAAGATAACGGTTTCTTATATGCAAACAATTCAATTTTTTTTTTTTTTTTTTTTTTTTTTTTTTTTTTTTAAATAAAATACTGAAGTACGTGTAGTTAAAATATAGCTTAAATTTTGTTAATATTTTTGATAAAAGTTATTTCTTCTTTTAATTTTAATGCGATATTTAAATCTAACTTATTCTTTAATTAAAGTTCTCTCTTTAATCTGTCTGAACATATGCAGCTTGTCGTTATTTTATACGGCAATCACAGAGGTGCGGTAGCGTTGTACCTCTTGTACATAAATGTAAATAAGTTGATTTCGTGTATTTATTGCCAATGTATTGTATATAATCAATTACGGCCAATTCATAAATCCTACATTTATTACGATTATCATGTTTCAATTTTCATAAGCATTTTAATATTTATGTTATCTTTATTGTTACAGAGTGGAGATGTCGAACAGAATCCTGGACCAAATAAATTTTCCTTGGTGCATTTGAATGTTAGGAGCATCCGAAATAAAATTGATCTTGTCACAGCAGAATTATCAGAAGATTATGATTTTATTTTACTTACAGAGACATGGCTTGACAAAAACGTTTCATCTGACACCCTATCTATCACTGGTTTTAATGCACCTATAAGAAAAGACAGGACAGACGGACAGGGTGGGGGCGTTGCACTATATTACCGTATGAACATATTAGCAAAACGTAGGACTGATTTAGAAACCGACAGTACAGAGTGCATTTGGATTGAAACAAATATTAATAATGTAAAGTTTTTAATTGGCACCTTTTACAGACCTCCAAATTGTTCAACCCAAATTAACAAATCAATATTTGATTCTTTGTCATTGGCAGCATCAGATGATATAAATAACCTCCTTATATTTGGCGATTTTAATTTTGATCTTTTGACTAAAACAAATACTATTATTCACTCAGCTATCTCAGTTTTTGATTTTAAACAGATTATTACAGAACCAACAAGATATGACAATAAAGGGGGGAAAACATTAATTGATTTAATTTTAACAAATTGTTCAGGATATATCTACGAATCTGGTGTATTAGATAACTTCTGTAGTGATCATTGCCCTGTGTACTGTCGGTTAAATTTTCATCGTCAAACACTACATAGCTTTTCTCGAACAATATGGAACTACGATAGGGCAGACTTTGACAATCTTCGACATGACATTAGGAGTATACCATGGGACTCCATCTTTGATAATGGTTCAATTGAAAGCTCTAGTATAGCCTTTACAAACGAGTTAATACAACTAGCAACAAAATACATTCCCAACAAAAAAGTTACTATTAGACCTAAAGATAAATTATGGATGAATAACTCTATTAGGAAAATGAGAAGGAAAAAAAATAAAATACACAAGAAAGCTGTAAAAACTAATTTGGCAACTGATTGGCAAAATTTTAGACATATTAGAAATACATATATTAATTTAATAAGAAACTGTAAAAAAGAATATTATCAAAAATTAGACGACAAAATTAACAGTACAAACAATTTTGGCAAAAAAGGGTGGTGGAGTCTTGTTAACTCGTTTGTTAGGGATAAAAAAGGTGGAGAAATGCCACCACTTATGAAAGATGGGACCCCATTATTCAACCCTAAAGATAAAGCACACTATTTAAACGAATTTTTTATTAACCAATCACAGCTAGACTACACTAATGCAAATCTTCCGGATCTCCAGCACGAAGAACACTCATTGTGCAACATATTACTAACACCTAAAGAGGTTAGAGACATGATTTCAACAATTGACACTTCTAAAGCTACAGGACATGACGAAATTAGCGGGAAATTAATAAAATCTCTATCTTCTGAAATAAGTGAACCATTATGTAAATTATTTAACATCTCTTTAAACTGTAAGCATGTACCAATTATTTGGAAATCTGCAAACATCACGGCAATTTTTAAAAAAGGTGACCCAACTCTTTGTGGTAATTACAGACCTGTATCGCTATTAAGTATTATTGTAAAAATCTTTGAGAAATGCATTTACAAACATGTCTTTAACTTCTTTAAGGATCACAACATTATAACTAATCTACAAAGCGGTTTTCTGCACGGGGACTCAACTACTTATCAACTAATAGACCTTACTCACTTTTTTTGTCAAGCCATCGATCAAGGCCAGTATACGAGAACGGTGTTCTGTGACATCAGCAAGGCTTTTGACAGAGTGTGGCATGCTGCACTTTGTCATAAGCTAGGGGCAGTTGGGATCAGAGGAGATCTACTAGAGTGGTTTGAAGACTATCTTAGTAATAGAAAACAATGTGTGGTTATTGGGGGTGCTTCTTCTGAACCTCTGACTGTCCCAGCTGGTGTCCCACAGGGCTCCGTTCTCGGACCCCTTTTGTTCCTTGTTTATATCAATGATATTGTCAAAAACATTGACTCGAACATCAGACTATTTGCAGACGATACAAGTTTATATATAAAAGTAAGTGACCCAACGGCATGTGCGAATGTTCTTAATGCTGATCTGGAAAAAATAAATATTTGGGCAAAAACATGGCTGGTATCCTTTAACCCGCTGAAAACTGAAACACTTGCACTTACTACTAAGAAGAAAATTATATTACCGACACTAAACTTAGACAGCATTCCAATTCAAGAAGTTTCGTATCACAAACATCTGGGACTGACATTTCAAAATAATTGTAAGTGGGATATGCATATCAATAACATCTTAACAAAAACTGGTAAACTCGTGAACTGTCTTCGATCTCTAAAGTACCGACTTAGTCGCAAATCCCTAGAAATTATGTACACTTCTTACATTCTTCCTCATTTTGACTACTGTGACATAATATGGGACGGGAGCACTAATGAACTGACTAACAATCTAGAATATTTACAATTAGATGCACTCAGGACTATATGCGGTGCTGTAAAGGGTACCAGTCATAAGTTAATATATCAGGAGACCGGGTTTATATCACTGCAAGAACGACGAAGGCGACACAAACTAATATTAATGTATAAAATTTTAAATCATTTTACTCCCGACTATTTATTTAAACTTATTCCTTGCAATCAATCATATTCATACAATCTACGAAACCAAAACAATTTACCAGATTATTTTTGCCGAACAACTCTCTTCTCTTCTACTTTCATACCATCCACTATTAAAGAATGGAATAACCTTGATAATGCTACCAAAAACGCACTTACCATTTCTTCTTTTAAATCAAAATTACGAGCTATAGACAACTCTGTTCCATCTGTCTACTATATTGGTTGCAGGAAGAATCAAATTCTCCATTCTCGACTTCGACTTTCTTGCAGTGATTTAAACGGACATAAATTTCTAAGGCATATTTCGGACATTCCTACATGCGATTGCGGTCACTTTTTTGAAGACTCTGAACACTTTCTGTTAGTTTGCTCCTTACATTCAGATGCCCGTTCTCAAACTATTTTTCAATTAGAACCAGAACATCACAATATTAACTCCCTATTATTCGGCGTAAAAGATAGCTATAAGGCAACACAGATATTTAATGCAGTTCATCATTTTCTCGACATCTCCAAGAGGTTTTAAAGTCATGAATTATGAATTTAAACATTGTTGTGGCTGTGAAATTTGTATATAATGTAAATAGCCATCAAATTTCAATTATCTTGTATATTTATTACTATTATTTTGTATTTTAATGTTTGTATTTGTATACTATGGAGAGGGGGTCCATAGGCTAAGCCTGTTCCCCAATCCAAAATTTTCTGAATAAAATATTGTTTAAAAAAAAAAAAAAATATCATCCAAAATCTTCAACATTGAAAACACGATTTTTTTGTCAAATTAAATCAACATTCATGTTGTGATCTTACCGGAAAAAGATGGGCTTTTGATATCCAATATTTAAGACAAAATAAACATTTTACCATTGGTACACGAATCGTGTACCATAATGCGCTTCAGCCCCAGTTGTATCAAGAGTCTCGAGGGACGAGGTTAGACACATTGCACCAAATCAAACGGCTGGAATAACCAGACGCTAGAAATTTGCACTCGCTTGAGACTGCTGGCTTATTTCGCCGAACATAACTGATTTGAAATTGGAGTAAAAACGGAAACCATTGAATGTAAATCAGGTTATATACATTCATACTACAGTATTATATGTGTTGCGACCTACTTTTGTCAATTTCTAGGTCCCAAATGTTAGCGATTTAGCTCCTTTAAGAAGGGGGTCTAATCCTTAGTTGTTGATTTTACGAAATTCGACATAATCATAATGCGCCTTATTTGTCTATTATATTTTAGAGAATGAAATCCCATGGCAAAGGTATACTCGGTAATATTTTAAACGAAGCTGTAGATGATGATGAGATTGATGGGGACTGTATTAAAGGAATCCTCAGCAACATGGTAGTGGCTGGCTATTTAACAACTAAGGGAGCTTTAAGTGGATTTTTTTTGTTGATGCTTTACTATCCAGACATTCAGCACCGTATTCAAGAAGAAATTGATGAATATATTGGTAGGAACAGAGATCCCAACCTAGATGACCGATCAGTAATGCACTATACAAACTCCGCCATTTTAGAATGTTTGAGATTCATTAGTCATATTCCATTAGGAATTCCACATATGAATAGAGAAGAAATAGAAGTAGAAGGAATGCGGATTCCAGCGAATGCTACAGTAAGTCTACATACGAGTTTGCATACTACGCCCATCGCTGAAATTGAAAGCTTTAACTGGAACAGTTTACATCTAGTTCATCGTTATCTAAAACTCTTAGCTACCGGAACACACAAAAACCATGAACTGATTGCATACACTTGGCAATCTTCTTATTGTACCTCTTTTTGTTCTTGGTCCACGGTCTTCAAACCATACCCAAGGCTCTGCCAATTCGTGCGTAATCGACAGGGAACTTGATATGCTTGTTCTTTGGTCAACTGCGAATCGATCGACGGCGACAAGATGGCTAAGATGCCCCCATGCTTGGTTCCTGATTTATACGTAGTATACTCGTACATGTTTAACTCAAATTTTATGGTTTATTGCATCTGCAAACCTTTATGTAAACAGAAAATGCAAACCTTTATTCTCAGATAATCGGCAGTTTATGATGACCCGTTATATTCAACTAGGGAGTAACCTTGGCGCGTTTATTCCCAGGCAATATGCAAATAACTATTCCCAGAAAATATTCAAATCTTTATCCGCAGATAATATGCAATTTATGGATGATGGCCCATTCGGATCAAGTATGGAATAACCCTGATTCCTTCTTGCCAGAAAGATTTTTAGATGACGCAGGTAAACTACTTCCTGCTGAACATCCACTTCGAGCACAGTAAGTCTTTACCATTTCGTTTGATCATTATCTCAGGTTGAAGTTAGGTTAGGCTTATGAGTGGACGACTGGTGCATCTGTATTGGATGACGACATTACAGTTTTACTTAATTATCTGCAAAATCTGCATCGGCTTTTACTAGGAGACAGTGATGATGTTTCCCTTCCATGTGTTCGAAAGACTGCATTAGCACTTAATGGAATGCTAAATGCGAGACCAAATTTTTAAAAATTCAAGGAAATAAGCAATTAGACATATATTTACATTAACAAATATGTTAAATCTGTAGTGGAATGTTGAAACTGGGTCATTAAATATTCTGTGATATAGCTGATTATAGAACAACTCACACCGTGACAACCTGTTCGGTGTACCACTTCATTTTATTTAGAAAAATATTTGACAATATCAAAGCTCGGTAACCAACGGTCTGACTATAATTGTGCTAAGAAGAGGTGGAAATAATGGTGGCGACTATGTCCACAAAATTAAATAAAATTTCTCTGCACGGTTGACTTCAGAATAGATACTGGTTATCTATCGGTGTGGTAACACATCTAGTTCACTGATATAATAATATGTACTATCCCCCCACACCTTCACCCCAGTCAGGTTGAGGGAACTTGCGAGAGATGTTCAGATTTTTGATATGTGTTAAATGAAGTTGATAAAATTGTGATTTTTTTTCTCTCTCTCCAGATTTATACCTTTTGGAACTGGAAGAAGAAACTGCGTGGGTGAATCCTTCGCAAAATCGCGTATATTTCTGTACGTTACGTCATTATTACAGAAGTTTACTTTTTCACCAGGTGAAAATAAATTAGCACCTTTAGACCCAGCAACATGGAAACCTAATGCTGCCATGCAACCCGATTTCTTGAACTGCTGTGTACATACTAGGTAAATGACCAAATATCGGTTAATGCCACCGATATTGATGTCTAAATTAACTGAAATAAAATCTTAAATGTTTTTTTGGGGTCCCCAGCTTTTCTGTGAAACTATTAAATTGTGTCCTCTCTTTCTCAGGTCATTCTGTCACACTTTTTGAAACGTAATAGCATTATTTTTGGGAATGGATAATAATCAAAGTTTGAATATAAAAAGGGGGTTCACATCCTACTTTTCTGTCCCATAATGTAAATGTATAGTTCACCAACCATTGCTATATTCAATATGGTAATGTAACGTTTTTGAATAGCTATTGACCCCATACTCCAGTCTAAGTAATCGTGGTGATACTATCAGGTCTTGTCATATATTGAGGTCAGTGGTAGCAATCGTGTTGACCGTATTGAAACGTATTCGAACGTATCTGCACGTAGCAGATCGTGGACTCGATAGGGACAACCCTATCGTAAAGCATCACACGACAGTGAGAACCCAGCATAAACAAGAAGACTATTAATGTTGTTCCTGCTTTTGGTTTTGTAAGAACTTTTTGGACTGTTGAGTTCTATGGTAGAAATAAGTGGTACTCATCCAGTCGCCCGTATAACTGCTATCGTGGGATTATAAAAGTATATTTGTAACTCAGTAATATGATACTTGTTATATAATATTATGTATAGTAAAATTTAAAAACTTGTGTTATCATTTCTTCTCATCCTCTCCCGAACTCTTAATGTAGCGAGCCGAATTTTTTCTCCAGTGGATGTGGTAACATTGTATAGTAATATACCTATGTAGATAAATAAAGTAATTCTTATCTTGGTTTACCTTGTCATCATGTGATATTAATATGCGATGCATTATGACCTGGCTCTGTAATAAAACCATCTCGGTAAACAACTGGACTGTACGGCAGCACATTAGAGCCATTATGTTTGTCCACGGACATTAGTTGTAAATAGCTATAGCCCTTTTCCCATTGCGAATAGATTAAATTAACCCCTGTAGACGTCACCATTAATAAGAAGATAGGCTTGGTGAAAGGCCGAAAGAACTAAATGAAAAGAAACAAAAAAAAAAGAAAAAAAAAACATATAAAAAACAAAAAAAACCCCAAAAAACACTAACCCCAAATTGCGACGAGACCACTACAGAGCAAAGCTAATGAAGGCAACCAAATTCAGAATGCATGTACAAAATCACAGTAAACCATTGGTTTGAACTTGTGGTGGTTACGCTAATGTGAGGGAAAGTACTGAATGATGGGAGAAGCAGGGACATGGCGAGAGGGTGTTAACTTCCACTTGTGATATTGTTTGACATATTCAAAAGATACAATTTCTTGCGAGCAAGACAGTTCGACTATTAAAAAATGTCTAGCCCATAATAGTGACATATGAAACTGTATATCAAGTCTATTACAGTTCTGGATTATCTACTATCCGGTCAACAGATTCTGAATATAAGATTAACCTATACATGAAAAGAGTTGTCTTTAAGGCCCATTCTCACGGTGCGACTTGTAGTAACTACTTGTAGTATCGACCCAAGATGCAAGTGAGAACACCCTAGTCGTACCAATTTTTACAAGCTCCCGAAACAAGGGCCAAAGCTATTTTTAGTCTTCCTCTCCCTTTTCCTTTTTCCCCCTTTTGCATGGCGATTTTTGTTGACTTTTTGGTGTAGAATCGAGGAAAAGGGTTTGAAAATACATTTTCTGCCAGGTTTTGGTGAATATTCATAATTTTGATGCGGAAGGATACAAGAGTTGAGAGGTTGGTTAGGTTGAAATGTAGGGCCTGAAATTGCATGTTTATTTGTCTCTACTTCCAGCTTGTGTATCTCAAGTTTTTCATGAAGAACCTCATACGTGCTTTTGGGCAAGTGGTTGCCACATGTTGCTCCATCTGTGGTAGAAAGCGTTCTACCCAACGAAAATTTGGGAAAAAGTTAGAGCCGGTCTAAGATACGAGAATTAACATTGGAGTCAATGGGGAAATCTTTAGTGATCTGTGTCCAAACATGGACGCGAAGCGCACCCATCAAGAGCCGCTCAGCAAAGCTGAGACAGAGAATTTTGTTAATAATTACCTCTCACAACCTTGCTTATGGGATGTGAGTGGGAACTGTTTTTATTTATCAAATGTAGGGCAATAATAGCCAGCGTCTCTTCGTCGCTTGATGACGCCATTATGCTAAGACAAGACGAGATTATCGCGAGATTCCAAGTCGTATCAACTCATTTATATACGATTTTGTAATCTACATGTAGATACTACAAGTAGTTACTACAAGTCGCACCGTGAGAACGGGCCTTTAAAAACGAAATTGTTATCATCTTGCGCTTAAATATAAAATAATGTCTACAATGGCACCCCGTAGCTTATTTACATTTCTTTGCTGATAGCAGAATTTAATAAATAAACACGTATCGATTGAACTGGTAATGTACTTTTTAAACAAGTGTGTTTATATGTTGGAAAGCGATTGTTATGGACTTTGTAATTAGTCATTGGCGCTTTGCAGGCCTTGAAAGTAAAAAGAATAATTTTCAATTTGATCTGGTTTAACTATACAATTACACTGGGGGCTAAATGTTTTTGTTAAGGCCGGCACAATTTTCTTCAAGGTCGCTGGGGTGTAAATAAGGTTAGGGCACGTGATTATTAGGGTTAGGGTTGGGATTAGCACTAGCCCTGTTAACATCTCGTGACCTTTGACCAAACTTGAAGTTGGCCTTATCAAATAGATCTAACCTTACATCGGGAGCGTTCATAACAGAATATTTACTCGACGTGACGAAAGCTTGGATTTTCGATAGTTAGGTGAGCCTACAGTTCTTTTGAATATAGTATATGTTAAATTCATTACATTTTGTCTCTTGGAGGGTAATAATGACCCCTGTTATACTGTATACGATATGCCCACATGCCTTTTTATACTATAAACTACAGTCTGTATGGTCAGTCTTAGTGTCATACGAATTTAGTTACAGCTGTTTATATATAATTATTTCTCTTGACATTGTTTTTAGTAGAGCGTGAAGTGGTTATCGTGTATGGAAGCCGGTATGTACCCCATCGCTCCTTCTTTCCTTCAGAACGAGATGTGGGTTGCGGGGGGGAGGGGGGCGTCTAGTGGATTAACGCATGCGCGTGAAACCATAAGGCCTGTCATTGAGTCAAGTGGCTTGGTTTCGATTCTATTTTTAGTAGAGCGTGAAGTGGCTATCGTATATGGAAGCCGATATGTACCCCTTCGCTCCTTCTTGCCTTCAGAACGAGTTGCGGGGGGGGGGGGGGGGTTTAGTGCATAAACGTGTGCGTGTGAAACCGTAAGGCTTGTCATTGAGTCAAGTGGCGTGGTTTCGATTCCCCACTTGTGCGTGACAAGGAGTAGAGTCGGCCGTCCAACCTAGTGAATTTTCTCCGTGTCCTCCGATTTCCTCCCACTGCTAAAGACCCCATTCGCTTAAACGAATTATTGAAATAATATTGAACCATATGTTAGTCCCTAAATGACCTAATTTGTGTTGTGTGGGTGTTACCCCCCCCTCTCTTTCTCCCTCTCTCTCTATCAAACATGTCGCGACCTCGACAGAAACTTTAGCATTGAATAAACCTTAAACTTTGCAATTCGGTTATCACGGGTAGTCAGTTTAGCTGGAAAGCGCGAGACGTGGTATTCGCGATGATCGAGGAATCTGATAGGCACCCCAGTTGGGTCAGTAGCCAATCAAAATTAGCAGGGTATTACGTGAACGGTTTGATAAGATGTACGGAGTTAAAGCCTTCTATAGAAGATGCGTTTGTCGCCGCTTCTTAGCTTCGTCTTCGCGCCGAGGTAACATGAAGGCAAATAGAAGCGAAGAGATACTTATCGGGTTCTATGGTGGTGGTCTAATTCCTTTTAATTCGAAGTAAAATAATTCGGCGTTTTCTCACTGTTTTAGTTAAGTGTAAGAATTCAGAATGGGTTTAATACTTATATCATCTGTGGTTTTACTGGTGACTTACCTCATCATAAAATGGTTTAAAGATCAACATAAAACACCCCTACCTCCAGGTCCAGGATTATTAGAATGTTTAAAAATTACATGGCATATGATAAGAAAGAACGACATCCATTTAATCGGCGAAGAACTTGCAAGGCGTTATGGAGACATTTTCATCATCAGAATCTTTTCAGTCAACACGGTATTCCTGAACAGTAGTCGAATAATGCGTAAAGTTTTCTCCTCCAGCCATTATCGAGATGTTACCAATGATCGACCACCAACATTCTTTAGTGAGTACATCTTTTATGGCGGCAAAGATTTGACTTTACGAAATAATGATGACTTACTTGTGAAGATAAGGCAGATAATACATCGATCCATGAAGATGTACGGAGATGGTGTCAAGGTGTTCGAGGATATGGTTAATTCGGAGATAGAGCTTCTGAAAATTAAACTTCGGTCTGCAGACAATAAACCTACATTCGATTTAGACAGTGCTTTAACAGTTTCCATAATACGAATATTGCACATATTTGTAAGTTAAATGTTTGTATTATTCAAATGGACCAGTTCTAAATGACCATTTTACAGTTTGCATTTATATATTTCAATTGGTTTAACAGTGTCATTTGAATGTGTCCTAGACAAATCAAAATTTGGGATGCATATTATTATGCAGAATCTTTTGAAAGGCTTTGAATATTGGGGAATTGGATTGGCTGTCTAATTAATGTCAATTCGTATTACCTAATTGTCACAGACATATAGAAGGTGTCTTTCTTAGAGTGGCCATCCTAATAAACGAAACGAAAATAACACATTTGATTAGATTATAATGATGCTATCACCTTTCTTTTAAGGAGGTAAACCCCTATAGAAGTCTATGCTATCTTTAAAACTTGAACAGCCACATGTAAATGTAATGTTTACGAACGAATCACGACATTCAAATATATTGTTTAAAACTTGAACAGCCACATGAAATGTAATGTTTAAAATTTGAACAGCCGCTCGAAATGTAATGTTTAAAGCTTGAACGAGATGTAAGCCTAATTTTCCCCAGACATTCTTTAAATGAAACTTTCTATTTTAAGTTAACGAACGAAACTCCAGATGAGGCTGCAGAAATATGCTCCGTCATCAAAGAATATGATCATTTTGCCAATGTACTTTTCAATTTTTCCAACAATATGGTTCTCACACTTTTTCCATGGCTTCGTTTTGTACCTGGACAATTCCGTGATATGTACATGAAAATGAAAAATGTTCAAAATCGGCTGCATGATTTATACTTAAATGATAGAATTAAAAAGGTGAGTTATTTTAAAAAATAAAATGTTCAATTATGAAATCAATAAAGTACCAAAAGCAGTCTTTGCTGGTTTGCATAGGTCAATAGATTATTTATATATCGTAGTTCTATCATTTTGTACTTATGTCATTATATTTTTTACTTCTGCGTTTGGCTTTGATACACTTTTATGTGCCCACACTTAAATGCATTCGTATATCACTGTCATCCCCGTCTGCCCGTCTGCCCCTTTGCCCGTTGTCCACATGTGCCTTGTGGTACTCCAGAGGTCATGGTTATCACATTACATTATCATCGTATAGTTTGTATCAGAGGGACGAAACAGCTCGTGTAAAACTATAGCAGATTCGCTATATGTGACATACTTGAAGAGCTGCTGGGACGAATTAGCTGCTGTAGTAATCCGTAAGGAGAAATAGACACAATTGCTCTGCGGTATTAGCTGAGCGAAGTCCGAAAAACTCGCCTTACAATGGTTTGATCGAATTTCAGGAATAACCTTCTCTGCCTTTATTGAATTCGGGCACGTTCTAAATATAATCCTATAATAAGGATTATGAAGTTCTTGTCATAAAAGAAGAAAGTTAATCTAGAACCTGTGAACCTATTAGATAAGCCATGTACGATGGCCTTTTAGTGTCACACGTTGATTTCTACCCTTTTCTTGTAATTTAACTCATAAGAGAAATCGCAGTGAAAACTATGATAAATAAAAAAAACCTCTTCTCCTCGGGGTAAAAGTTTTCTCCGCGGTATAAAGTTTTGCATGTTTTTTTGATTTATCATAGTTTTCACTGCGATTTCTCATATGAGGTAAATTACAAGAAAAGGGTACAAATCAACGCATGGCACTAAAAGGCCATCGTAGCAATGGGACAATGCATGCATCAAGATTTTTCTTCTTCAGAGAATAGGTTCTAACGGTAAAGGCGTGCTGGCTCATATACTGGCGGAATTCGAAGTTGATGATCAGTTCGATGAGTTTTACGTCAAGAGCGTCCTTGGTAACCTAGTTGTTGCTGGATACCTAACTACTAAAGGTGCTTTAAGTGGATTCTTTTTGTTGATGCTTTACTACCCAGAAGTTCAACAGCGAATTCAAGAAGAAATAGATGAGAATATTGGCAAAGAGAGGGTGCCAAGTTTAGATGATCGGCCAGTAATGCACTACACAAACGCGTGTATTTTAGAATGCTTACGATTCATTGGTCACGTTCCGTTCGCCGTACCCCACAGAAACAAGGTAGAGATAGAAATAGAGGGAATGAGGATTCCAGCAAATACGACAGTGAGTTTATTTTGACTGCCTTTTTTCCACCTCTTGCCTTAGATATTCTTTCCAAATAGAAGGCTTTCACATTGCCGTTTTTGAACAGTTTGGCATTACCGCTGTGGAACGGTGTGGCACAGTTTGGTTTTGTTGATGAATGAATGAAAAATAAAATGAAGTTTAACCTTTTCTACTCCAACCGGGTTATGAAGATGAATGTTGACAAAGGCTGCAGGTTTCCTTTAAGAATTGTGATATGAATAACATTACATCTTTCTAACCTAACTATTGAATCTGAAAAATATATTTTGTCACTGTTTTTGCTGATCGTTTTTGTAGCTTATCCCCAACATGTGGACTATGGCGCATTCTGATAAAGCATGGGATAGACATGATGAATTTTTGCCGGGAAGGTTTTTAGGTGATGATGGTAAACTACTTCCTGTTGACCACCCATTACGATCACAGTAAGTTCTGTTTTACTGTGGCCTCTTGGTTTCAATTTATGATCGGCGGTCCTAATCCTTATCTCGACTAGCATATCTCGGGTTCAAATATATATAAGTAATAACCGATAGCCGCATCGCAATTGTATAGGTACATATCACTTACCGTCTAACAGCCGAATGGCACTTGTATTCAAATCGCAGTTGCTTTAGATCATGAGATCTGTCACTGAGTCGTCGTTTCGTACCCATACCTGTACGTGACACGGAGTAAGATCGCATGCCTAACCTCCTCTGGGGTTTCTGTTAAAGCACTAGTAAATAAATGAAATAAAGGATATATAATGTTAGACCCGAAATGACATAGTTTTTAAACGTTAATTCTGTGTGAAACACTCATAAGAACCTTTATCTTAGTCCCGTAAAAAGATTTCGAATAAATACAAACAGCTGAGCTAGGTTTATTATAATTGGGGGCAAGTTTCCAAAATCAAGGCGGCAATGGTCTAGATAATATTGTCTATTACTGTGTTGTGGTGTGGCGTTATTATGTAGCTTACTATAGGTAAACAATAGGCTAAAATAATCCGATATGAGTTACGTATAACCTCTATTTATAACTTATTATGGTAATCACTTCGGAACGGCACAATAGTTTGAGTTGAACTTTCGGACAAGGTCTCGCGTTCATAAAAACGAGATTAAAGGGATATTATGTAAGATTTACATAAAGAGCTGGCTGATCTCGCTATATAATATTTCAAAAATAGATAATGGAAACTGAATATATTGAAAATTTCATCCAAATTAATTGAGCGAGGTTATCACTAGTTGTAGTTTTGACAAGATGTGTGCAATGATCGTAACCACTGTACTGGTCATTTGAGTTTTAGCCTCATTTCTCCATTTTTAAATTAAATCATTAACTGGACGAACTGTTCTAATCTACTTAAAATCGGAGCCATCCGATGGCATTGGGAGTTGATTATGGTCTTGTCATGTTAATAAATGTCTAATTAATAATTTATAGCATTTAAGGCCCAAAGAAAGACCTGCAGTAGGCAGATTTATCTCTTACATAAGACCTGTTTAATGTCTTTTTCAGATTAATACCATTTGGAACCGGGAGGAGAGTGTGTGTAGGGGAGTCCTTCGCTAAATCTCGTATATTTCTGTTTGTAACGTTATTATTACAGAAATTTAACTTTTCACCTGATGAAAACAAACTAGCACCTTTACATTCATCCCTATGGAAACCCGAAGCGGTTCTTCATCCTGGTTTCCTGAACTGTGTCGTGCGCGTTAGATGAACTAGCTACACAACTCATCATGTCAAGTAACCCAGATTATCTTTAATTTGGCATTTCGATATTTTGATTGTATATGCCATTTAACTAGTTCCTCTCGGGACGGCCTCGGCCCTCTGGTCGTTCCTGTACGTCATTATTAAGCTGCCGACCCCTATTCCAAGGCTATGTTTTAGCCCTACCCTTTTTTTCGCCACAGTTCTTCTCTATTCCCCAAAATAGCCTTGGGGTTGGGGGTATAGAGCGATATTTTCATATTGCAGTATAATATGACGGGAACGGTATGGGGATATTGTCCGTCCTGGGATCGTTCGGAAAGGATTTAGGTCTACATATCTATACATGCAAAGCAGTAATAATTTTGCGAAATGACCGCTGTGCTACCCTTGTAGTTATTTAAGAAATAAAAATACGAATTATCGGAGAACGTCTGTAAAAAAATTCAAGTGTAGATTTGTTATATGAATCAGGTATAAGTATATATATTGTTTACAAGAAGGGAACTAGAGGTCAAACAGATTTAGCAGGCATATGGGCCTTTTATTTTTGTGAGCGTTGTAATACTATTTGGTAATTTATGCGAAATTGCATTAGGTGAATATAAGTGCACTAGAGGACATGATTCATAATTTGATAAATACATATGTTATCTGTCTTCTCTGTTGTCCAAATATTGTCGTTGCGACCAAATTATATCATGGACCAAATATTGGTTTCAAATTCATAGACAAGGAATACGATGGCTGAAACAATACGGTTATCATACCCAAAAATGTAGAAAGTATGCTGGTTATTTTGATACTTTAACGGAGGTATAGATTAATGAACATGTTGGTCATTCAAATGTTTCTTTGTTATAAAACGTATATCATATTTGTTGATCAAATTAGGTAATAATCCGTGTCAGATATCCAGGGTATGGTGCATATCTCTTCCATATTTGGAATTTAGCTGTTATCGATCTATGACGTAAATCAATTAGGGGTAAATTCTTTAAAGTCAGACACCGCCTGGGTTCTTTAGATGTAGCGGTTTCCTGAATCTAGCCACGCTGGTTAGACTTTTGCGGGAGTTGGGGTTGAGAGAAAGAGATGTTAATTTTAAATACTGTAATGTTGTGTAACTGTTGTAACATAAAACCGTATATAGAAATAAAACTATTGTTGTTTCTGTTACATATTTGATTTCGGTATCGTGAGAAAACACAATGGTGAAGTTCTTAAGAAAAGAATTACAACAATATCTGAACCAGAGACAAAACTAGATAATCACAGGCTAACAAAGATCTGTGGCAGGAGAGAATATGTCGGACGTCGGATGTGGTAAGCCTTTTAAGATTTTGGGTTTTCCATATCTGACCGACGACGTATATTGCTACAGCGCTGCTCGAATTTATCTATAAATATTCACCGATTAATTATCCCACTTTATTTAAAAAGTTAGAAGTATTGTCCTAAAATAGTTTTTTTTGGCCCCGAAAAGCATCTTTCGGGACACATAGGGAGGACAGCAGCTTCCTCAAGCCCCCACCAAGAATTGCAACTTTCCTTTCATATATATAATAAATCATTATAGTACACTAGTGAATCGCTAATATCAAAGCTGTATAGTATGCTGAAGTCACATGAAATATTACGAGTACATAGAATATAATGCAGGAAATATTTCAAATAAAACCTTCGAATGTAAACAATTAATTGCTCAAGAGTGTAAATTATGTGAACTCTATGCTCATCTACTTTACCCATTTCATAGGAAATATATGGAAGGGTATCGCTGCCAATATTAAATGCTCTGACAAGATGTCTTTTCGATTGCTTCTATGTAAAAAGAACAATTTAAAAAGTCTTAATACCGGTAATGATAAGACCAAAGTTAAACGTAAAACTTCAAATGTAACGTGTCAAATGACAAATGTTTGATTGGAAAATGCTGTCACGTGACTTCTTACAACCTGGCACACTATAAGCCAGCACACTTTAAGGATGTCCACCACACAATAAGGGGAGTTCAAGTTGACCCACTATAACAAATTCGCTGGACGACCGTGACTGCAATAAAATCACGTTATTGGTATGGCTAATCCGAGCCTACGACAAATAAGATAAATTAAAAGTCTAGTCGGGTCACAGCCCCCAGAACCATGACCATTTCTCGGGGAAAATAGTTTGACGATAGAACGGACCCTAGGGAAGATATTTGTAGTTGCTACCTCTGATATCTACGTGCTACATCCTCGAGAGTCGAAAATCCAAGATGGCGGCCAAAATGGACGGAAATTGACCTTGACAAACACTATGGCGTAATGACCTTTGTAATATACCATTTTATAGGTTTTGTTAGTCGCCCGACTAATTTTGGACAGGTTTAAAGCAAATACGGGTGCCGATGTGACGGTTATACCAAAGTTTAATTTCAGCAAGAGCTTTAATGGGAAACACTTACTTTCTACCAATCGAATTCTGAAAGGTCCAGACAAGCATCAACTTGAGACTCTAGTATATTTTCATGCAGATTTAAAGTGGCAAGTTCAAATCCACAGAGAACTAGTCTATATCATATGTGCCCTTTATTAGGTAGGAGTGCATGTCAGTCACTTGGTGTTGTTTTATTTCTGGGTAACGAGGATAAAATGTCTTCCATAGAAGAAGAATTCCTTGAACTTTGTAAAGGCTTGGGAAAACTTGAAGATTCTTATGATATTGAATTAGCAGAGGATGCTGTTCCCTATTCAATTAATGCACCTAGAAGGATATCTTTACCATTAATGCCTATGATTGGTAAAAGAGGAACTTAAGCGACTCGAGGATTTAAAGGTTGATGTACCAACTCCATGGTGTACTTTGTGTTGTACTGAAAAAGAATAAAAAGCAAGTCTGTGTTTGTGCTGATTTAACTACACTGAACAAAGCAGTCAAACGAGAAAGCAATATGCTTCTTTTCTTCGGTCGAACATGTCTTGGATCAAATAGCGGGTTGCCAAGGTGTTTTCCAAGCTAGATGCGAATTCAGGATTTCGTCAAATTGAACTTACAAGAGACTACCGTTTGGAATTTCAAGTGGCCCAGAATTATTTATGAAGAGAATGTCTAAAATCTTAGAAGGTCTTCAAGGGGTTGCATGTTTAATGGATGATGTTGTTGTATATGGTTCATCGTACGCCCATCATGGTGTAAACTTACGGAAAGTTCTGAATAGATTGCGTGAACACGGTTTAACCCTTAATAATTCTAAATGTGAAATTAGAAAAAAACTAAAGTTCAGTTTTTAGGCCAAATAGTAAGTGAATATGGTGTCCAATCAGATAAGGACAAGGTTACTGCTATTAAAAACTTTCCACGACCTACAACTGTTTCAGACGTTCGACGTTTACTCGGTAGGGGTTAATCAATTAGTAATTTAGCAGAGATTAAAAAAAAAACGCTGCGTGATTTGCTACATATATCCAAAACGTGGGTATGGGATACAGCTCAAGAGAAATCGTTTCAGGAAATCATTAAAGTATTAACTGATACACATGTGTTAGCATTATACAATCCAGCCTTGGATATCAAAGTAGGTGCGGATTCCTCATCGTATGGTCTGGGTGCAGTTATCTTGCAACCGTATTCCAGAGGTTGGCGACTACAGGGGCGGATCCAGAGGGGGGTTTGGGGGTCGACCCCCCCCCCCCCCCCCGCTCGGCTACATAATTTTTTTTGTAAATCAACACTTTTTATGAGGAAGGTTTCTCGGCCGTGTGCTTTATTATCCTTTATCGTCAGATTTGGGACAGGATGGGCACTCAAAGCACGAGATAATGATATAGTATAGACATTATGTGATATCACAATTAATACTTTGCATCCATGAAATTGAATCACAAAGTCATTGTATTAATTCATAATAAAAATTGACGTCAAACGAGGTGTTGAATTTCTCTGGTTAAAAAGCTCAATGTGTATGTATATACGCCAAAATGACGATAGAGACCAAGCGGGAGGAGTGGGGATACATAATTGTCTCAGGAACATGACCCCCCCCCTCCCCTGCAAAAATTCCTGGATCCGCCCTTGGACTAGTAGCTTTTGCGCCGAGAAGCCTAACAGAAACGGAACAAAAATACGCACAATATAGACAAAGAAGTCTTAGCCGTTGTTTGGTCTTGCGAAAAGTTTCAAGACTCTTTAGTAGGACAAAGAACATTTCTCACTGAAACTGACCATAAACCGTTAGTCCCTTTGTTAGGTACTAAAGACTTAGACAGTCTTCCTATTAGAATTCAACGTTACAGATTGAGGCTAATGTGTTATTCATACAGCATCGTTTATGTAGCAGGTAAAAATTTGTGTATTGCGGATATAATATCGCGCATTCGCTATTCTGAAGCAATGGAAGCATATCTTATTTTCCAAAATGGCACATGCTTATACGTTCGTACATTAGTATCAAACCTTCCTGTGAAAGATCAGCAGTTGAATGTCATACGTGCTCAACGGGAAGAGGATCCAGTTTGTAAAGATCGTATTTCATTATGTTTAAATGATTGGCCTAGTGTAGTTCATAGTGTTAAACCTCATCTTAAAGGAGGCCTAACTGTAGTTGATAATTTGTCGATGTGTAGCACTAGAATTGTCATACCTAAATCTCTTAGACTGATATTCTTGGTAAAATACATGAAGGACACCTCGGAATTACAAAGTGTAGAGATCGTGCGAAACGTTTTGTTTGGTGGATATGATTAAGCTCTTAAATATCAGACTTAATTTCAAATTGTGCTGTATGTTGTAAACAAGCTGTGAATAAGTTTAAACCATTAGTTCAATCTGACTTTCCTGAAAGACCTTGGCAGAAAATTGCATCTGATTTATTTGAGTTTGAAAATAATAACTATTTACTTGTCGTAGACTATCCTCAACATGTGTCATTAATTACCTAAAGTCAATTCTTGAGACTTTCTTTAGTGACAACGGTACTCAATATATGTCAGCAGAATTTTCAGATTTTGCAAGGAACTATGGTTTTACTAATGTGACAAGTAGCCCGACTCGTTCATCTGGTAACCGTCAAGCGTATGGCTAAAAAGTTAATGTTATCAGACGATCCTTACATATCATTTTTGAATTATCGTAATGCACCTCTCCACAATGGGTATAGTCGATCGGAGTTACTCATGGGTCGATAATTGCGTACTAAAATACCCTTTGTTTCTTGTCAGTCAGAGGGGAAAAAAATTAGATTTTAATATTCTGTCAAATCGTGAAAACAGCAGAAAGATACTTTCCCAGAAAAGTATTTATCGGGTGGTTATTTCCAATAAAAGTATGTCAAATTTGGTATATATGGAAAGTATAGACACCCAATCTTAGCAATTTGATTGGGCTAGACTTTGGAACACAATAACTCTCCTTCTTATTGAGATAGAATGTTCAAACTTGGTGTAGGCGTCCATTAGGTGAATGCCTTGACGGAGGTCGATAATGAACATTGTCTGCTTACAGTAAGCAGAGATCAGCAATCTGATTGGTTGATGCTTTGAGGCAAGATAACTTTGGTTATAATGAAGTGAGAGCGATGAAACTCCGAATATAGATTCATTATATCATTAACTTGACTAAGTTCGATGGTGAGAATTTTCTGGTTAAGTTAAGGAGCGATAAGCAATTTGATTTGTCAAGACTTTGGAACATAAAAACTCTGCTTTTAATTGAGGTAGAATGTTTAAACTTGATATAGGTGTTCATTGGGTGAATGTCTTGACTGAGTTCAATGATTAACATTTCGAGCTGAAGCTAAACAGAGCGAATCAATTTCATTGGCCAATGCTATCTGATAGCGAGTGATAAAACTTAGTGTATAGTTTGATTGCTTGATACGTTTGAAAAAAAAATGTGCGATTAATTAATATGTGTCATCTATTTATTTTGGGATCCTATTTAGAAGTCATTTTTGGTAATACAAATACAAAGTTGTTTCTTGGGCCCCTTGCGCACCCAAAAATGGATGCAGTCTTTACATTAGCTTGTTTTAATATAAGATCCTATTTAGAAGTCATTTTTGGTAATAGAAATAAAATAAGTTGTTTCTTGATGAAAATAAAATATGCCGCATGTGCCTACTTAATCTACGTGAATACCTCGTAGTTTCTTCGTTGTGGGACATGTTTAATCTCCTTGAAGTCAGCCGGCAGC